CCCAGGCCCCAATCACCCCCGCCCCAACCCACCCACTCACGACAGTGTAATACTGTGACGTCAGAGCTTTGTAATCTCCTGAGTGAATTCCTTTCGCTCATCTAAACATTTCCCGAAATTTATTAATATTCTACCGCCATTATTCTCTCATGTCATGTCGCCTGTCGGGAGATTACGTGACAACAGCACGAGATTGCAGCCAAATTATGACCTCTGAATCGTAGCGCCACATATGGCGTCAATAAAAAGACTCCTTATTTATACGATAAGCCTCCCAACTATTGTCAATGGCTAAGCGATTTTACCCTGATAGCGCAGACAGAAATACGAATACATATCTCAATTTGTTGGCCACTCCGCCAGAATGATCTAATTTTCAAAGAACTTGCTCCTCGTGGAGCCACGTGCGAATTCATTCTGGACATTTTCTGAATATCTCTGTTTCATCTTCCCAGAATTCTTGTGGTCCACGACAAACTTGGGCATTCCAGCATTGTTGTAGCGTTAATGGCCTTCATTAGAACCAGTGACTTCAATGTCGCTGTCACAAATTGTGAGAGTGAGTGAGTGAGTGACTTTCACATCGGTTTGAAAGAATTTCGGTTATATTATGGCGCGTCGACTTAATGTGGGAAGAGATCCCGAAGTGATGCAAGCCTAAGATGTTACAATTTTGGTGAAACCCACGTGCGCCGGTATGGGGCTGAGGAAGGCTCACGTGTTTGCTTCGTTTGTTTGTTTGTTTGTTTGTTTGTTGTTTAACGCCGCAATGTTTCAGCTATATGACGGCGGTCTGTAAATAATCGAGTCTGGACAAGACAATCCAGTGATTGAGATCCTGAACATCGATCTTCGCAGCTGCGATACAATGACATGTCATCAACCAAATCAGCGAGCCTGACCACCAGGTCCACTCATTCGTCTCTTACGACAAGCATGGGTTGCAGAAGAGGAATTCCAACCCTGATCTTCATCAGTTTAAAATTTGTCCCCAGTAACCTAATGTTTGTCGTACGAGGTGGCCTAATAGATCGGATGATCAGGCTGGGTGACTGCGGGTCACCGTACCCCGGCGTCGTGTATCTGTGCTCATAATATCAATCACTGGATTGTCCGATCCAGACACGATTAGCTGCAGGCCGCGCGGACATATAGATGCAATATTTCGGCATGAAACAATAAACAGTCATACACAACCGCAATGAGGATTTTTGATTGAACCCTCTTCTCGGTTCCAGAACTGGTTACACTCATTAGTTTAATGTCCCATGTTTAAGTGTTTGCAATGGATCATTTACATCAAAATGGGGAATGCGTTTTCAGTGCATCTAGTATGTGAATCATCTAGACGCTGGTAATTAATTATCGATGTCCATTTCTTCAGAACCTGGCGAGATTTCCTGCTCGAAATACATGGCGCAAATTAATCAAGGTCACGCTGTCCATTTCTTTGGCGTGACTTACAACCGGATGTCGTCTGTTGTCGTGAGGGGTCTACTTTCAGCGAAGTGGTTCATTCGATACTATCGCACGTTGTATCAGTAAGTTACAGCATGCATGCTTTCTGTCCAGTCCTCCAGTTGATCAACTTGATAACATGCAAGTGAAAGCAATCCCAGATAGGCCCATTAAACCCAATTGAGGAAATGAGACTTTTAAACACTGATTATATCTGATTTTAAGTTCAGGCCAAGTCAAAGTGTCAGTTTCACACGTTGAAAGGAAGGTTAACCTCGACTCACTAACGCATGATTGCAATTATGATAAATGTTGTATGTGTTTGTTATTTAAGCCTCGTTAAGTATTCCAGCTATAAGATTTTTTTATGTAATAGCACATCACTTCAACATTCGCAATGCACACCACGCCAGTCTATCGTTTATGAATATTACGAAACGCCCCAGGGGATTGTGGGTTGGAATAGTTGACAAGCAACCTTTGCTTACACGACGCGACTTATGGATCTGGTGGCCAGGTGCGGTGACTTGGTTGATCGCGTGTTATCGTACCCCGACGGCGTGAGACGTTGTTCATAATATCAATCACTGGTTTGTCTAGCCCAGACTCGATTAATAACAGACTGTCTTCATATAGCTGGGGAAAAGCGGCGTTAAAAACACTTCCCAAAAGCCGTTTCCGCTCTTGTGAACATTGTGAAATAATCGTTTCGGAGTCTTTACCATGAACAGATTCCATTCCTTGTTGAGCTCATAGAATCTGGCGTGTTTTTTTCAGTTTTCACTCCATGGCTTCAATTAAACACGGGGGTAATATTAATGTGGGTAAACATTAAGCCTATTACCGTCATAGCTCATTATCCTATTCATGTTTACCAGATCGACTTATGTCACTCCAAAACATATGAATTTAACCCGCCATGAAAACCTAATCTGACATGTCCTGATGGCCCCCACAACGACTTATCCAAACAGGAAAAGTTTACTTTCATCGAATTACATAGCGAAAACGTACATTATCTTTGATGTGGCAATGTAGATATATTCTGAGAGCCTAGAACACAGCGCGCGGCAACCAGAGAGTTCATCAAAGACATTCCAGAAAGGAAGTAAACTCCACGACACCACCTTATCACGATTATCAGCGACATGGAGCTTGAAACACCTCAACATCAATGGAACATGTTCGTTTTCAACGTGGTTTGGAGCAATTAGAATTATTTTGGGTCTCATCATGTCGCCAAAGGGCGATTTGTGGCGTGCTGCAATACGAATAAACATTAATTAATAGGGAATAGATTCACTGAATCGGAAGAAGGTTGAGGTGAACCAGTGAGAGTGAACTGGGGATTGTATGTCCGCTTTATTTGACTGCGGAGGACTTGACCTGCCGGAGTTATTTCCCTTGGGTTATGTGAACGCGGTAGCTTAGCTTCATGGTGGATAATTTATTTAAATGTAAATATGGCGAAACTTGACTTTACTGGTGTTCTTGAAAAGCCACGTATTATTTTGTGTGAGTGTGTGTGTGTGTTTGAGTGTGTGTGTGAGAGAGAGAGAGAGAGACAGAGAGTATAGATCACCAGTGGATTAGTGGATTATAGTGTCAACCATGCAGTAGTTACTCTTTCTCAACTGGGGCCATTTGTAGAGTCTGACATCCCTGAAGAGTATAAAGCTTCAAAACCAACATATCGTCACCTTGATCCTGTTGCAACAAAAATGGTTTTGGATCACTTAGACATTCCCTTACCAATCATGACCAAAATTGTCAGTCATGGTTCGGAAACTCCTTCGACTCTTTGTGAAGTAACTGACAGTTACAAGGTCGTCATCATCACTCCTATGCTGGTGATGCGCAGCCGCTAAACAGTTTCCTTGCCTCCAATGCATTCAAGGAGACAAAATGCTTGGAAGAGTGCACTGCAGCAATAATGTCCTTGAATGAACTCAGGCTCAGTGACAGTAAAGGCGGAGCCTGCTTGTTGGCACTGATGATAGCCATAGCAAATATGTAGAAACAATATCTATTCTGGTTGGAAACTCCTCTATTCAGTTTTTTTCTGAACGTACCTATGAAGGACCTTGGTGTGTCTTTGGATTCCAACATGACCATGGAACATCATATAGACCATCTGTCTGTTATTTTCATATCAGAAGTATGGGCAGATGAGGCACTTATTAACAACTGACACAAAAAAATATCTTGTGAGATCACTGGTTCTATCATGTATTGACCATGGTACTAGACCACTTATTGACATCCGAAATGATCTCTGCAACAAGCTACAGCAAGTGAAAAATGCTGCTGTCCGACTTATCTGTCGATGGAAAATGAGAGAACATATCACTCCAATTCTGAGGTCACTACATTGAATCCCTGTTGCAGCAAGGAATGAATTTAAGATACTGACATTTTTCTACAGTTGATATGGATTGGCCCCGGTCTATTTAACAGACGTGGTTAAGAAGTACCACAACCCTGTCAGGAGTCTGTGATCTGTTGACAAGATGCTTCTCTCTCTTCCAAATGTTAGCCTCAAGTCCTTTGCACAAAGATCCTATTCACACAGTGCTCGTGGAACCCTCAGCCGATTGAACTAAAAATTCTCCATCCTTTCGGTTTTCAAAGTCAAACTCAAGATAAACCTTTTTAATAAGTACTTCAAACTGTCACAACTGCTCGTGTAAGCTTTGAACAACCACATAGGAAAAGCAGCACCTACGAAATACTTATCTGAAATCCTTTTTGGAAAGATGTTTATGAATCGTGGGCAACATTACAGTTACTTAAATAGAATTGGAGAAATAAGCCCCCATTATGTACTACTCAAAGTTTGATAAGGTTGAAGTCTCAATGATATAAAAAATCATCCAACAAATAAAGATTGAAATATCCCGGTACACAATGGTCGGGTTACCCCTTTAGGACCTCAATTTCATATTGAACAGACAGAGGCATGCAGCCATGGGCACCTCGTGTTTTCTTTTTATGTATCGCGACAGAATCATTGCACATCATTATGAGCACAACATTTTGCTGCTGAGGATTTCAACAACTGAATGCACTTATGCCCCCTCAGCGTCAAAGACGTCATTTGGCGACCGAAGATGCATAGGCAGATGCATAGGCATGCTTGAAACTGGGTCAACACAACGTCACGTTGCAAACGTCTTTGGTGTCAGCCAAATGTGAGGTGAGGTGGTGTGAAATGGGGTTAACCCTCGCATTCAAGACTAATATAGCTAGGTGCATCCACGTGTGTGTGTGTGTCTGCTTGTACTAGTCCAGACTGATGCCAATTTTATAGTGCTAGCCCACTGAGATACCATGCCACAGTTTAACATCAATACTTTACTCAGACACAGTATACCCCAAACCGACCAGTCCTTGTTTTAGCCCATTAATGCTGAGAGCCAGACAGGGTACAAACTTTTAATGACTTTTGGACCTTCCGCTCTTCAGATGACGCTCTACCACTAGACCACCGAGGCCGTCCAAATCTGTGATAAAGCATTAGGAATAGTACATAACAATCCTCACCATGTGTGAAATAGATTTATTAAAAATGTTTTAGATGCCAGATACTGTCATCCAGGCTACAAAAAATAATGCATTTGACCTTACAGCCTGCATCAGCTGTCATAGTATAAACCCAATACAAAACCAATACCATGTGTTAAGAAGTTTCATTAAAAATCAATAACAACGTTAGGGATTTACAAGTACATGTACTCAGTACATTTAGAATCAAGACGGCATTGTATTATTTTGCCAAATTTTTACTTGAAGTCTTCCAGCAAAGAGGAGAACCGTTGCGCATGAACTGTATTATGATTGTATCGAACCATGGGTCATATGGCCTTTAGATTCAATAACCATCTCTCTCTCACCATGCATTGTAGACAGCCATAACATAACAACATAATCCTGTAAAACTGCACATTGGTGATTCTCAGAGTTGTTGTAGGTAAAGAATGAAAACACTATGAACTACCATGTTCATTCATACTGTAAATCTTGAAATTAATGTGCCTCCAAATTAATACGACTGCTGACCCCTAGCCAAAAATTTGACTCAATATCAATGCGACTCCCCCCACCCCATCCCCTGGGTGGAATGATACATATCCTACCCTTACTCCAACCTTACCTTAATCCAATCACACAGCAAATAGCAGCGCTTATTAGCGCTGAGCAGAGCACTTCCGTAAAAACAATGAAAGAGTTTTCCTAAAAACAAAAGCCTATCGGAGCTTGTGGAGGCGTGTCGGCCTTTGACGAAGTGTTGCGTGAGTGGCGTCTGGACTGCTGGAGTGGTCAATGATGCCTAGATGGACACGAGTGGGTTGAACTGTTGACCCCAGCAGTGATAACTCACATGAAGTCAATTTTGTAATTCCTATTCTTTGATTAACATTGTTATATACCTGTTACAACTGCTGCTCAATAAACTGTGTGTTTTTATACAAGTTGGTATTTCCACTATCCAAAGTGTGCCGTGAGGCCTTATTGTTGATAGTCATTTTGGAGACATAAATACAAAGTTTCATTAATGCAAACAAAGACCTCTCTCTTAATTTCGTATTTAATTCACGCTCGCGTTAATTTCAAGATTTACAGTATATGATGACTTATAGCTACACTTCTACCCAAATAGGGACTAAAAACAAAGGTACCTTCATTTTACTGAAATATTCATACAAGTGTACCACTCCCCCTCCCCTACCCCTCATCTTTGAAGTCGTAGTCTAAATATTGACACAATAAGTTCAATCTACATGTCTGTGCTGCTACTCAATGCAGGAATACATTGGTTTCTAAATTATAATAGAGGAACACATTCCTTCAAAACTATTTGTATTAACACGTTTTTTTTCTAAGGAAAACTGTAAGATTCATAAGGATCAGAATAATTGTGTCCAACCATCAGAGCACTGCCACTTCCTTGTGCATCCGAGAGAGGAGATGATATTTGGTGATGGAATTAGTCTTGAAAAGGGAATTAATTTTAGGGAACTTGTTTTTTCCTTCTCAGATTCATGGTCATGCTACCATTGGTCAAAATGGTGTGGAGAGTAAAGAGGTAAGTTTACGTTACATTTATACAAAACAGCCATGTAACTGGAATGCTGAATGGATTTCATTGAATGAGACCCTGTCCTTTGAGAACACTGTAAACACGCTTACATGAATCACACGGAGCACAGATTCTTTTGTTATATTTCAAAAGATTTGAAAAAGTAAACTGTCATTAGTAAATTCAAACTTGAAACGACAAAATGCTAAATAATTCAGTCAGATCCTCAAAAGCAGTTAAACAATTACACATTGTAATGCATACGGTGGACTTCATCGTGGTATTGGGCCTCCATCCAGTCCTCATTGTTGGATATGAATCTGCTATAACGGTATGAAACGATCCATGCATAGATCATGGCGCCAGAGGACGGCTTGTTTCCACAACCTGGCAGTAGCGTGTCGGATGCAGCATCGTCTAGAAGTGAGGCCTGTCCTTGTCGCGCAGGGCCAAGATCTCGCTGTCAAGTTCCGGAGAAGAGAAGCGGTCCACAAAGGACTGGATGAGTCCGGCAGAGTTGGCTTCATAATTCTTTAAGGTCACTTTTCCATCTGATAATAGACATTTACAATGTGAGAGCAGTGTTCAAAAATAAACCATGAAAGTGAAGGGCCCTTATATTAGCCCTAATGAGTGAGTATGGTTTTACACCACTTTTAGCAATATTCAAGCAATTTCATGACAGGGCCCCAAATGGGCTTCACACATTGTGCCCATCGAACCCAGGTCACGAGTGAACGCTTTTACCACCAGGCTACCCCACTCCCCTTAGCCAGTGATTGATACCATGAGCATCGATCAATGCAATGGAGACAGGATGACATGCATCAAACATCGTTAGTGGCATCCTGCAACAAGCATGGGTTGCTGAAGGCCAGTTCTCGCCCGGATCTTTACGTGGTGGGGAAATATGGAAGATCAAGGGAAGTGGGAAATGACAAGGATTCGATATTGCCCAATCTGGAAAACAGCAAATTGTACCTCTTACTTGTAACTAGGGCTGGGACGAGTAACTCGGGTACCCGGGGCGGGTGGGTACTGAGTAGGACCTGTGTACCCACAGGACTACCCGGACCCGTGGTTAGTCACATGATATATTGTTTAATGACAAAAAGTATCTAGAACTCTATGGTTACACTACAAGTCACAAATGTTCGCATTCCTTTCTGACTATGCACCCTTTCCTTCTGACTTTTCATATCTTCAAATAAAGATATAACTTGGGTCAACTTCAGTCTATGCATGACCAATGTTAAATACATGTATCTAAATACGTTTTGCCAGTGCCCTACTTGTAACTATATTTCATAGATAGACAGTTTCTGTTACCTTGAATGGTTGTGTGGTGTTGAACAAACATCTTGCGTGGTTGTTTACGAGCAAGGACAGTCTCGCGAAGACTCAGGAAGTGTGGTTTAGCATTGTCGTTGACATCGGAGTAGAAGTCGTACATCTTTTTCCCTTCTTCAACATCTGCCGTGGACTTGTACACCTGAACCCCAAAAGCATGAAAATATAAATGTGAGATACTCTCATTATGTGGCAAATAATGGGACAGAGCCAAAAGTATCCTCTTTAAATATCTGGTCTGCCACTTCCCCAACAAGCGTGTTTCCAACTTTTATTTTTACCTTCAGTAACACCATTTACAAAGTGACTGTTTTACTAAAGAGCTGATTTCATCGTAAATAAAAATGATTTGTTTGTTTGTTTGTTTGTTGTTTAACGCCGCACTCAGCAATATTCCAGCTATGATGGCGGTCTGTAAAATAATCGAGTCTGGACCAGACAATCCAGTGATTGATATCATGAGCATCGATCCACGCAATTGGGATCAATGACATGTATCAACCAAGTCAGCGAGACTGACAACCCGATCCCATTAGTCGCCTTTTACGACAAGCATAGTCGCCTTTTACGGCAAGTATGGGTTGCTGAAGACCTATTCTACCCCCGGAATCTTCACGGGTCGTAAATAAAAATGAGTAAAAACACCAAATAGCAATCGGCGTCTCTGAATAAAATGATTTTAGTAAGCTCATCAGTTCGCTTAAGCTGAATATCACCAGCAGAATGTCTGCACAAAACAATCCTTCAAGCTTGTCTACGGGACTCCAATACAAACCGACTCTGGGGACAAAAAAACCCATTTTACTTACCCACCTACACAGGACTTTTTCCAACTGATATGTTTCTAGTTAGCAGGGCTTTCAAATATTATGATGATAAATAAACAAAGATGCAGTTTGAACAAAACAAAAAATCTACTTATACAGATTTTCAAGTTATCCAGTTTCTACTAAACAACTTTGAACTTAACGACACACAGCTGTAGCATGTAGCGAGTGTCTGTTTTTAAATAGGTACACATTTTTCAAACTAGAAGTTTCAAAATTTCCCACCTGAAGTTTCCGAAGATACTTCCCAATGGCAGGTTTGCCCACTTTGGTGATCTTGGTGCGATCCAGTTTTATCCTGATATCTGGTTTACCGTCCTCCCCCGTGGTCTTGGTGATGGAGATGAAGTCCTCGTCGGCCTCTAACATGACACGTAGGATACAGAACCGCGCCTGCATGTGGGCCTGTGACATACAGAGTCTGCTGTCTTATTCTTGTTTCATATAAATTCTTTGGCATAGAGGTTAACTATTTAGAGAAAAACCAACGAGGGACAAGGAACTGCAGAATATCTTTCCCGAGTGAATGAATGGTTAATCCCGAGCCTCTGGCATTGATGTATTGCTATCGTGCCGTGTACAAATACAATGAATCAAACATTTGATAAATTGTTACCAGCCTAGGAAGCACAAATGTCATGAGGAAAGGGAGGAGGAGGAGGAGGAGGAGGAGGAGGAGGAGGAGGAAGAGAAGGAAGGGCGAGGAGGAAAGGGGGGAGGGGGAAAGGGAGGAGGGGGAAAGGGAGGAGGAGGGGGAAAGGGAGGAGGAGGGGGAAAGGAGGAAGGGGAAAGGGAGGAGGGTGAAAGGGGGAGGGGGAGGAAAGGGAGGAGGAGGGGGAAGGGAGGAAGAGGGAGGAAGGGGAAAGGGAGAGGAGGGGGAAAGGGTGGAGGAGGAGGAAGAGAAGGAAGAAAGAGGGGGAAAGGGGGGAGGAGGGGAAAGGGGGGAGGAGGAGGAGGGGGAAAGGGAGGAGGAGGAAGGGGGGAGGAGGGGGAAAGGGAGGAGGAGGGGGGAAGGGGGGAGGAGGGGGAAAAGGTGGAGGAGAAGGAGGAGGAAGAGAAGGAAGGACGAGGAGGAAAGGGAGGAGGAGGAGGATGTGTGAATTATTTTTCGGTGACCCTCCCCAGACTCCCTGACTTCAGAAGCGACATTGTCAATTTAAAGTTTTGTATTTGCACTAAATTCCAAATATTTGCTCAAGCACGAACATGTATATTCATAGTGTGTGCAGGACAACCTAGCTGTGGTCTGTATGGCCACAGATCTTCCTTCATATTGAGAGTCGCAGGGTTATGTGTGTGTGTGTGTGTGTGTGTGTGTGTGTGTGTGTGTGTGTGTGTGTGTGTGTGTGCGCGCGCGCACACGAGTGTGGTGTTGTGTGTGTGTGTGTGCGCGCACGAGTGTGGTGTTGTGTGTGTGTTGGTGGGTGGAGGGGTATGTGGGTGTGTATAGCCTTCTGAATACTTTCTGCAGTTTAACATGAATACCACACTCAGACACAGTATACTAACTCTGTGCCAACCAGTCTGTGTTTCACCCCCTAAATGCTAAGCGATAGGCAAGGTAACAACAAGTGCCATTATTCAATATCTTTTGGTATGACACTGCCGGGGATCGAACCACCAACCTTCCTCTCTTCAGAAGATGCACTATCCACTACATCATGGAGGCAGACTCAAGTAATGACATAGTTAAGATAACAAGAGTCATCTAACTGTAGTCATGGCAACTCACCTGTCTCCAGGCACCTGTCTCTGGGGAATAGAACTCCAGCGCCAGCAGACCGGCGCGCGCCATGTTCAACCAGTTGATGTAGATGATGTCATCAGCAGAGTCTCCAACATGGCCAAATATCCTGCCCAATCATATGTTTCTTAGTTATACAAGGGACCAATCAGATGTCAGGAATTTATAAAGGGACCAATCAGATAGCATGTAGATGTGCAAGGGACCTGTTATACATGACAATACAGGGTTTCTAATCAGTCTGTTTTACTAGAATCTCTCTGAATCTGTACTTAATATCATGAAAAATGTCCACAATTTTTTTCTATACTTATCATAAAAATGTCCCAAAACTATTTGACCGCAGCAAAGTTAGCGTAATATACATTAGAACAGATTTAAAACAAGGTTTATATGGATACAAGACACTAAAATTCAAGGCCTTTTCAAAGCTTTTCAAAGCTTTCCTAGGCTTTCAATCATCATTTTTAAGGCTTTTTTATTTGGGTTATTAGCCTTTCTGTCACTATTTTTTTTAAATCCAGCATACAATATCTTAGTCGTAAGACCTAAGAAGCCGTATGAACATCACAAATTTTCAAACATGATTTATTTTCACAACCAACAAATAAAATAAATTAAGCTAAAAATGTTGATACTTTTCAAGCTATTTTGGTGATATTCAAGGCCTTTCAAGGTTGACACAAAAACATCAAGGCTTTTCAAGAAGGACCTTAATATTCAAGGCCTGTATGAACCAACCGCCCCCATTGGTCGCCTCTTACAAATACAACAAGCATAGTCGCCTCTTACGAAAAACATGGGTTGCTGAATACTAATTCAAACCTGGATCTTCATGGGGCTATGAATGAAAGTCGATTGCCGTCTGAATCCTGAATACATAGGCCTTAGGGGCAAAGGGGCAGTGGGGTAGCCTTGTGGATAAAGCGTTCGCTTGTCACGCCAAAGACCCGGGTTCGATTCCCAACATGGGTCCAATGTGTGAGGCCCATTTCTGGTGTCCCCTGCTATGGTTTTTCTGGAATATTGCTAAAAGTGGTTTAAAACCAGAGTCTCTCACAAACATAAGTTGTTTTTTTTAGTGTATTGCTATCAATTGCTTTGGCCTCATAGGAAACAGGGTCATAAATAGTACGGCTGGGACGGGTACCTCGAGGAGGGTTGGTCCTGATTAGGACTCGGGTACCCACAGGATAACCCGGACCCGTGGTTAGTCATGTGATGCATTGTTTAATGACAAAAATGATCTAAAACTCTATGGATACACCATAAGTCACTAATGTTCCCATTTATTTCTGACAATGCACCCATTCCTTCTGACTTTTATATGTTTGAATAGAGATAAAACTCCATGCAGTAAACTTCAGTGTATGCATCACCAGATGGTTTTACACATGCATCTTAATACATTTTGCCAGGGCTACGGTCAAACCTTTCCAAATCGGACAGTTTCTACCCATCTCTAAATATCCAAAACGGGTACCCAGGAAGTAAATTTGGACCCAGCCCTAGTACATCGTTGTACATGTACAGGTAAGAATTCCCGTGTCAAATCTTACTTTAGAACATCGGAGGAGAGGCAGAGATAGAGTCCGACACACTCAGCCCGACACTCCTCATAGCTTGACCCCACAGAGGAGAACTTGCTGTCCCAGGTCTCACCAGGCAGGTACCAGGAGGAGATCTGAATACCACAGGTCAATCTACTTATTTGTGTTCATGGCCATGTACAATTATACTAAAATATACTGCTCCAAAGAAGTTCAAGACAACCCGATTCTTTCACATTCCTATAGTCAATCTGTCATGCTATGACAGATTACCTATAGTAATATGAGTGAGTGAGTGAGTGAGTTGGGTTTAACGCCGCTTTTAACAATATTCCAGTTATATCACCGCGTGTCAGCTTAATGTGGGAGGAAAGCCCCAAGTGATGCAGGTCTCAGACGTTTACCACTTCGGTGAAACCCACGAGCACGGGTATGGTGCTGACAAACCTAGAAACATAATCGGGGCGAACTGGGATTCGAACCCACAATCATAGGTTTCGGGCGTGCCCAAGGGACGCAACTCTGCACAGTGAATCGCGGCGCCTTAGACGACTGGGCCACCCGTGCCCCCATATACCCTACTCAGACACAGTAGACTGACTCCGAGCCGACCAGTCTTTGTTTTAGCCCCTTAATGCCGAGAGCCAGGCAGGGTAACAACAACTACTATCTTTTAACATCTTTTGGTATGAGGCCGGGAATAGAACCCTAGACCTTCTTCTCTTCAGGCAGACGCTCTACTGCTAAACCACGGAGGCAGTCCTTCAGCAAACAGAGGTGCATGCTAATGACTACACACAACATCAAGACTTAACATTTTGTAAGGAAAACACACATACAATTTGATCATTATGTACAGAATGTATGCACATTTGTTAGAACAATACAACAAACACAACACTACAGTGACCAAGTCATTTCCATCACATGGGTGTTTTTGGCAGCTTGCTAAATATTCTGTTAAGATACAGACATTGTACCAAGATGTTCATGCAAAAACCAGCAGTGGAGTCAGTCACCTGGCTTCAATGTTTGTTTGTTGAGTAACACCATACTCAGCAATATTCCAGCTATATGATGGCGGTCTGTAAATATTTGAGTCTGGATCAGACAATCCAGTGGTTAATATCATGAGCATTGATCCACGCATGCATCAACCAAGTCAGTGAGTCTGTCCACCCCTTCCCGTGAGTGGCGTAGCCACGAGTGAAAATATCTCCTTTCCCCCCGTCACGAGATGAGAGAAACATGATATTTCACTCGACACATGAAATATCCTATTTATTATATACTTTTGGTGTAGTTGTCTGCAGGAAGATTAAATTATTTCATTACAAATGTAAAACCTTCAAGCGTAAATTCTCCCTACATAACACACATGGACGGTTTTCCACCCCCTGTAAGTACGACTAAAAATGTAGTTCCATCTTTGCTAAATCTTAAAAAATATAAACAAAAGTAACCAAAAATATTTGATGTCACTAAAATTCTTTAGTATAAATTTGGATATGATTATATACAAAATCAACTTCATCAAAAAATAAATTTCAAATCAATGAGACGGTTGTTCGAAGCAAAAAAATACACCCAATTCAAGTAACAAAATGGCGCTTTGCGAAACGTAAAGTATCGACTGACAAATCAGAATAGAAATTCACAGTTTAATACAGATCATTTTTAACAAAATAACAAACGGTAAGAATCGGTATTAACTACATAAATGACCATCTGTCATTATATGACTTGTCAACGTTGAACTGACGTAAATCAACAGTTTGTGTACGAGCTGTCTCGTGTAGGCCAACGTAGTTCCGTCAACATGTTATGTTCACTGCAGTGAAATATCAGGTGTTATGTTCACTGCAGTGAAATATCAAGTGTTATGTTCACTGCAATGAAAATATCACTTTTCTCAACTTCAGAAAACTCAGTCTTTCACACTGAAGTATGTAATAAATGGAGTTGTCCGACTAGACCTACCTTTTCTTCAGTTTCAGTGTGTTTCACATTATCCTGGTCAAAGTTGAACTTCCCATCTTCATCCTGTGAACACACGTTGACATTACCCATACAACAGTTAACGAGATGTTCATCTACCAAGTTTACATATCATACTCTACTTCAAAATTTTACACTTTCATGAAAATATGTGGTAAATGAAAACATATGTAAACTTGTGTGTCTAGATGTGAAGCATATTCTGTCATACAGTCCATGGGATCTTAATGAACATGATTTGTAAACTCCATCTTTGATGGCCTTGCTTATCGTTACCACTCGAGATTATTAGCCGAGTGTGTCTATTGTAAATATAAATAAAAAATATTGATCAGGATTGATAGGAACCAAAACTGTATTATGCAAACCATAATAAGATGTATGTTTCATTCACAAAAGTAAGAAGTGTGTACGCATAGTATGACATATTATCGCGGGCTCCATATATGAACGCGGTATCGGTAAATCTCATAATCCACTTCCCTTATCGACTGTTTACTTATACAAATCTAAGCACGATATTTCATCGCTTGATCGAACACAGGACTCATTGCGATATGTCCTGGCTACTTGTAAGTATACACGTTAACTTTTTTATGATAGTTTCTGGAATGTTTTTGAAGTGGAATTACCCCTACCTCCATTTGAAATTGGATAGAAAAGAACCCATTTGTTTAAGTCGAAGTCCTTTGATCCAACCTAGGTCGTATGCATACTGAGTATGCATAATCCGAAACAGGAAGTGATGTAAGCCACACGTATCACCCCACAAAGTAGCTACACCATGATAATATAGAGTTGCCTGCCCTTGAGTCACTATTGACAGGTACGTTGTTTACCGAACTCGGTAAAAAAAAATCAGAATCGATCAATCTTAACTGATATGTCATAAAAGCTTAACAAAGAACTAGAAACATTTTGCTTATTTCATATTTAATATGTTAGTAAGTGTTTGCTATTACAATCCATTATAAATTAACTACCGAGATAATATAGAGTACCACCTTATACAATGTATATGATTTGCTACCATGGAGGGAAGCCTCCTTTAAAACTTCCTGGTAACATAAGGCCATAGTTATCAAGCAATCAGACATCGATGTTGTATTCAAAGTACTTCCTACAAGGTGTTCCATCTCATTGGACAATGTCATTGGATCGGGATACCAAGTGTATCAGTTTGGTCATTGCATCAATCAGAGGCACAAGATTTTGAAAAATGGGGTGCATATTATCATGAAAATACCCAGTGAGATGGCCGAGGGTGCAGTTCACATGTGAGGGGCCTGTAAAAATAGGATGCACACCCTCAACCCACCCCCACCCCCACCCCCACTCCCCTGGATCCGCCAGTATCAATGACGCTATCCATCATATGAGAAACTTATCCTTGTAATCCCAGGGCAAGTTATCACTGTACAAGAAACGTTCACTGTGCATAGCGCATCAACACAAACGTTGCTCACCTTGATGAAGAGCTTGCCGCTACCATGTCCAAGCAGTTCATGGAGTCCGACCTGGACCTCGAAGGACGGGAGTTTCAGCTTTATGTACAGCTCCTGGGAAGGGGAGATAATTATCAACTATTACATATCAGGGTTCAAAATTACTTGCATCTGAGGGACAATGGCACAGTGCTATCACACCCAGAAAACATGGATGCATGTCACCTAGCCTGACCACTCCATCCCTTTAGTCGCCTCTTACCTGGAATCCCTACTGGTTGAGACAACTTTTATAAAAGGGAGAGAGCACAGCTTTTGGGGAAAAGTTGGTCACTTCAAATAGAAAACAATAAAATGAATGGACATAGTTCGGAAAACAATTTGAGTCTGTCAGCCGAAAATGAGTTAATTAGTTATAAGGTTATAGATTTTTGCATATGTCAACACGATTAGTATGCTTCAAAAGGCCCACATCCTCTGGATCCACATATACATATGGGGTCAAAAGAGACGACCAAATGGATCGGATGGTCAGGCTCAGTGACTTGCTTGATGGACTATCATCGTACCCTGGCGACGTGAATTGTTGTTCACAAAATCTATCACTGGATTGTCTAGTCCAGACTACTTATTTACAGGCTGCCGTCATGTAGCTGGGAGATTGCAGAGTGCAGTGTTAAACAAATGCACACACACTCATAGTAAAATGATAGTCACCATGACTGAAGCTGATGGTTCTAGGTCACTCTCAGTAAGTTCAAAATAGCTACCTAAGTTAAACTGTTATGAATTTTGAGTTTAACAAAAGGAAATTGAAAATGGTCGATTCAATTTGACCTGCAATTTAATGCTAAATATGAACTAGGCTGCTCCATCAAACATTAAAAATTGATTTGTCTGAACATGGACAATCAATACAGCATACGACTTGAACTCGATACAGAAGGGATCTCCAGCCAATATACTATACAAGGTCACAGCACTATCTCCCATGGACAACTCCCTATCTTCTCAGGACATCATTGAGTTACCAACGTATGTCACAGCACTATCTCCAATGGACAACTCCCTATCTTCTCAGGACATCATTGAGTTACCAACGTATGTCACAGCACTATCTCCCACGGACAACTCCCTATCTTCTCAGGACATCATTGAGTTACCAACGTATGTCACAGCACTATCTCCCATGGACAACTCCCTATCTTCTCAGGACATCATTGAGTTACCAACGTATGTCACAGCACTATCTCCCATGGACAACTCCCTATCTTCTCAGGACATCTTGGAGTTACCAACGTATGTCACAGCACTATCTCCCATGGACAACTCCCTATCTTCTCAGGACATCTTGGAGTTACCAACGTATGTCACAGCACTATCTCCCATGGACAACTCCCTATCTTCTCAGGACATCTTGGAGTTGCGGGCGTATGTTCGAATCTCTAGATATGATGTCATGACAGAACAGTGTTTTATCATGAAACAAACCACTCTTCTTTTGTCATTGATCTTTGCTATTTGTTGCCTATCGATGTTATATTTAGAGACAGGGGACAGAAATGTATTCACCTTATCGTCATCATCCAGGAATGTGATCTTCGTGTCCTTGTAGCCTGACGTCAAAACGTTCCCCAGCGACACGTTCTTGAAGCCCTCGTTCTGACGAATGTCATCATCTGATTTATATTTTCGAGATAATAGAATCAGCAAAACAAATACACAAAGTATAATGTATTTTTATGGGGAGCATGAATACTACTCATACATTCTGACCAGTGGTCACTGTGTCGAAATGAAGCTTTCCTTGTACGTTCTATAACTGCCTTGACCACAATAGCCTGAAACCAATCTGCCATGCACCCTTTGAAAATTCTCACTAGTCCTCCAGCCAGAGGCTACTAAATCGTGCTGAGGACAAGTAAACATCCCATGATGCCCAGTAGTAGCACTTGAGGGCCATAATTCTGAACCAGTTCTCAATGCTTCACATTTGCTACAAATTGGAACTGAATAAACATGATAAAACTGACAGAAAATGTAAACATTATAAACATTTTTGTCTTTCAAGCAGGACTAGCTACAAACTCTGAGGACTAGTGAAATAATATTCAATAGTCCTCTTGACTTGTCTGAAAATTGCAAATTTCTAAGGCTGCCATGGTAGCATTTCATATTTTGTACAATACATATTGAAAACAGTGACTAAAAGTCTAGTGTGATTATGGCAGCAATAGAACTTTAGAGAAAGTTCATTAAGACAAAGGAACCAGTGATTAGAAATGTTTACTCGTTCTGTTTTTTGTTTTTGTGTGTTTGTTGTTTAACGCCGCACTCAGCAATATTCCAGCTATATTACAGCGGTGTGTAAGTAATCGAGTCTGGACCAGACAATCCAGTGATTGACAACATGAGCATCGATCCAAGCAATTGGGATCGATGACATGCATCAACCAAGTCAGCGAGTCTGACCACCCGATCCCATTAGTCGCCTCTTACGACAAGCATAGTCAGCTTTTACGGCAAACATGGGTTGCTGAAGGCCTATTCTACCCCAGATCTTCATGGGCCAACTTGTTCTGATAAATAGTGACCTTCATTACCTGTTTATTTAGAGGCAGCCAATGAAGTACAATTCTTGGTTGTGACAGATTCCTGCTTACACGCCTAAGTGTGTTTAGGTTACAATAGTTAAACTCAGGACATCTAAACAATAAATCCAGAAATTCTCTCAGTCAGAAGTCAATCAGCCTGTATGTGTGAGCTCAGGATAAAGCCGTTATAAACAGTGTTTCAGCAATATTCAGCATCTCAGCTCGGTGTGGGAGGAAAGCCTGAAGTGACACAGGTCTTAGACATTCACCATTTTGGTGAAACCCACAAGCATGGGTATGGTGCTAACAAACCTAAAAACATAATTCAAACCCACAATGACCGTTTCTGTCAAAATTAGTGATGTAACTCTGTCCACAGGTCGGGCATTGTACCTTCCTCCGTTTCTTTGACAATATGATACTCTTAATGTGAAGGTTAGTGATCATACCTCATGCTGTACCTCTGTGTCACATATTTCAGTTCTTTGTCATCATGCTGCCAATAAATGTGTTTTAGGCATTCTGTTTTCCTCCGTGAATTGTCACTTAACGCAATATTCCAGCTATATGACAGCGGTCTGTAAATAATCGAGTCTGGACCAGACAATCCAGTGACTGACATCATGAGCATCGATCCACGCAATTGAGATACGATGACAAGCATCATTAACTAAGTCAGTGAGCCTGACCACCCGATGCCGTTAGTCGCCTCTTACGACAAGCATAGTCGCCTTTTACGGCAAGCATGGGTTGCTGAAGACCTATTCTACCCCGATCTTCACGGGTTTGTCCTAGGTGAAGAGTGTTAGAATCAAAAGATGAGGTTGATGAGCTCACTCACAGTTAGGAATGTTGATTCCTGCAGGGATGCCGCTGCCTCCGAAGCTGAGGACGTCAAGGGAAGTGAAGTCTGGACGCAGGAACTTGTCCTTTTCGTACTCCACCGGCCACGGCAATAGAGCCAGCAAGTGTTCTGCACTTTCCACCAGGGATGCAAACTTGGCACTCATCTTCTTGTTCACAACCGCAGCAAAACCTGTGCAGAATGTCTTACATGAGTATAAACACGATGTCTCACATGAGTATAAACACAATGTCTCACATGAGTATAAACATGATGTCTCACATAAGTATAAACACGATGTCTCACATGAATATAAACACGATGTCCCACATGAATATAAACACTATGTGTTGTGCATAAGTATAAACAAGAGGTCTCACCCAAGAATAAAAACGATGTCTCACATAAGTATAAACATGATGTCTCACATGAGTATAAACATGATGTCTCACATGAGTATAAACACGATGTCTCACATAAGTATAAACACGATGTCTCACATGAATATAAACACGATGTCCCACATGAATATAAACACTATGTGTTGTGCAAAAGGATAAACAAGAGGTCTCACGCAAGAATAAACACGATGTCTCACATAAGTATAAACATGATGTCTCACATGAGTATAAACATGATGTCTCACATGAGTATAAACATGATGTCTCACATAAGTATAAACACGATGTCTCACATGAGTATAAACATGATGTCTCACATGAGTATAAACATAATGTCTCACATAAGTATAAACATGATGTCTCACATGAGTATAAACATGATGTCTCACATGAGTATAAACACGATGTCTCACATAAGTATAAACACGATGTCTCACATGAATATAAACACGATGTCCCACATGAATATAAACACTATGTGTTGTGCAAAAGGATAAACAAGAGGTCTCACGCAAGAATAAACACGATGTCTCACATAAGTATAAACATGATGTCTCACATGAGTATAAACATGATGTCTCACATAGTATAAACACGATGTCTCACATGAGTATAAACATGATGTCTCACATGAGTATAAACATGATGTCTCACATAAGTATAAACATGATGTCTCACATGAGTATAAACATGATGTCTCACATGAGTATAAACATGATGTCTCACATAAGTATAAACATGATGTCTCACATAAGTATAAACATGATGTCTCACATGAGTATAAACATGATGTCTCACATGAGTATAAACATGATGTCTCACATAAGTATAAACACGATGTCTCACATGAATATAAACACGATGTCCCACATGAATATAAACACTATGTGTTGTGCAAAAGGATAAACAAGAGGTCTCACGCAAGAATAAACACGATGTAAAAAGTAAGATCGCTGGTCTTGAAAGGACACATGAAGGCCTTACATTTGGGGCCTCAAGTTCATACCAAACATGCCAAAAGAATTATTATACAAATAACGGTACATCTGATTATCAACTGTGTCATGAATTAGCTTTTTGTCATTCACCCCAACCATAAGGTGACGTAAAATGGAGTTTGGTGTCGCATCAAGGTCATTGCACTTAAACATGGCTACCCCACTCAGATACAGCGTACTGACTTCGAGCCGACCAGTCTTTTATGGGGGATCGAACCACAACCTGCTCTATCCACTAGACCATGGAGGTGGTCACACTGCTACCTTAAACATGTGTTACCATGACTGACCTTCAAATTCCCCCCTGACACCATACGGGTCTCTGTAGGATTCTATGAAGCCAATATATCTGAAACAACACATTGACAGCACTCCAGACAAGGAGGTAAACATACTGCATACATTCACAATATTCATCCACAGTAGAAGACATTGGTTTAAAAAATATTAACAGCAAACTAAACACAAATAAAAACTAATATTGCAGGTTGTATGCTGCATAGCATGTTTTATAGTAGTGTTGTCTAAAAATTATGATATTTGGCATATTTTGCCCAAGTGCATCTTCACTACTGTAATAGGTAGTGATGGAACTGGTAGAACCTTATTTCATAATGGAACAGAATAAATGACTGGTTAAAATAGTACTGGCACTCAGGGTTTCATCTAGACCTGCTCAGGAGCCGACAATGTCAGTAAAAAATTCCCTGCTACTGTTATACAGTTATTGTTTATGCTATGGCTTTGTGGAATTGCTTGCCAAGTGCACTTGTTTTAGAATCCTCAATATATATCTGGGTACTAGTGTTGTGCTTAAATCCCTGGGTACTAGTCTTGTGCTTAAATCTATGGGTACTCATGTTGTGGTCCCTGGGTACTAGTCTTGTGCTTAAATCTATGGGTACTAATGTTGTGGTCCCTGGGTACTAGTCTTGTGCTTACGTCTCTACGATGGGTCCCCTGTTTTTTATCCAGAACCTGGAGCCGTCTTTGTGTGCTGGTAGAGAGCCTGTGGTGAAGCTCCGGGCGTACTCCTCCAACATACGCACCTCATTCTCTGTGGCTGCATATTCCTGGAACAAACACTGAGTTGGTCAAATGTAGCTCTGAACAGTATGTCAGTTATATCCAGCATGTGTGTGTGTGTGAGAGAGAGAGAGAGAGAGAGTATAAGAGAGTGTGTGAGAGAGAGAGTGAGAGTGAGGGAATGAGAGTGAGAGTGAGATAGAGAGTGAGAGAGAGGGAGTAGGAGAATGAGAGAGAGAGTGAGAGAATGAGAGAGTGGTAGAGAAAGACAGTTACAGAGATAAAGTGTGAGAGTGAGAGAATGAGAGTGAGAGAGAAAGAAAGAGATAGAGTGAGACAGAGAATGAGAGAGAGAGTGAGAGAATGAGAGAGTGAGAGAATGAGAGAGTGATAGAGAAAGAGAGAGATAGTGTGAGAGAGAATAAGAGAGTGAGAGAGAGAGTGATAGAGAAAGAGAGTGAGAGTGATAGAGTGTGAAAGGGAGAATGAGAGAGAGTGATAGAGAAAGAGAGAGTGAGAGTGAGATAGAGAGAGAGAGAAAGAATGAGAGAGAGTGATAGAGAAAGACAGTTAGAGAGAGATAAAGTGTGAGAGAGAGTGAGAGAATGAGAGAGTGAAAGAAAGAGAGAGTGAGTGAGATAGAGAGTGAGAGAGAGGGTGTAGGAGAATGAGAGAGTGAGAGAATGAGAGAGTGATAGAGAAAGAGGGATAGTGTGAGAGAGAATAAGAGAGAGAGAGAGAGTGATAGAGAAAGAGAGTGAGTGATAGAGTGTGAGAGGGAGAGGGAGAGAGAGTGATAGAGAAAGAGAGAGAGAGATAGAGAGTGATAGAGAAAGACAGTTAGAGAGAGAAAAAGTGTGAGAGTGAGAGTGAGAGAATGAGAGAGTGAGAGAAAGAGAGTGTGAAAGAGTGAGAGTGAGTGAAAGTAAGAGTGTGAGAGAGAGAGAGAATGAAAGAGAGAGAAAGAGAGAGTGAGAGAGAGATAGAGTATGAGAGGGAGAATGAGAGAGAGTGATAGAGAAAGAGAGAGATAGTGTGAGAGAGAATAAGAGAGTGATAGAGAAAGAGAGAGTGAGATAGAGAGTGATAGAGAAAGACAGTTAGAGAGAGATAAAGTGTGCGAGTGAGAGTGAGAGAGAGTGAGAGAGAAAGAGTGAGATAGAGTGAGACGGAGAATGAGAGAGAGTGAGAGAATGAGAGAGAGTGATAGAGAGAGATAGTGTGAGAGAGAATAAGAGAGTGAGAGAGAGAGTGATAGAGAAAGAGAGTGAGAGTGATAGAGTGTGAGAGGGAAAATGAGAGAGTGATAGAGAAAGAGAGAGTGAGAGTGAGATAGAGAGAGAGAGAGAGAGAGAGAAAGAATGAGAGAGAGTGATAGAGAAAGACAGTCAGAGAGAGATAAAGTGTGAGAGTGAGAGAGAGTGAGAGAATGAGAGAGAAAGAGAGTGAGTGAGACACAGAGAGAGAGAGAGGGAATAGGAGAATGAGAGAGAGTGAGAGAATGAGAGAGAGAGTGATAGAGAAAGAGAGAGATAGTGTGACAGAGAATAAGAGTAAGTGAGTGAGTATGGTTTTACGCCGCTTATAGCAATATTCCAGCAATATCGCGGCGGGGAACACCAGAAATGGGCTTCACACATTGTACCCATGTCGGGAATCGAACCCGGGTTTTCGGCGTGACGAGCGAACGCTTTAACCAATAGGCTACCCGACAGCCCCAGAGAATAAGAGAGTGAGAGAGAGAGTGATAGAGAAAGAGAGAGTGAGAGTGAGATAGAGAGTGAGAGAGAGAAAGAATGAGAGAGAGTGATAGAGAAAGACAGTTAGAGAGAGATAAAGTGTGAGAGTGAGAGTGAGAGAATGAGTGAGAGAAAGAGAGAGTGAGAGAGATAGAGAGTGTAAAAGAGTGAGAGTGAGTGAAAGTAAGAGTGTGAGAGAGAGAGAATGAAAGAGAGAGAGAAAGAGAGAGAAAGAGAGAGTGAGAGTGAGATAGAGTATGAGAGGGAGAATGAGAGAGAGTGATAGAGAAAGAGAGAGATAGTGTGAGAGAGAATAAGAGAGTGAGAGAGAGTGATAGAGAAAGAGAGAGTGAGATAGAGAGTGATAGAGAAAGACAGAGAGAGATAAAGTGTGAGAGTGAGAGTGAGAGAGAGTGAGAGAATGAGAGAGAGAAAGAGAGTGATAGAGAAAGAGAGAGAGAGTGAGAGAGAGAAAGAATGAGAGAGAGTGATAGAGAAAGACAGTTAGAGAGAGATAAAGTGAGAGTGAGAGTGAGAGAGAATGAGAGTAAGAGTGAGAGAGTAAGAGAGAGAGAGAAAGAGAGAGTGAGAGAGATAGAGTGTGAAATAGAGTGAGAGTGAGTGAGAGTATGAGAGAGTGAGAGTGTGAGAGAGAGAATGAAAGAGTGAGAGAGAAAGAGAGTGAGAGAGAGAGAGTGAGAGAATGAGAGTGAGAGTGAGATAGAGTATGAGAGGGAGAATGAGAGAGAGTGATAGAGAAAGAGAGAGTGAGATAGAGAGTGTGAGAGAGAAAGAGAGTGAGAGAAAAAGAGAGTGAGAGAATGAGAGTGAGAATGAGAGAGTGATAGAGAAAGAGAGAGTGAGATAGAGAGTGATAGAGAAAGACAGTTAGAGAGAGATAAAGTGAGAGTGAGAGAATGAGAGAGTGAGCGAGAAAGAGAGAGTGAGAGTGAGATAGAGAGTGAGAGAGAGAAAGAATGAGAGAGAGTGATAGAGAAGACAGTTATAGAGAGAGATAAAGTGTGAGAGTGAGAGTGAGAGAGAGTGAAAGAATGAGAGTGAGAGAGAAAGAGAGTGAGAGAGATAGAGTGTGAAAGAGCGTGAGAGTGAGTGAGAGAGTATGAGAGAGTGAGAGTGTGAGAGAGAGAATGAAAGAGAGTGAGAGAGAAAGAGAGTGAGAGAGAGAGTGAGAGAATGAGAGTGAGATAGAGTATGAGAGAGAGTGATAGAGAAAGAGAGAGTGAGATAGAGTGTGAGAGAGAAAGAGAGAGTCAGAGAGATAGAGAGTGAGAGTGAGATAAGAGAGAATGAGAGAGAAAGAGAGAGTGAGAGAGATAGAGAGTGTGAGAGAGAGAGAGTGAGAGAGTGATAGTGAGTGAGTGAGTGAGTTTGGTTTTACGCCGCTTTTAGCAATATCCCAGCAATATCACGGCGGGGACACCAGAAATGGGCTTCAGAGAGTGATAGAGAAAGAGAGGGATAGTGTGAGAGAGAATAAGAGAGAGAAAGTGATAGAGAAAGAGAGAGTGAGATAGAGAGTGATAGAGAAAGACAGTTAGAGAGAGATAAAGTGTGAGAGTGAGAGAGAGTGAGAGAGAAAGAGTGAGATAGAGTGAGACGGAGAATGAGAGAGAGAGTGAGAGAATGAGAGACAGTGATAGAGAAAGAGAGAGATACTGTGAGAGAGAATAAGAGAGAGAGTGAGATAGAGAAAGAGTGAAAGTGATAGAGTGAGAGGGAGAATGAGAGTGATACAGAAAGAGAGAGTGAGAGTGAGATAGAGAGAGAGAGAGAGAGAGAAAGAATGAGAGAGAGTGATAGAGAAAGACAGTTAGAGAGAGATAAAGTGTGAGAGTGAGAGAGTGAGAGAATGAGAGAGTGAGAGAAAGAGAGTGAGTGAGATAGAGAGAGATAGAGAGAGAGAGAGAGAGAGAGGGAGTAGGAGAATGAGAGAGAGAGTGAGAGAATGAGAGAGAGAGTGATAGAGAAAGAGAGAGACAGTGTGACAGAGAATAAGAGTAAGTGAGTGAGTATGGTTTTACGCCGCTTTTAGCAATATTCCAGCAATATCGCGGCGGGGGACACCAGAAATGGGCTTCACACATTGTACCCATGTCGGGAATCGAAACTGGGTTTTTGGCGTGACGAGCGAACGCTTTAACCACTAGGCTACCCGACCGCCCCAGAGAATAAGAGAGTGAGAGAGAGAGAGTGATAGAGAAAGAGAGAGTGAGAGTGAGATAGAGAGTGAATGAGAGAGAGTGATAGAGAAAGACAGTTAGAGAGAGATAAAGTGTGAGAGTGAGAGTGAGAGTGAGAGAATGAGAGAGTGAGAGAAAGAGAGAGTGAGAGAGATAGAGAGTGTGAAAGAGTGAGAGTGAGTGAAAGTAAGAGTGTGAGAGAGAGAATGAAAGAGAGAGAGAGTGAGAGAGTGAGAGTGAGATAGAGTATGAGAGGGAGAATGAGAGAGAGTGATAGAGAAAGAGAGAGATAGTGTGCGAGAGAATAAGAGAGTTAGAGAGAGTGATAGAGAAAGAGAGAGTGAGATAGAGAGTGATAGAGAAAGACAGTTAGAGAGAGATAAAGTGTGAGAGTGAGAGTGAGAGAGAGTGAGAGAATGAGAGAGAGAGAGTGATAGAGAAAGAGAGAGTGAGAGAGAGAAAGAATGAGAGAGAGTGATAGAGAAAGACAGTTAGAGAGAGATAAAGTGTGAGAGTGAGAGTGAGAGAGAATGAGAGAGTAAGAGAGAGAGAAAGAGAGAGTGAGAGAGATAGAGTGTGAAAGAGAGTGAGAGTGAGTGAGAGTATGAGAGAGTGAGAGTGTGAGAGAGAGAATGAAAGAGAGTGAGAGAGAAAGAGAGTGAGAGAGAGAGTGAGAGAATGAGAGAGAGAGAGAGTATGAGAGTGAGAATGAGAGAGAGTGATAGAGAAAGAGAGAGTGAGATAGAGAGTGTGAGAGAGAAAGAGAGTGAGAGAGAGTGAGAGAATGAGAGTGAGAGGGAGAATGAGAGAGTGATAGAGAAAGAGAGAGTGAAATAGAGAGTGATAGAGAAAGACAGTTAGAGAGAGATAAAGTGTGAGAGTGAGAGAATGAGAGAGTGAGCGAGAAAGAGAGAGTGAGAGTGAGATAGAGAGTGAGAGAGAGAAAGAATGAGAGAGAGTGATAGAGAAAGACAGTTATAGAGAGAGATAAAGTGTGAGAGTGAGAGAGAGTGAAAGAATGAGAATGAGAGAGAAAGAGAGAGTGAGAGAGATAGAGAGTGTGAAAGAGCGTGAGAGTGAGTGAGAGAGTATGAGAGAGTGAGAGTGTGAGAGAGAGAATGAAAGAGTGAGAGAGAATGAGAGTGAGATAGAGTATGAGAGAGAGTGATAGAGAAAGAGAGAGTGAGATAGAGAAAGAGAGAGTCAGAGAGATAGAGAGTGAGAGTGAGATAAGAGAGAATGAGAGAGAGAGTGAGAGAGATAGAGACTGAGAGAGAGAGAGAGTGAGAGAGTGATAGAGTATGACAGAGTGAGAGTGTGAGTGAGAGAGAATGAAAGAGAGAGAGAGAAAGAGAAAGAGTGAGAGAGAGAGTGAGAGAGTGGGAGAATGAGAGTGAGATAGAGAGTGTGAGGGAGAATGAGAGAGAGTGATAGAGAAAGACAGAGTTAGAGAGAGATAAAGTGTGAGAGTGAGAGAGAGAGATAGAGTATGAGCGAGTGAGAGTGTGAGAGAGAATGAAAGAGAGTGAGAGAGAAAGAGTGAGAGAATGAGAGTGAGATAGAGAGTGTGAGAGGGAGAATGAGAGAGAGTGATAGAGAGAGAGTGAGAGAGAAAGAGTGAGAGAGTGAGAGAATGAGAGTGAGATAGAGAGTGAGAGGGAGAATGAGAGAGTGCTAGAGGACAGAGTAAGAGAGAGATAAAGTGTGACAGTGAGAGAGAAAGAGAAAGAGAGAGTGAGAGAGTATGAGAGAGTGAGTGTGAGAGAGAGAATGAAAGAGAGAGAGAGAAAGAAAGAGAATGAGAGTGAGTGAGTGAGTGAGAGAATGAGAGTGAGATAGAGTGTGAGAGGGAGAATGAGAGAGTGATAGAGAAAGAGAGAGTGAGATAGAGTGTGAGAGAGAAAGAGAGAGTGAGAGAGAAAGGGAAAGAGTGAGAGAGAGAGAGAGAGAGTGAGAGAATGAGAGTGAGATAGAGTGTGAGAGGGAGAATGAGAGAGAGTGAGAGAGAAAGAGAGTGAGATAGAGAGTGAGCGAGAAAGAGAGAGCGAGATAGAGTGTGAGAGAGAGTGAGAGTTAGATAGAGAGAATGAGAGAGGAAGAGAGTCTGAGAGATAGAGAGTGTGAGAGAGAGTGATAGAGAGAGTATGACAGAGTGAGAGTGAGTGAGAGAGTGATAGAGAGAGTATGACAGTGAGAGAGAGGGAATGAAAGAGAGTGAGAGAAAGAGTGAGAGAGAGTGTGAGAATGAGAGTGAGATAGAGAGTGTGAGAGGGAGAATGAGAGAGTGATAGAGAAAGACAGAGTTAGAGAGAGATAAAGTGTGAGAGTGTGAGAGAGTGAGAGTGAGAGAATGAGAGAGAGAGCGAATGAGAGAGAGTGAGAGAGATAGAGAGTGAGAGAGTGAGAGTGAGTGATAGAGAGAGAGTATGACTACTATTACCATGACAAATCATGAAACTCAATCAGGCTTTCATCACATGGCATACCTTGGCACTGTTTAGGTTATCCGCCACACGTTTGAGGAGTGGAGAGTAGTCTCCCCTGGTAACCTTGAAGGTGATTGGTCCGGCAACATCTGCTGGTGTAAACTGATGTTCTCCAAGCCCATTTTCAGTTTTCACACCCGGAATATCTCCACTGGCTGGTGAGAAAGATGTCGGACAGATAATAACCCCATTTGATAAAGTTATTTCTGATTAATATGCAAGTATTGCTAAATAAAAGCCTCTGACAATCATTTTGGCTGACTTCCATTCGCTTAGCCCATTTTTTCAAAGAACCACAAAGAGGCAACTACTTTTTCCATAATCAACACCAACCAAATGGTCTTTCAGCCTCAGTTATAACATATGACTTACAATATCAATATCAGATTGTTTTCACATCATACCCGTTTGTTTGACTTCCATAGCAATGTGCATGCACGTCTGTGCATGGTTGCTTGTATTGTCGAGACATGCTGACTTTATAGTCCTAGCCTACTGAGGCACCGTCACACAATTTAACATGGATACCCTGCTCAGACTTAGTGTACTGACTCTATAATAACCACAGTGCTCCCGCTGTCTTCTGAAACTGCCAGTCCCAGTGGACTGTCAACTATAAAAATTACCAGTCCCACCCAACAATTGTCAGTCCCAACTTTGAACAAATAATACTGGTATGAAAATCACCTGGTTTTAATTTTTTCAACATCAATTACAATGCAGTGTACTTTTAAGGCTCACCATTTCAGTGACGTCATGTCTAAAGTAACTTAGTTAGATCTACACATCATCCATGTAAAGTTCAATCGCAATTTTCTCCCTTTTTTCACTTGATTCAAGACTAAGTCACTACAACCTACACTTAACCTCGAAGCAATGCGATATATTATTTCCTTGCACTAAAAATAGCTTATAATGCTGACTTCCTTCGAAAAATACACTTTTTTGACTATCAACGATGTTTTGTTCAACAAAGATTTACAGATGCCTTATTTGCCGGTCCAAAGGAACTGGCACTCACAAGAATTACCAGTCCAAGCCTAATATTACCGGTAAAAAACTGGTAACTACCGGTTAACGGGAACACAGGACCAGTCCTTGTTTTAGCCCTTTAATGCCGGCCAACTTTCAATGTCTTTGGTTTTATCCAGACAGGAACCTGAACTGGCCTTCAGCTCTCAGGGCAAATGCTCTGTCCACTACACCACGGAGGTGGTCACATTTCATACAGAAGTATTCAAATCAAATAATAAAATAATCACTTCATCTAAACTAGTAAAAACATATGTCTCCCCCCACTCCCCTAACCCCCATTCATTCGTTTACTTCACGTTAAACCCCATCTCTTCATTCCCACCCTCCATTACTAAATAACAGAGACAAAAATAGAACTCCTATAAATTTCAAACAACTAATGGGCACCACTTCGGCGTCTAATCAACACCACTAATCCCTCAATCATTTACCCACCTGACAGTGTAGTCATCTAAGTAGCACAGTTTTCTTGTTACTGAAGTATTTGTAGAAAATCCGCTTAAAGTACTAATAGAGATTGGACACAAATATATTAATATCCCCAACATATCAGAAATGATGTAGCAATGTTATATGGCACAAAGGAAAGTCTCTGTGATGTAATTGCCCGTGTATCGGACTCTGCAGGTCTTCTACACAATGACATATGTGATGTCATGGAAACTGTAATAGCAAAAGGCACCACTTCAGTGCTGGGTTAATGTGTATACAAAGTTTCGCGAAAAAATATTAAATGGTTTCTGAGTTATGGTCAGGAAACAAAGCTTACCCCCATTCAGAGCCTATGTTCAACTTATCTCCATGGAAACGAGAAAAAATAAAAATGTCAAAAATCTCTTAATAGCAAAAGGCACCACTTCAGTGCTGGGTTAATGTGTATACAAAGTTTCGCGAAAAAATATTAAACGGTTTCCGAGTTATGGTCCGGAAACCAAGTTTACCCCCATTCAGAGTCTATGTTCAAGTTATCTCCATGGAAACGAGAAAAAATAAAAATGTCAAAAATCTCTAAATAGCAAAAGGCACCACTTCAGCGCTGGGTTAATGTGTATACAAAGTTTCGCGAAAAAATATTAAACGGTTTCTGAGTTATGGTCAGGAAACAAAGCTTACCCCCATTCAGAGTCTATGTTCAACTTATCTCCATGGAAACGAGAAAAAATAAAAATGTCAAAAATCTCTAAATAGCAAAAGGCACCACTTCAGTGCTGGGTTAATGTGTATACAAAGTTTCGCGAAAAAATATTAAACGGTTTCCGAGTTATGGTCCGGAAACCAAGTTTACCCCCATTCAGAGTCTATGTTCAACTTATCTCCATGGAAACGAGAAAAAATAAAAATGTCAAAAATCTCTAAATAGCAAAAGGCACCACTTCAGCGCTGGGTTAATGTGTATACAAAGTTTCGCGAAAAAATATTAAACGGTTTCTGAGTTATGGTCAGGAAACAAAGCTTACCCCCATTCAGAGTCTATGTTCAACTTATCTCCATGGAAACGAGAAAAAATAAAAATGTCAAAAATCTCTAAATAGCAAAAGGCACCACTTCAGTGCTGGGTTAATGTGTATACAAAGTTTCGCGAAAAAATATTAAACGGTTTCCGAGTTATGGTCCGGGAACCAAGCTTACCCCCATTCAGAGTCTATGTTCAACTTATCTCCATGGAAACGAGAAAAAATAAAAATGTCAAAAATCTCTAAATAGCAAAAGGCACCACTTCAGTGCTGGGTTAATGTGTATACAAAGTTTCGCGAAAAAATATTAAACGGTTTCCGAGTTATGGTCAGGAAACAAAGCTTACCCCCATTCAGAGTCTATGTTCAACTTATCTCCATGGAAACGAGAAAAAATAAAAATGTCAAAAATCTCTAAATAGCAAAAGGCACCACTTCAGTGCTGGGTTAATGTGTATACAAAGTTTCGCGAAAAAATATTAAACGGTTTCCGAGTTATGGTCAGGAAACAAAGCTTACCCCCATTCAGAGTCTATGTTCAACTTATCTCCATGGAAACGAGAAAAAATAAAAATGTCAAAAATCTCTAAATAGCAAAAGGCACCACTTCAGTGCTGGGTTAATGTGTATACAAAGTTTCGCGAAAAAATATTAAACGGTTTCTGAGTTATGGTCCGGAAACGGTGGGAACGCTGACGCCGACGCCGACACCGACGGGAACCGTGCCAAAAACAATATGTCTCCCTCCATTCTGGGGGAGACATAAATATGGCTATTAATGGATAGTGCTTACCTGCAGTCTCGACAGAGGCCAGCCTGATCTCATAGACAGGGAGACTGGTACTCTTGTCTTCTGTCTTGAACAGGCGAGTATTGTATGGACTCAAGTCCTGGGGAAAACAACAGGAATTAATACAGACAAAAAATATCTAATCTAATTAACCCAGCAGCCATACGGGGAAACAAACAATGATCTGGCGATACTTGATACAATCAGTTGCACAACAAGGGATTTATCTAGACCTGCTCAGGGCCGATATTAGGCCCTAGGTCTGCAGCAAATGTAGGTCAATATTCCCAATATTGAATTACAAATTTCCTTATCCATATTATACAGTAGTCTACCATGACTTTGAAGAATGCTTGATTTTGATTGGTTCAAAAGAGGTATCCTTTTTTAATTAAGCCTTTGTACACAATCTACATCTGTAAATACCAATTTCCGGATAAACCTTCGCATTTCAACTTGTGATTCAACCCGTAACAAAACCTCACTGAACAGAATTGCCATATAGAAAAATTTTTGTGTAGTTGTCTACTGGAAAATTAAATTATTTCATTACAAATGTAAGACCTTGAAACATACATTCTCCCTACCTAACACACAGGGACGGTTCACCACCCCTTGTATTTGTGACTTATAAAGATGTTTTGTGTTTGCAAAATTTCAAAACATATCAAGTGTTATGTTCACTGCAGTGAAATATCAAGTGTTATGTTCACTGCAGTGAAATATCAAGTGTTATGTTCACTGCAGTGAAATATCAAGTGTTATGCTTACTGCAGTGAAATATCAAGTGTTATGCTTACTGCAGTGAAATATCAAGTGTTATGCTTACTGCAGTGAAATATCAAGTGTTATGCTTACTGCAGTGAAATATCAAGTGTTATGTTTACTGCAGTGAAATATCAAGTGTTATGTTTACTGCAGTGAAATATCAAGTGTTATGTTTACTGCAGTGAAATATCAAGTGTTATGTTTACTGTGGTGAAATATCAAGTGTTATGTTTACTGCAGTGAAATATCAAGTGTAATGTTCACTGGGGTGAAATATCAAGTGTTATGTTTACTGCAGTGAAATATCAAGTGTTATGTTCACTGCAGTGAAATATCAAGTGTTATGTTTACTGCAGTGAAATATCAAGTGTTATGTTTACTGCAGTGAAATATCAAGTGTTATGTTTACTGCAGTGAAATATCAAGTGTTATGTTCACTGCAGTGAAATATCAAGTGTTATGTTCACTGTGGTGAAATATCAAGTGTTATGTTCACTGCAGTGAAATATCAAGTGTTATGTTCACTGCAGTGAAATATCAAGTGTTATGTTCACTGCAGTGAAATATCAAGTGTTGTGACTACTGCAGTGAAATATCAAGTGTTATGCTTACTGCAGTGAAATATCAAGTGTTATGCTTACTGCAGTGAAATATCAAGTGTTATGCTTACTGTAGTGAAATATCAAGTGTTATGCTTACTGCAGTGAAATATCAAGTGTTATGTTTACTGCAGTGAAATATCAAGTGTTATGTTTACTGCAGTGAAATATCAAGTGTTATGTTTACTGCAGTGAAATATCAAGTGTTATGTTTACTGTGGTGAAATATCAAGTGTTATGTTTACTGCAGTGAAATATCAAGTGTTATGTTCACTGTGGTGAAATATCAAGTGTTATGTTTACTGCAGTGAAATATCAAGTGTTATGTTCACTGCAGTGAAATATCAAGTGTTATGTTTACTGCAGTGAAATATCAAGTGTTATGTTTACTGCAGTGAAATATCAAGTGTTATGTTTACTGCAGTGAAATATCAAGTGTTATGTTCACTGTGGTGAAATATCAAGTGTTATGTTTACTGCAGTGAAATATCAAGTGTTATGTTCACTGTGGTGAAATATCAAGTGTTATGTTCACTGCAGTGAAATATCAAGTGTTATGTTCACTGTGGTGAAATATCAAGTGTTATGTTCAATGCAGTGAAATATCAAGTGTTATGTTCACTGTGGTGAAATATCAAGTGTTATGTTCACTGCAGTGAAATATCAAGTGTTATGTTCACTGCAGTGAAATATCAAGTGTTATGTTCACTGTGGTGAAATATCAAGTGTTATGTTCACTGCAGTGAAATATCAAGTGTTATGTTCACTGTGGTGAAATATCAAGTGTTATGTTCACTGCAGTGAAATATCAAGTGTTATGTTCACTGTGGTGAAATATCAAGTGTTATGTTCACTGTGGTGAAATATCAAGTGTTATGTTCACTGCAGTGAAATATCAAGTGTTATGTTCACTGTGGTGAAATATCAAGTGTTATGTTCACTGCAGTGAAATATCAAGTGTTATGTTCACTGTGGTGAAATATCAAGTGTTATGTTCACTGCAGTGAAATATCAAGTGTTATGTTCACTGCAGTGAAATATCAAGTGTTATGTTCACTGCAGTGAAATATCAAGTGTTATGTTCACAGCAATGAAAATATCACTTTCCTCAACATCAGAAAACTCAGTCTTTCACACTGGAGTATGTAATGAATTATCCTGGTGTTATTAGTGATATCATAAAGGGATATATGACTGAGTTAGCAGACAAACAAATCAGGAGTTGAAATTATTTGACTCAGGCTTAGTAGGACTACCAATCAACACCAGCCAAGTCCCCCTTTAATGATGCTAAGAGTCGTGTTAAATGTATCTAGACAAGAACAATCACTGGACAGGTGATCTCTATGACATTATACTTACCATTTTATTCATAAATTCTTGAGCAATTTCACCATCTCGTTTGTCACAGTTCTGTGAGAAGTAGGTTGTTGTTCCCTGAGGGTGGAATATGACATTAGGAGATTTGACCATGACAGAGAGATTTGTCCATGACATTAGGAGATTTGTACATGACATTAAGGGATTTGTCCATGACATTAGGAGATTTGTTCATGACATTAGGAGATTTGTTCATGACATTAGGGGATTTGTACATGGCATGAGGAATCTCCAACATCAGGATCACAGCTGTGATTACACAACAATCATTCTCAAGAGGGGTACACATGCTACGTGATCTAGAATACCTGTTGTCAGACTTACATTTTTGTGGAAGCCTCAGTGGCTGAGAAGTTTACTGTGTGCTGTCGATTAGGTGCCTCACTCTGTGAGTGTGGGTTCAAATCCCGGATGGGACTCCACCCAAAAACGTGCTAGAATTTGTAATTTACAAAGAAAGTGCTAACCCAAATATAACACTTGTTACATATGACCACATTCTTAAAATTGTGTATTCAGACTCGCGATTTTTCACTTCTTGATAAAAGTATCGATCACAATTGCATCCTGAGAAAAAGTATCGATTCTAACCTTAAATGTATTCTTTAATAAATGTTACACCAAACACTAATTACTAGTGAGTGAGTGAGTGAGGTTTTATGCCGCTTTTAGCAATATGTCATGGCTGGGGACACCACAAATGGGCTTCACACATTGTACCCATGTCGGGAATCGAACCCGCGTCTTGGGCGTGACGAGCGAACGCTTTAACCACTAGGCTACCCAACCACCCCCTAATTAATAGTGAAAATAAGTAGTGAAAATGTAAATATTTTCATCCATTGCGCCGTACTTGACAATGCCAATAGTAAATTGTAAGTGTGCCAGGTATTTGGCCAACCTGTCTATGAAAAAAGGTGGCTTACGCATCACTGATAAGAGCATGTGCAAGTATCGTGATATGTATTGGATCGTGAACAAGGTATCGTGATAAGTATCGGATCGCACAGTTGGTGTATCGTCCCAGCCTTAATAATTACTCAATTCTTGAAACATTATATCACTCTATTCAACACCAGTAAATGCCACTGCAGTTATAGTTTGGTTGTTATGGTTACTCGACATGCTTAAAGGAGTTTGTGACAAATAAACACAAAACTAAAAATAAGTGTGTGTGTGTGTGTGTAATAAGGGTAACCACTGTCATGTTAGCTCTGGTACTTTTGGCGTCAAATTGTTAAAATTATGTATGTTTCTCTTTACCTTTCTGGCTATACTATGAGTGAGTGAGTGAGTGAGTGAGTGAGTGAGTGAGTGAGTGAGTGAGTGAGTGAGTGAGTGAGTGAGTGAGTGAGTGAGTGAGTGAGTGAGTGAGTGAGTGAGTGAGTGAGTGAGTGAGTGAGTGAGTGAGTGAGTGAGTGAGTGAGTGAGTGAGTGAGTGAGTGAGTGAGTGAGTGAGTGAGTGAGTGAGTGAGTGAGTGAGTGAGTGAGTGAGTGAGTGAGTGAGTGAGTGAGTGAGTGAGTGAGTGAGTGAGTGAGTGAGTGAGTGAGTGAGTGAGTGAGTGAGTGAGTGAGTGAGTGAGTGAGTGAGTGAGTGAGTGAGTGAGTGAGTGAGTGAGTGAGTGAGTGAGTGAGTGAGTGAGTGAGTGAGTGAGTGAGTGAGTGAGTGAGTGAGTGAGTGAGTGAGTGAGTGAGTGAGTGAGTGAGTGAGTGAGTGAGTGAGTGAGTGAGTGAGTGAGTGAGTGACTGAGTGACTGAGTGACTGAGAGTGAAAGAATATGGTCTTACGCCACTTTTAGCAATATTCTAGCAATTTTCCAGCAATATCAAGGCGTGGGACACCAGAAATGGTCTTCACACATGGTACCCATGTTGGGAATCGAATCCGTCTTCAGTGTGATGAGCAAACGCTTTAACCACTAGGCTACACGACCACCACCTAAACTATGAAGTGACCTTTAATTTCAACTACCAACCTTTCGTTAAAAATGCATCAGCAAAAAGACAAAATGTATTTGTGAACAGTGCACACAAAAAATTCAGAGAAAGATTCCATGTAGATGTGGATGTGCATTACAGATGCTGACACAGATTTCCAGTATTCTTATCCCCATGGGTTAAACCATACTGCCCGTTAGCATGGTGTGTCAGCTTGAAATAAATCATGAGTCAACACATGGAATGATATACCCTGACACTTGTTTTCCTGTTTCACTACTTCAGATGTAGTATAATTAAATTTATTGTTTGTCTGTTTGTTTGATTTTTGTTTAAGGCGTACTCAGCAATATCCCAGCTACATCATGTATATGAGAGCAGTCTGTAAACAATCGAGTTTGGACCAGACAATCCAGTGATTGACATAATAAAATTAATTAAACGAACATTATGGCATTAAATGAACAATACTACTAAGAGGTCACATTTCTAAGTATCAAGGTAATATCTATATTTAATAACATTACACCTTCAAAGCTGAATCATATGCCTTAATTTACTAAAAGTTTCTCTATACCAATTATAATGACTGACTGAAAAACAAATGATGAAAATTAATTATATGGTTCTAATTTATATAAAGTCGTTTATCTTTTAAATGACATCCCACATTTTTAAATGAGCAATATTGTGTCTAGGGTTACAAAACCAATACCAACCATATGACCAGTCATTATCAGCCATCATGTTACATAGATGCCTTAGAACATGTATAGTCTCAATTTAATTTCTTTGATAGGCATTTAGAAGTTGGAGTACTTAGTAAGGATAAGAATTTATGGATGAACAACTTCTTTATTACAATAAGAGCGATGTTTCAGTGTAGGTTCTAACACTTGCTTGATAACGGTGTTAGAACCTACACCGAAACGTCGCTCTTATTGTAATAAAGAAGTTGTTCATCCAAAAATTCTTATCCTTACTCAATTTAATTTTCTAAAATTTGTTATAATCTTTAAATTTTAATACTGTTCAGGATAATATGATATTATGGAAAGCAAAAGGTATACGCACCTTCTCCCCCAGCCCAAGTTCCTTGTCCCTGGCTTCGAGGGAATACATGGGGCTCTGGACGGAGTTCCACAGGGACTGGATACCCCCGGGGTCGGCAGCAGCAGCAGCACTGTTCAGGATCAACTTCGCCATCTTCTCCTGCACACACAGAAACAACATCATGCACAGTTTAACTCTGCAGTCTGCATCAGCAGAAACATCCATATGGATAAACACATTGATTCTGGGCCTCGCAGAACAGTGACTACAAGGAGGAGCAACAACCCACCTTCATTGTGTCACAGTCAAGTCAAGAGCATAACCACAAATTCCTATACAGTATGCAGGAGCAATCGCAAATCAGATACTCCGATAGGAACACCTACACAGGAGGTCGCTTCAGGTGGGTGAACATTTCAATTAAGCCAAACAGTGTCAAGGCTCCAAAATTAAAATGAACATAATTGGGGAGTTCCGAATGCAAAATAATAAATGTCTTGCCATAACATTGCTGTGGATACGGTTGTAAATTCATACCTTCCCTTGTTTCTGAGTGGGACGACATCTCCACCTAAACTAGTGTACCAACTAGGGTATATTTGTGTTGCGGGTGAGTTTTCTTTGCTATGACTGAATTTTTTCCAGACACAAAATATTGAAATGTGAACTAATGCACATTATGTGTCCTGGGGGATGCAAATAACCTGATGTGATGCATGTTACATGTGACGATTTTTCTTTTCTGGTAAGAAATACAATCAAAGTTCAGAGCATCAATTGTGGACTTTCTGGGATGTATCTTGGATTCCAAACCAAGTGCCTTTGACGGGCAAATTTGGGGGAAAAATGTGATATTGTTCAAAAATGCTCTTTTTTTTATATAAATGTATTTTTTAGGGTAAAAATATAATTTATACTTGTCCTGACACATACTTATTTCTAATTGCTTGTCTCATCTCATTCTGAAAAGGTTGTGGAAACTCCTTTTTCTGCATTCTCAAGAACATTCCCAAGAGTGTTCCCAAGAATGCAGAAATACATTTCAGCCGAACGCACCCCCAGATGGGCTGATGCGTTGTCGCCATTGTCGATTCTAGTGCGGCTAAAGTCTATTGCATCTGTTTTTTACATTCTGGCAGACTTAGCTAAAGCCAGTAAAACAAAAGTTTCTGCATCAGCGAAACCGTTATTCTTCAAGAGGTTCATAAGCATTAGAATGCTTGAGGATGTGTAAGTCCCATGCTGGAGCTTTGATTTCCTCTGCTTATCTTCTATACTGTAAGAACAGGGCAGAGTGATCAGTTCAGGAACTTTAGTCTGTTTGATACAGAACTTTAGTCTGTGTTATACATGGTGAGACCGGAGCTGACAACTGATAGACACATCGTCCTGGTAAAAGGCGCAACAAAGTCCTTTGTTGTGAAGGACGGTCACGATTGGGTTGGTCATCCATGTAAACAATGACGAGCCGTGGAAATGCCAAATGGCATGACAGCCCATTGATAGTGATGGTTGTTGAAAAGAAAACTGACGTACTTCCTGGGCTCTGGATGTGTTGGGATGTGTAGATATGCGCCTCGCAGATCTATGCTTGCCAGATAGTCGACTTGCCTTATCATCTGTCGCAATTGAGGTAGATGAAACATTCTGAATATTTTCCAGCTTTTGTAGGTAGTACCAGAGACCATATACCGATATATGGTCTCTGGTAGTACTTGTTGAAAGTCTTCATGAATATCGGAGAATAGAACCCCTGGGTGAGGACATCCTATTGACTAACCCCCACTGCTCCCATGGCAAGAAGTGAATTGATCGCCTGTGTTAATTTGGGGAGCAGTACCTCCGAGTATTGTACCTGTGGAGGGTTGAGAGGAAGAGGGGGTGAGAGGAAGAGGGGGTGAGAGGAAGAGGGGGTGCTGAAGGTACCAACACTGCAGCCTTTCTTTTGAATGTTTGTGACGAATGGGTCGTCTAAGATGTCCCAATTTCTCCAAAATGTTAGAACAAACCCCTCCCGAACCCCCCAAAAATCCACCGCCTGCCCGCACTATATTTTCAGAAGCCATCACCTAAGAACCAATTCTTTAATTTGTTTAAGCCTAACACAAAAAACTGTAGACAATTGATGACATCAAGCAGCGCAATAATGCAACACAAGTCCCGCCCACTCTATTGTAACTATTTTTTCAGTTTATTGAAATAAAAATCAAACAATAGTTGCAAAAATAATTGCTTGTTTAGCCAACCAAATGGCATGGAATCACTTAAAATGTATTTATTTGTTTTTCTATCCTAAATATACATTTACATGAGCAACACAAGGGTACCTGTTCCCAATTTCATATCTCACAATAATCAGAGTTGTCTCCCTTACTCCTTAACAATGTTTACAGGTTTCCAAACAATCCTCATGTTTGACTATTTCTTTCAAGATTAGAAAATGACTGATAGGCCAGCAGCCTCTGTTGGCCGACTGTTTCGCAAACTAATATTGAACATTTCCCAAATTACATCATTGTGTATTGTGACGTGTTTGTAAACTTTGTGGTGCTGAATTCTAAAGGTAGGCCCACTTTTGTCTCTCAACTGAACTCAAAAGAAAGCAATCTTCATCAATTAATATCAAAAAAAACATGACACTGTTCACATGGTGCAGTTGAATCACCTGATATTTTAAGGCCAGACTTTTGAGGGTGGATTACAGATCTTGATAGTCAAATTTTGGTTGGTAGGTTGAAAAAAATAAAAAATAAATGCATTGAATCTTTTGTTGGATCGGTAAGGTGAAAAAAATATAATGCCGATTTATGGTCTGACACAATTCCGTTTTAGTCACATAAAACTTTCAAGAGATTTTCACTGTCGGCAGTATGAAAAACGCCTTGTCGATCTTATTTTTTAGCTGCATTTTCTATTTTTAAGGCCGGTGGATTTGTAAACCAAGCCAAAGATGGCTAGCCTAATGTTGTGCACACCGCAGTGTGCTGATAGGCATGTCATTTCAGTGAGTCAACTTAACCAGCTACTTGTTGGTCTAGACAATTTCAGCTAAGATCAGCTAGTCATCTTAATTCTAGTCCATATGATTATGATAAAACTAATCTAAAAAAATAAATCTGTATCTAAAAAATCACATGACAATTACATAACAATCACATTTCTGACAACACAATGACCTCTAATCTTGCATCTTCCCAAAGCAAGAGAGTTACCTGATTATAAAAGTCCAGTTTCCACCCTTGCCGAACTAGGCTGGAATTATGGAGTTATATTTTGGCTGAACTAACGAGTCTATGCATAGTCCAATCAAAATTGCATAACAAAATCGACATCCTGTTCATAAACTGTGGTGCAGATTTCTGTCAATTGTCACCTGTGTTAGATACTTTCCAAATCTTTTCATGTTTTGAAACAAGGTGCTCCAGTGATTTGATGCACTTCACGAAGTAAGACCTGTTTTATCACAATATAGATTTTGATTGTCGACCAGATTGTCTAGATTTTGTATGAAGCAAATGCAAATGACATAAGAGCCAAAATGTGATTCGTTAAAGGAAGTGCCATAACTCGTCACTGGTCGTAATAGCTACAAAGTACAATCGAGCCCAGAAATTCCAGCCCAGCTCAGCAAGGTGAGGTGTGGTGAAATGGGGTTTAATGTCGCGTCCAAGATTATTGCACTTTTATGGCGACGTGCATGCTCGTATGTGTGTGTGTATGCGTTGTTGCTTGTACTAGTCTAATGATCTAATGCTGAGTTTATAGTGCTAGCCCACTGAGATACCAAGGCGCAGTTTAACATGTATACCCCATTCAGACACAGTATACTGACTCCGAGCCGACCAGTCCATGTTTTAGCCCCTTTATGCCGAGCGCCAGACAGGGTAAAAACAAGTACCATCTTTTAAGGTCTTTTGGTATGACGCACCCAGGGATCGAACCCCTGACCTTGCACTCTCCGGGCGGAGGCTCTACCACAAGGCCACGGAGGCGGTCTTAGTTCGGCAAGGGTGGAAACTGGACTTTAATAGTCAGTTGACTCTCTTGCCTCAGGAAGATGCTAATCTTGAAACATGTTACCAAAGTGTTTCTCATCGGTTTCTTACCTTTGGCAAATTGGGGATAAATTTGCTGTCCCCAAATGACTTGTAGTTGCCCATGTTGCAGTAGAAGCCAGCTGCATACATCAGCACAGCCTAGAGGGAAGCAATATGCACATGTAGCCAGTTTTGGAAATAAAATTAATTGCCAAGCTGCAGGCCCTGACGATGCTGACTTAACTTTTCAGGCCTTCATTTAAATATGTTCAAAAACTGCAGCTTCTTGTGACAGTCAGTGGGTGAGTGAATGTGTTTTTGAGTTTACGCCGCTTTTAGCAATATTCCAGCAATATCACGGCGGGGGACACCAGAAATGGGCTTTACCCCATGTACCCATGTCGGGAATAAAATGCTTTTACTTGTGACAAGTAAACTGACAGGTATATTGAATACTGGCCATAAGGACCTATACAAATTTGAACTGACAGGCCCAACATGAGATCCACTTGCCATGGGCCAACGGGCAGGTGCTTGTTTTGAACACAGTATGTAGTTTTGAAAGCCTCATTCCACCAAAACCCATATGAACATGATCTTACTTGTTCCCATACTAGTGTTCAATGTGAACAATCTTATTCAGCATGTTCAAAACCAAATTTACACACACCCTCCCCTTCAAAACATTAACAACTTTATATATATTTTCTGGTCTCAACAATAATGTACCTTAAACCTCAAATTCATGTACTAGTATATATCCTTCTATAGTTCCAAGAGAGTTTTGAATTTTCTATGCCCCTTTTTTCATTTGATCAAACAGATAATCATATCAATTTTGCTGTATCTTAATGTTATCCAAACACTAATGTTAGCAAGAGGGGTGAATGAGGCCCACCTGAAACTCCTCCTTGGTGAGGCCATTCTGTGTGGCCACCGTCTCCAGGTCAGATATCGACTGTGCCCGGAACACTCGCTGCAGCAGGACGAAGATTCCTGGGGATTCCGGAGATGTCTGTAATATTGGGAGAAACATGGGACACAACACAACCTGACATGTTAGTCTGCTGGGACACAACCTGATACTTAAGTCTGCTGGGACACAACCTGACACTTTAGTCTGCTGGGACACAACCTGACACTTTAGTTCATGGTACACCACCTGACACTAAAGTCTGCTGGGACACAACCTGACACTTTAGTCTGCTGGGACACAACCTGACACTTTAGTCTGCTGGGACACAACCTGACACTTTAGTCTGCTGGGACACAACACAACCTGACACTTTAGTCTGCTGGGACACAACCTGACACTTTAGTCTGCTGGGACACAACCTGACGCTTTAGTCTGCTGGGACACAACACAACCTGACACTTTAGTCTGCTGGGACACAACCTGACACTTTTGTCTGCTGGGACACAACCTGACACTTTAGTCTGCTGGGACACAACCTGATGCTTTAGTCTGCTGGGACACAACACAACCTGACACTTTAGTCTGCTGGGACACAACCTGACGCTTTAGTCTGCTGGGACACAACACAACCTGACACTTTAGTCTGCTGGGACACAACACAACCTGACACTTTAGTCTGCTGGGACACAACCTGACACTTTTGTCTGCTGGGACACAACACAACCTGACACTTTTCGTCTGCTTGGACACAACCTGAAACTTGAAACACTTTATTTCTGGCCTACCTGCAGGAGGACAATGAGGCCGCCGCTGAAGGAGGCTTGTGAGATGTAGTGGGAGTAGCACTGCTCTTTGTCCGTCAGGCTGTTGAAGGCAACCTCACAGTCCAGCAGGCAGATGCCAGTCTCATTGGACAGCGTGTACTGGGACAGGTCTGTCATTCTGCGGGAGTACTGGTAACAAAAAACACACGGGGTAAGGATTTTGTCATGTGGAATACAAATCAGTTTAGAAAACCTATCATGTCTATGGTCATTGGCCCCTAAAATAATAACCCTCCATTTCCGAGTGAATGACCAGCAAATTCTACTGGTGACCAACACTAACCCAGAACCCAAAGGGTACAGTCAGTAAGAGGTGAGGTGAAATAGGGTTTAATATCGCTTTCAAGATTATTGTACTTATATAGTTATGTGCTCACATATGTATGCATGGCTGAATGTTATGTAACATCTTTTGGTCTGCTGCTGCCAGGAGATCTCAGGCATTTTACTGAATTACTCATGCTTGTTAATTGGGTTAACGAGTTAAACAAGCACTGATTACGTGTGATAGCACTCGTGGTCCAAGGGTAGAGCATCGGCTAATTAGCCGACGCTCTACAACTGGACCACGCATTAATTAGCCAAGCCGTTGAGCCGGCGAAGCGTGTTCGAACCCCCCACAGCGCTAAATGGATCAGTAAAGTGAACTACTCCCACCTACTGTAATACCTCACCTACCATGACAGCTGTATTGCAACAGTAGTTAATACAAGTAAAAATAAGTTAAGTGTTATCAATCCTGTTTCGTCCTAAATCACAGTTGTCGAAATATTCAATCATCTAAGCGGGATAACCAACCAATATTGTCTCCATTTTCTGCAACGTCCGTAAGTCAAAGATTAAATCTTAGGAGTGCATCTGACTGTCGACACGCAGGAACATGTATGCGAAACAGCAACCGAAAGTAGACAGTGGTTTTCCAAATGAGTATCGTTTTTCTTCGAATACGTATCTTGTGCTATATTGGTAAGCTTCGACAAGTAGGCCTATGTATATTGTTTGTTATTCGCCCAATTCTGGATTAATGAATCAAATTCTCTCGATAAAGCATTCGAAGAGATGGGGCTATATCAATAGAGATGCATGTTATTTTGTGCTCGTAAGTAAGGAAAAGCATAAAGCGAACACTCACATGTTCACGACCTCACACTTGCACCGGAAAAGGAAGTGAACAAACAGGGGAGACAATTCAGTTACTTACCAAAGTCTTGAAAGGCAGTTTTTTCGCCCGCAGAAAATGGATAAATTTGTCACAACTTCATTTATTGTACTTTGTCATTCGTCAAACAATGGAAAATTTATGTATGAGTGATGCGATGGAACGATGAAACAATGCGATGGGGCGTTGCGAAAAAACTTTTGTAATGAACTTTTTGCAACCTTTAAAGGACCCCATGCACAATGAATGTTTGTGATGAGACGACAGAAGAAAGACAAAAAAAACATACCGCTGTTATGTAGCTGGAATATTAATAATTGCCACCAATATAATAATAAACCACCAGTCTGGTCTTGGATTCTGCCACGGTTCTAAAATTAAAATGTTAGAAATGTCCGAAAAACCCCTGAACATGCGTGTTGTCAAATGTGTAGGTGATTTACAAGGTCTGAAGGTACCCTTTGAAAAAGAATATGGGGTCCACTGACGTAGCAGTGCTCGGCACCATTTTCGTGCATATTTATTCATCGTAAACAACAGTAAGAGCGGGGATACACAATGTATATCACTAACAATTAAATAGCATTACTTTCTTCCCATATTTCATATTTTTTGTTTCTTTTTTTTCTTTGTTTAGGTCCTAATTCTTTATTTTATGTGGGTAAGGTGTGGATGGGGGAGCACCGTTGGTGCTCGGTGGCAAGATTTGAACGGGTGCTGGACCAATTGTTTTGTTGCAATGCTCGGTAGCGGAAGCCCATTCAAGCCCTGATGTTTCCTTGGATGGATACATATATAACTCTTCTGTTGTACAGGACAGAGCGGGTTGTTTGGTTGCGGGATGTCCTCAGATCTTTAGGCCTAGCTGTAGCGAGAACTATAAGATCTGATTTTAATGAGATTGATGACAATGCAGGATGATGCATCAACTGGTTTAGACTCTCATCAGAAAATGTTGTTGGTGCATTTGCATTCATGTAATTTCGGGTTGAAACGGTTATGGCGAGGTAGCAAAGATTCGAGGTTTCGTGATACGTGCGATACTGTCGCGCGTGTAACGGTGGCGGAGTTGTCTCCCTTATAAATATGTCTGCTTCCATGGCATGAACCGGCATGCTTGTTGTCACTACATTTAAAAACAATTTGTAAAATAATAACAATTGTCATTGTGTGTGAAAAGGTGAAAAGGTTTACGTATTTCCATAAGGGGCAAAGCACTAAGTAAGTTACTCGGTAGTCAATAGATCTAGCCTACTTCAAAATTTCGACGGATGACACTATGGCTATTTGCTCAGTCTCAGCCAAGCCTAGTACATCGAAGATAGTAATTTATATGAGCAGGTAACGTATAAAGGAATCTAGTAACGAAAGTTGCAAGGGATAAAATGGTACATTATCAGTAATCATTAAAGAAATGGTATCCCCCAAAGCTTCCAATGATCTTTGATAAATCCAAGGTGATAGAAGTCATAAACAGCTGGTAAACATAAATATTTTTATTATGTTTTCGAATGGGTGTCTTTTATTTTTGCACCATGCAAAGTCTTTCCATTTTACCAGACTGCAAGAAAACCCCACATGATAAAGCAAGAGCAGTTAAAGTTCAACAACATCCCAACTGTGAAAGTATTGAAATACAGATTGCTTTTTATTTTGAGGATTAAAAATTTGCACATTCTGGACAATAATCACTGGTTTATCATGTGTTCAACCCTAACTGGCATCAGTGGTTATTTGGGCCAGTTCAAGTGGTGCCATCGAAATGACAAGAGTTGGAGTATTGTTGCCCTTTAACATGGATTTTAGGGTCATTTTAAGTTGAACTTTAACTATTATGTACCGAGATAAGTCCAACAACTGTCATAATATCCACAGTGTTTAAGTTTATCAGTAAACTGATCAAACAACCTTGTGTGCCATTTAATTGGGGCAAACGTTATGAGGGTAAGGAGCTTGGGATTTTTCTAGCATTGATATTATTTTAGGATTGCACAACCAGGTTATGAGTGCAGGTACATAAAAGTGCAGAATCCAGATATAGGATTACCCCGGCCATTTGAGTTTACAGACTATGGGTACATACAAGAGATGACTAACAGGAACGGGTGGTCAGGCTTGCTGACTTGGTTGATGCATGTCACCGTGTCCCAATTTCGTGGATAGATGCTCATGAAGTCAATCATTTGATTGTCAGGTCCAGACTCGATTATTTACAGACCGCTGTTGTATAGCTGGAATATTGCTTAGTGCAGCGTTTAACAAGCAAACAAACAAACAAGACATAGAAGTACAACCTGTGCCAAGAACAAATCCATGAGCACTGATATGAGATATTGTACTTTCAGATGCAGTGTATGAAGTTAATAGACAGATGATTCCACAGTGTCTGTAGCAAACAATGCCACTAGCAGATATCATTGTCTCGCTGAAGGACAACCCATACTTTGGAGCTGGGTTTGGTCTCTTCGGCCTTGGTGCAGCAGCAGCAGTGGCCAGGAAGTCTCTCCAAGGCGGAATGATTATGTTTCGAAGACACTGTATGATAACACTTGAGGTGTCAAGTAGAGACAAAAGCTACTTTTGGCTACTGCAGTGGATCTCCACCCACGGTACACGTACACAACACCTCAGTGTTCAAACGACCTTCAACCAGACAGAAACTGGCAAGGTGAGCACCCAGTTTGACTTTGTACCAAGTCCAGGCAGCCATTTTTTCCGTTACGGCAACAACTGGATCAGAGTTGAAAGAAATCGAGAAAAGCAGATGTTAGATCTGCAAACTGGTGTTCCCTTTGAGACTGTCACGTTGACGTCTGTGGGCAGGAACAGAGAAATGTTCTTTGATATCTTGGACCAGGCCAGGAAGCTAGCACTGCAGAAACAGGAGGGGAAGACCGTGATGTATACTGCCATGGGGGCAGAGTGGAGACAATTCGGCTACCCACGGAGGAAGAGGCCCATGTCTTCTGTTGTGCTGGATAGAGGGATATCTGAGAAGATATTGGATGACATTAGAGAGTTTACTGAAAAACCTGAGTGGTATATCGAGAGAGGTATTCCATATCGGCGCGGGTATCTGTTGCATGGTCCCCCAGGTTGTGGGAAGAGCAGCTACATTGTGGCTTTAGCAGGTAGGTGGTCATCCTCAGTTATGCAGGGAACTTTCTACTTTATTCACTGCATCATCTCCTCACTCTATGGTGATGAACACTGGTTTTGTTTCTTAGTTGATTAAAACCACTCTCAGCAATATTCCAGCTAAATGGCAGCAGTCTGTAAATAATAGAGTCTGGACCAGACAATGGTTAGCATCATCAGCATCAATCCATGCAATTGAGTGAGTGAGTTGGGTTTAACGCCGCTTTTAACAGTATTCCAGTTACATCACGGTATGTCAGTTTAATGTGGGAGTAAAGCCCGAATTGATGCAGCTCTCACACATTTATCACTTCGGTGAAACCCTCCAAGAAACAATCGGGGCAAACCGGGATTCGAACCCACAATCATAGGTTTCTTGCGTGCCCAAGGGATGCAACTCTGCACAGCGAATTGTGGCGCCGTAGATGACTGATCAGGTTGAGATATAGATCAGTTTTGTTTTATATCTAAACTGTGATATTTACCTGACTGTTTTACTGTCCTTTGTTGACAAGAATTTGATTATGATCATCTTGTTCTCATTGCGATATAGCAGTTATATTGCCGATGTGATGTAAAATTATAACTTACTCACTCATTTTTGGGCGAGCCATTGATGTATTTAATTGAGTCAGAAGACTTATATTTATAAATGAACATTTATGCTAGAAAAGATGTTTACCGGAGTACTAAACCAGTTGGGAGAAAAGACTTTAGCGTTGTGTCATTCCGGTCTTATGCCTAATTTTAACCTCAGTACAGTGTCTCTGTGTGTTATAGTGTTGTACGTACTCGTCTTACAGGTGCACTGGACTATAGTATATGTGTGCTGAATCTGTCGGAGCGGGGGCTGTCAGACGACCGCCTTAATCACCTGCTCACAGTCGCCCCGGAGCAGAGTATCATCCTCCTGGAAGATGTAGATGCTGCCTTCCTCAGCCGTGACCTGGCCAAGGAAAGTAGGTCACCTACGACTAAACTAGTGAGGGATGGGGACAGGGGCGTTATTAACCACTGCAGGTTTAACTCACCGATTGAAAGTCATGTGTGCTTATGCCTTGGCATGATTGTCTTCGTCCATTGTAACCATCCACGCATAGACCACTTTGCCAATGAAAATGAAACTTCACATGCTTGTCCCTGCCAATGATAAAATATTTTTTTAAATATCTCCTCTGACAAAGTTTGCTGAACTTTGGCATGTATCATGTGTATGTTCCTCTCATGATGATGTCATATTTTCTTCAAATCACTAACATATCTTGTTAGTTTTTAGTACTCAGTATTTATGCATACTGCTCACTGCTGCATCAATAAACTCACTCACTCACTCACTCACTCACTCACTCACTCACTCACTCACTCCCCTACCCACCACCCCACACCCATTTTAATTGTCCTTATATAGAGACAACTGTCAAATCTGCAGAGTGCCTTCGATGCAAATGTTTACTTCCAGAACTTAGCAGTTGGATGAGACCATTGAAGAACTCATCCGATACATTGTTGATGATTTTCAATACTGTCTAACTGTACAGTGATGTTGTAAGGATGATTCTAAAGTATCAGAACTACCTCCCTTAGATCCCGCTGCCTTCCAGGGTATGGGGCGTCTCACCTTCAGCGGTCTCCTCAACGCTCTTGACGGTGTGGCATCGGCAGAGGCTCGCATCATCTTCATGACAACCAACTACATTGACCGGTAACTGTCTGTCATTGCTTATGCTATCAACGACTGGTTTATCTCACATATTTCATATTTATTTACCATGTCTACAAGTATTTTGATTGTCTGGTCCAGACTCGATTATTTCCATCCTGCCGTCATATAGCTGGAATATTGTGGAAGAGTGAGTCATTAACAAATAAACAGGGGCGAGAATCTTCCGCAGATCCGCGAATTGTAGTGACCACAAATTTGTTAAAATCTCATGACTACGCTCCATTGCAAAGAGACCCGTAAAGACCCAGGGCAGAATAGGTCTTCAGCAACCCATGCTTGCCGTAAAAGGCGACTATTCTTGTTGTAAAAGGCAACTAACAAGATCGGGTGGTCAGGCTTGGTGACTTGGTTGATGCATGTCATCGATCCCAATTGCGTGGATCGATGCTCATGATATTAATCACTGGATTGTCGGGCCCAGACTCGATTATTTACAGACCGCCGTCATATAGCTGGAATTTTGCTGAGTGCGGCGTTAAACAACAAACCAAACCAACCAACCATTGCAAAGATGTTTCAGCTGAAAAGGAAAATATCCATTCTCATCCCTGAATATACAAACAATATGCTTTGTCATGTACAGTGCTCAATAACACCCTGTCGTTGTAGACTTGACCCAGCTCTCATCCGCCCGGGTCGTGTGGACCTGAAGGAGAGGATTGACTATGCCAGTGAGCACCAGCTTCAGAAGATGTTCAGCAGGTTCTACCCGTACCAGCCAGAGTCGGCAGCCCAGGAGTTCGCCCAGCGGGTGTTGGCGGACGGTCGACCAGTCAGTGTGGCCCAAATACAGGGCTACTTCATGATGCACAAGGCAGAACCGGAGCGGATTCTAGGCCAGACGGAGGAAATATGGACTATATGATTAGCATGTATATTACAATGGGAAATGATATAAAATCTTACTCAACCACACAAGTAGTATCTGGCGTACTATATTGGGAGGCAAGAATCAGGATTTGTGTGCACAAAGAAATCAACAATGAGTACATGGGCATTTGTTGAAAACAAATCATTAATCAGTCCAGTAAGGTCTTTATGGTGATGATGGTGTGCGATTGTGATGATGATGATGATGATGATGATGATGATGAAGAATTCAACAGACCCTGCAAAACATGAGTGACCCAGACCTAGTGGCAAGGAGATGGATGTGTGTTAGTCTGTGTGCAAGTGTACACACAAGACGTGTGTTTGAAAATATACATCCTGGAAAATGTTAAACATAACATATATTCCAAATTTCCAAGTATCTTTTGGAAATATCTACACATGACATGGACTGCATTTTAATGAATGGCATGTCATGACTATAGTAATATAAAAAGAATCGGATGTGTCAGTAACTCATTTTGAGTTATTTATCATAGGGTGCAAAGATGCAGAGGAAACAGTTGTAAGGGAGGTCTAATAACGGAACACTTTCAAAACGTTATTACATACCGTACTCGACATAATAAATGCCCTGCTATAATAAGCGCCCACGGCGGCGATTTTTGCCAATAAATTGGCTAGTAAACAATCCCAATTAGCACCCCTTCCGATTGATCAATGTACACAAGACTTATTTATTCGTGTATAATACGCACTTGTGTGTTATATGCACACTTAATTAAGGGAAAATTAATTCTGGAAAAATATATCTATCATATATATATAAACATTTCAGGCTGTCAGCATAAACCACAAAATTTACGATCTTTCAACTATTACGAACATGGTAATCAGTTACTGTTTATGTCTGTCAATATGAGTACCGGTATGTCACTTTGTAAACACAATCAAAGGTGTTTCATCAGAAAATAAACACATGATACAAGATTTTTTACTGTTCACAGGAATAATCACATATATCATTCTATTTAAATACACTTGACGTGAGAATCAGTTTTGTATGGAAAGATGACAATATCCACATCAAAAGTGGATTAGTTAGAGAGATAGTGGTGCTTAATTGTTTTCCTGGTGTCTATGTGATTGTACAACACGACTGTTATTGAAGTAAACTCGAATGAAAACAGTGGCTGCCTTCATGTGGTTGTGTTTTGTTTGTATAGTTTGTAGCTCTGTGAAACATCCCTGCTTTGGGGCTTTGTCTGAATTTGAAGGTTGGTTTTCTCATGTCTTATTTGCTTTATAGCTAAATTTGACCGCCTCAGTGGTCTAATGGTAGAGCGTCCGACCGGAGAGCGGAAGGTCCAGGGTTCGATCCCCAGCCGCGTCATACCAAAAGATGTTAAAACATGGTACTTGTTGTTACCCTGTCTGGCGCTCGGCATTAAGGGGCTTAAACAAGGACTGGTTGGCTCGGAGTCAGTATACTGTGTCTGAGTGGGGTATTCATGTTAAACTGCGGCATGGTATCTCAGTGTGCCAGCACTATAAATCGGCATCAGTCCGGACCAGTACAAGCAGCCACACACAAACACATACACGTGCATGCACGTCGCTATATAAGTGCAATAATCTTGTTAAACCCCATTTCACCTCACCTATAGCTAAATTTGACCGAATTATCATTAATCCATCCACATGTTATCAGAAATGAGCGGGCCACTGTAACTTGATAATGACCTCATATTGCTTGACGATGGGCTATTATCACACCCGTTGTTCGGTGATGTCATATTGATAAAAGGGTAACGCTGTTTTTCAAGACATTATCCTTTGCAGAAGCCTGAGGTCTTCCATTAACCATTGAAAAGACCAAGGGCTTCTGAAAATATTATAGCTAAAATGGATAGAATTTGTTATCAAATAAAAATAAACAACACTATCGGCTTTGAAACATTAACTGCAATCAACACACAACGAATGTCACCGACTCACTTTTACAAATTTGGAAATGTCATAGAACAAACCAGATGGCGTCACTATTCAATATGACGTCACCCTAACAACATGGTGATAAGCAATCTTCAAGCAATATGAGGTCATTATCTCGTTACAGTGGCCCGCTCATTTCTGATAACACGTGGGCGGTTTAATAACTATCCATTTTAGCTATAATGTTCAATAGTGACGTCATCTGGTTTGTTCTATGATGTTTTAATATTTGTAAAAGTGGGTCAGTGACATTCGTTGTGTCCGGGCTTCTGCAAATGATAATACTAGTATTAAAAGCTGATAAAGGAGTAGAAAGCTGACAAACAGAGCCCCAGGCACTAATTTCACCCAAACAATGAATGCGAAGAAGTCTGAAAACATTCATTTCAACAAAACTGAAAAGCATCATCTCCCACCCCACACCACGAATCAGGCTCACATTATGCAGAGAAACAGATCATGGTCAACCAAGGGGCAATCACCCTTGACACTGCAGTCAGTATCTGGAGCGGCCACATCTTTCACAGATGACATCAAGGAGGTCCCCTCATGCTGCTATTCAGATGACTAATTTTGGATCCTCTGCGATTCCTGGCGCTGTGCCTGGGTCAGTTCATTCAGGATTTGACCAGGGCCCACTTGCACAAAGCGATCTTAGCGCTAAGACTGTCGTAAGCCTATGTTAACGTATGGGAGTTACGACCATCTTAGCGCTAAGATCGCTTTGTGCAAGTGGGCCCAGGAGGGTCTCCAGCTCTTACTTGTTAGTCAAGGTAATCCCAAAGATGTTCAACTGGGTTCAGATTATTTATGAATTGGAGAGCGGAAGGACGGTGGTTCGATCGCGTCTGCTTAGTAACAAAAGATTATGCTACACTTAGCTCAACTTACTGAAGGGTCGCCTATGTAATATGGGACTGAAAACTGAGATAATGAGGACATACTGAATGTAATTGTATTGGCAAAAGGTAACCGGTGACTGAAACAGTTCAGTGTGTAACCTACAGAATCCTGTTCACATAAACAGGACGTGTATAAAGAGCCAGTATCTGGTGCGTGCCCCCCCCCCCCCCTCCCCCCCCCCTCCTCCCCCCCCCCCCCCCCCCCCCCCCTGTCCCTCCCTCCCTTCCTTTGTGCACCTTGCCCTCATGCTCCTGACCAGGGTCATAGTCACAGCCTGAGGTATCGGCTTTCCAGTCCCAGAGCAGAGCTGCTTGTCCCAAGATCATGTGGAACAGGGTGACTCCTGTGAACACGGCACCCTAGCTCACCCCACGCATGTCCCATTGGGCTAAAGTCAGGAGAGCAAGCTGCCCACTCATGCTCCATCCTGCGTATTCCTTGTTGGTGAATAAAAGCGATGACCACGTTACCATGGTGAGGACGTGCGTTATCATCCTGCAGGATCGGGGCACCTCTGTAGTGACGCATGGTCCTCATGAATGGTGCCACAATTGGGGCCAGTGTCTTGTCTCTATAGCGTTGTGAACTAAGATTTCCAACAACGTGTTATCGTGTCCTTGCAGTAGTTCTAATGCCCGACAGACCATTGTGGAACCACCCCGTAATGAATTATGCACCACTACAGTAGCATCATGAATACGACGTCGTTCATTTTGCCCTCTGTAACTTGGCCTACGACCATCATGAAACGACAGATTAAATCTGCTTTCGTCAGTTAGCAGCAGTGATGACCACTGACATTGATACCAAGGTTGATCACGTCGGCACCATTGCAAGCGAGCACCCGCTTCTGGTGTTCTGGCTAATGCGGACATTATTGGTGTTAAGGTGTACGACACAGGTGGCCCAGTCGTCTAAGGCGCCGCGATTCGTTGTGAGAGTTGCGTCCCTTGAGCACGCTAGAAACCTATGATTGTGGTTAAACGTCCGAGACCTGCATCACTTCGGGCTTTCCTCCTCCAATTAAGCTGACACGCCGCGATATAACTGGTATGCCGTTAAAAGCGGCGTTTAACCCAACTCACTCACTCACTAAAGTGACTTATATCTAACATTACGTCAAAAATCGATAGGGCAAGAGTCACAAGCTACATATCCTGCCTCTGTGTTGTGACCATAGGACGACCTGGTCTTCAAGCATAGGCAGCTGTTCCAGTGGCCTTGTATCGCTGCCACAGCCCCAAATGAATGGCGTTAAAATGTGAAACCACCTGACGTTGACTATTGACAATTTGGAGCATCATCCCAATGGCTCTGCCTCGATTTTCCACACTAAAAAATCAACGCATTGCTACGCGAGTTTCTTGTCATCCACTACTTTTAATGGGGTTTAAAACCATGTGACCATACTCTGATTTGCACGTGCACCTCCTGATATCTGGTTGTGTTTGAGCGATACGATTTTGTGACCATGAACACAATGCTTACATTTGTGAAATGTTAGTCAGTGTTTACCTGCTCCTGCATTAATTACCATGGTTCAAATATTGTTTTCATGAATACAACCACACATATTCACATTAATGTTGTATTTAAGAGTTATTACTTTTAGATTTGAATAGGAGACCTTCAGTTGTATCGTCCCTTACTATATGGGTGACCCATCAATAGTTGTGTTGAGTATATAAGTTGTAGTAGTATCAGGAGTCGTACATGGGGTCTTATGCATCCCGCGTTAGGTTTTATACCACGAGCCGGAGGCGACATGTTTTAATTTTTCATTGCCAAAAAAAGAATTAAAACAAATTAAAAATCATAGAAGAGAGATGTTAGACTGAGCTGAGGTTAACTTGTGCTGTGTCACGTGACTTTCATTGAACGTACGGCCTTTTGCAGGGTATGAGCAGGGTATGAGGGACTGATTCTACCGCGCAGAAATCCACGTGCAGGCTTTTTTCTTCGTGGCGGGGTAGAAGGGATTTATTCTTCCGCTGTCAAATGTATATCCTTCCAATGCGGGATACATCGTGTTTTGTCAAGATCACGTGAACAAATCAGATCTCATCATTCTTACATGGAGGTATGATAATAGTATTTGTTGTTTCCCTGCCTGGCGTTCAACGTTAAGGTTATAAACTGGTTATAAAGGACAGGTTGACTTGGAGTCAGTGTGTCTCATTGTGCTAACACTATAAAATTGGCTTTAAATCTTGACAAGTACAAACAGCCACACCCACGTGCATGCATGTCGCATTATAAGTGCAATAATCTGAACGCAGCGTTAAAGGCCGCCCCATACCCACCCTTGGCGAAACCCCAACCCAACCTATGCTGGTCGTATGAGGCTATTAAATGGATCGGGTGGTCAGGCTCGGTGGCTTGGTTGAGTGCGTGTCATCGTACCCCGTCAGCGTGGATCGTTGCTCACAATGTCAATCACTGGATTGTCGGATCCTGACTCGATTATACAGCTGAGATATTGATGAGTGCAGAGTTGAACAACAGGCAATAAATTAGTTGCACGGAAGTGGCAAGCTTGTCATACCATTATGAGTTGACTGTGACCTCCGCATTACTTTGGTCAGAACATTTCAAGAAGTCAAACTGTTTGGTTAACGTTTAAAGATCCAGTTTAATGGCTAAGGTCACCCAAAAGGTCATGTTCTGTCCCGTTAAAACAGTATTTCAGATATATTGAAAGTGGACAAGAGAAAACTGATACCTGTCTTCATTTGGATTCAGTCTCCAGTTGATCTAGTGTCATTCAATGAAAGCAAAAGAAAAGGCTGTAACAAAGTCACAACAACTGGGATATTATTTGGTCCATTAGCTTCTGCGTGGCCGCTTTATACTTACCGTATTCGACGTATTAAGCGCCCGGGGCGCTCTCAAAATTGGAAATAGTGGGCTCTTATTAGAATATAATTTTGGTGAGAACAAAAACAGAGTTGAAAAATTGTTCGTACAGAAGTTTATGCTGACAGCCTGAAATGGTACAAAAGAAAAGTATGTACGTATCATACACGGGAGATATATTTTCCAGAATTTAATTGCCCCTAATTAAGGGTGCATATAACACACGAGTGAGTATTATACACGAATCAATAAGTCTTGTGTACATTGATCAATCGGAAGGGGTGCCAATTGGGATTGTTCACTAGCAAATATATTAGCAAATATCGCCATGGGCGCTTATTAGAGCGGGGCGCTTATTACGTCGAATACGGTTTATATTTCATTACTGATGGAATTCCAGATATGACTTTACCTGCAGTGCATAGATGCCTTTCATTAATGAATTTGCAGAGCATCAATTCATCAAAACCGAGAATAGCTCGGTCTTTCAAAGGGCCCACAGAAAAAAGTTGAACTTTCAAGAATATACTGCAGTCATGTTTTATTCATAGCTTTTATCTGGCACCCACAAGCTCCTCAATGCACAGATTATGAGCTGGGTGTGGTCTTGAGTGGCATGCCTGTCTCCCCACACGTGGAAGCTTCCGCTACCTCAAGGTCAACCTTGTAGCACTTGGTCTTGGAGAACATGCACCTGGAAGACAGACAATGATTCCTATTGGAGGACATTGGCAGCGGGTTTATCTATGAATCTGTAAGTAATAGGGTTACAGTTCTCACCAGTGGTATATATCCGTTGGGATTACGGGTGTGAATATATGCCCCCAGCAACATATGTGTATCGTAAAAGAGGCGACCAAGGGATAGACCATTTGTTATTCTCGACAATTCTTGCAAAAATAATTATGCTTCAAACTTGGAAAAAAAATTATATTGTTGCAAGGTGTTTTTGCTCTTTTAAAAATCAGGTTCATAGTTTTAGATAAAATGATATCTGCTTTTGTATCTGTACACCATGTTATTGTCCTGTTGGTGATGTTGAAAATGCTTCCAGTTTCAGACTGAGATACGGGCTAGAAGGTTAACTATAACCAGCAAGTCAGTCAAGAGTATTTGCAAGATGCAGGTACGTCAGCAAGGGACCCTTACTGGCTGGTGTAGACCTTGCCGTCACTTCCACAGATGTCGGCTGTGACTGCAGTACCGCAGGTGATCTGGTGGAGGTTGTTACAGAACACATCCTTCATCACTGCAAACGCTGGGTCCACGCCGGTAGGATGAACAGGTGCAACGGCAGCAGTGGTCAACACGTCACCAGTAGCGGCCATCCCTGTAGGTCCAACTGTGGACAGGAGGCACTCTCCTTTGTTCAGCATGGACAGAGTAGGATGTCTGCATCTCACGTGGGCAAAGACACAGCTGAAATGAATATGATTCAGGGATGTTCCCTTTATGCCGTTATAGGGATTTGTCCTCTGTAGAAAGAATGTATTGTTTCATCACAAAAAGATGTCATGAGGACCTCAACATACATTCTGATCAGACCACATCGGCAAAATGGTAAGATTCCCGAATACCATCTAATTTTCAACTTATCAAAAATCACAAAAGCATTGAGTAACGGGTGCGATTTGAGGTGAGGTGAAATGGGGTTTAACGTCGCGTCCAAAATTATTGCACTTATATAGCGACGTGTATGTACGTGTTTGTGTGGCTGCTTGTATTAGTCCGAACTGATGCCGATATAAGTGCCAGCTCACTGAGATACCATGCCGCAGTTTAACATGAATACCCAACTCAGACACAGTATACTGACTCCGAGCCGATCAGTCCTTGTTTTAGCCCCTTAATGCCGAGCGCCAGACAGTGTAACAACAAGTACCATCTTTTAACGTCTTTTGGTATGACGCGCCGGGGATCGAACCCCGGACCTTCCGCTCTCCGGGCGGACGCTCTACCACTAGACCACGGAAGCGGTCGGGTGCGATTTGAAGATAAGTTACTGCAAAAAATATTAAATAAATGCAATGTATTAAGGATATTTGTACGTCCACCATTTTATATATTTTTTTATAATTATAGTTGAGTCCCACTACAACACTGCTGAGTCCTGACACCCTCTAATTAGACCCCGAATCCTGCGTTCCATAAGGGGGTTTGCAGCCTTCATACTCTTAGTAAGTGACAGGTCCTTTGTGTGTGTGTGTGAGTGAGTTTGGTTTTACGCTGTTTTTAGCAATATTCCAGCAATATCACGGCGGGAGACACCGGTAATGGGCTTCACATATTGTACCCATGAGGGAAACGAGTGAATGCTTTAACCACTAGGCTACCCCACCGCTCTCCCTGTGTATGAAACATTTCATCATCTGTACTTACAAGTTTTCGTACTGCACCATGTCTGTGCCACACAGTCTCTCGGAGTGTCCATGCACCACGTGTTTACTGCAGTCCACAGACAGGAGATGCTGACACAGCCGGTCGTCGTAGTGTTTCGTTATTTCGTGAAATTCATGGGCAAGAGGGTCGTGGTTAGACACTGCATCTACAAGAATAGCAGCAACTAGGTTAAAGTCAGGTGAGGTGAAATGGGTGTTTAACGTCTCGTGGGTGGGGGGGTGGGGGGGTGGGGGGGGGGGGGGGGGGGGGGCGTAAACAGCAACAACAAACACAAAGATCAACACGACCATGTTGCCTGTCAACTAATGCGTATGAATTACTGCTGTTTCAGTGCCAACTTTCCTCGTGAAGATCCGGGTTAGAAATGATCTTCAGCATCCTATGCTTGTCGTTAGAGGCGACTAACGGGATCGAGTCGCTGACTTTGTTGATGCATGTTATCGTATCCCAAATGCGTAGTGTAACATGGCTAGAGTGTGTTGTGGATAATGGTTGTGGCTGTGTTGCATTGTTTCTGTAGGGAGTCTGCAGACGCTCATTGCATTGTGTTTCGACAGTGATCATTCGTCAGGAAGTTACTATATGAGCTGAAATGGGGTTTAACGTCGCGACCAAGATTATTACACTTATATAGCGACGTGCATGTACGTGTGTGTGTTTGTGTGGCTGCTTGTACTAGTCCGGACTGATGCCGAATTATAGTGCTAGCTCACTGAGATACCATGCCGCAGTTTAACATGGATATTACAGTATACTGACTCCGAGCCGACCAGTCCTTGTTTTAGCCCCTTAATGCCGAGCGCCAGACAGGGTAACAACAAGTACAATCTTTTAACGTCTTTTGGTATGACGGGCGGACGCTCTACCACTAGACCACGGAGTCGGTCTACTATATTTAGATGCTAGTGTGGAGTGTAAACTTCCGGTCCGGTATTCCGCGGGCGGTGATAGTATGTCACCGAAGTTTCTGTAATGTTATATGTGGTGAGAGCACGGTTTAAATATATCCTGTAACTTATTAGGTTGTATATAAGGGGACATTAGCGTGTTCACGTATGTCTCAATCATGTCGCTCCACTCGCATTTTCATCACTCAAGACCAGCTTTCATGTGAGGATCGCTCATATCCCTGATAGTCCCTGCCTAGCCCATCACGAAAGCTTGACCACTGTCGCCGCTGGGTGAAAAAAAGTTCTTTTGGGTACAAATTTCTGGGTTATCTTATTGTTTCAATTCGGGAATCGACACGTAACAGTAGATCGATGCTCATGATACCTACTACTGGATTGTCTAGTCCACACTTGATTGTTTACAGGCCGTCGCCATACAGCTGGAATATTGCGGCGTTAAACATCAAACAAATAAACAAACGAAACCAAGTCACCGAGCCTCTCTCATACATTGAGCCGGTATATCTTTGTGGTGTGGCAAAAAACGTGCAAATACTTACCGGTTTCCCAAAACGTCACGTGTCATTATGAATATATATATATACTCTGCAAAAAAACAACACGCAAAAGTAGGTAAATCGTTGCCGACATCCATACAAACTTAAAACCAAAAATGAATTGGTCAGTCCTGAATGGATTGGGATTGATTTGTGTGGAAAGAATGAGGAACTGCTGAAAATTTAGAGAAAAGATTGGAAAATCCCAAAAGCACAACCACGTGAGAGCCTGGCGCCGAAACACACCAACGTGACATACAAGTGCATATTCACATGTTTGGTTTTCAGACGCATGCCATCACATCTTACAGCAAGTGAACCCCGAATATATGCCACGACTGACGGAAGCACAACGTAACAACACCATCGGCCGACTACAAACAGTAGAATCATCTTCAGCTGAAGCAAGTTTTTTTTCAACGAAGCACCAATCCCCATTACAAGACTGTGGAACCGTTATCAGACACACGGGACAACACAGGATCTTCCTAGATCCGGTCGACCAGGTATCATTACTAGAGCTCAAAACAAATTCGCTTACGTCGAAGAACGACCATGGCAGCCTCTAACGGTACAATACCAGGAATGCGTAGGATATCAGCCCAGACAGTGAGGAAGCGTTTACGCGCTGATGGTATTCGCGCTAGACGACAAGTTCGAGAGTCGGACCTGTATCGCCCGCTGCGACGTCAATGGTGTCAAGGTCAAAGAATATAGCCACAACTGCGATGGATACACGTTTAATGCGTCGCAATGCAGATGGTAGACGTTGTGTTTGAAGGCGTCGCGGGGAACGTTATGCACGAAACTGTATACAGGAAGTGGACAGATTTGGTGGTGGCAGTGTGATGATGTGGGCAGCCATCTCCTATTGTGGAGAATTAAACGGCACAACGTTACACGGATGAGATTCTTCGGTCACAGTTCCTTCCCATTATGCAAGCGAAAGTCATTTTCTAACAAGACAATGCTCGGCAAGACTGACCAAAGTTTTTTTCAATAATCACAATATCCAGGTGCTGCCATGGCCCTCCAGATCTCGAGCATTGAACCCAATCGAAACATGATGGGATGCACTGGATCAACGACTGCGAGCACTCAGCAACAACCACGGAACCTCTGACAGTTGGCACAAGCACTGCAGGCAGAGTGGGTGAACATTCCCCAAGCCACAATTCGGGATCTGATTGCTTCAATGGGCCAACGATGCCAGTCAGTGTTGGACTATAATTGTGGCCATACAAGATATTGAGAACAGACACCTTCATCTTGAAAATCAACTGTTTGATATCTGCCATATGGAACCTGGGTCAATGACAATGACGTGTTTCAATTTTGAACAATCGATTACCATCTGTTGATTATTTATATGATATATAAAATAAACATCTATATCACTTTTGCGTTTCGTTTTTTCAGAGTATATACACCAACGTCTGCACAATAAGTGCAAATAATATTGTATGATTTTGCCTTTTTTCGCAGTTATAACGACGACTTCCCTCACGTTGGAACGTTTGGTTCGCTGGGCTTTACTCTTTTCTCCCGAAGAAAAGAACCCGCACCAAGACCAACGCACGTACCGCTGACACTGAGGTCCAAGCACACCGAACATACCGAATATAGTTTTCTGTTGTTTTTTTAAAGGTTTGAATTCAGTTACCTCCACATCCGTAGGTCCCTTTCTTACACACATGCACAACAACGTCGACAAGAGTTCGCCCTCACCAAAGTAGTTTGTGAATACTTACACTGACAGAGAAGCAGAAAGACGACGGACGACAACATGATGGATGTTTGGTCGGGAAATGTATTCAAGGCTTATGTTCCACATGCGTTATCTAAGGTGTGACACGGCGAACACACCTGACGGGAGATTACGAAAGGTGCCACGTATTTCATGCAGCACAACATAGGTCTATATCACGACGGCCATATATGTAGAGCTGTCAAATCTATATATTGAATTAAAAAAAAAAAAATCGAAACATTACCTGGCTATGTGTGCCATTTCTTTGTTCATTTCAATGTTGAAAACACTATTTCTACAGGTGAGACCTGTGGAGAGTGTTGTGTTTGTTTGTGTCAACCTAGTCAACACTATTCCTATTAGGGGGGCACGGGTGGCCCAATCGTCTAGAGCGCCGCGATTTGCTGAGATGCGTCCCTTGGACACGCCAGAAACCTATGATTGTGGGTTCGAAGCCCGGTTCGCCCCGATTATGTTTCTAGGTTTGTCAGCACCATACCCGTGCTCGTAGGTTTCACCGAAGTAGTAAACGTCTGAGACCTGCATCACTTCAGGCTTTCCCCCCCACATTAAGCTGACACACCGCGATATAACTGGAATACTGTTAAAAGCGGCGTTAAACCCAACTCACTCACTCACTCACTATTTCTATTATGCGCTGAAGTCACCATGGGCTTTCGGGTGCTTATCATCAAGTGTGTCACACGATCATTTAAACATCAGGGATACTGTTTCAGAAAAGTTCTTTAAATTGTTGGACCATGTTAGAAATATAAATCACACATAGAATAGACCACGTGTATCTAACCTATAATTTGGTGCTTTTTATCATCAGTGTCGAATATGGAACCAGCGTGAACTGAATTGTGGCATAAGTACAGTAAAAAGTAAGGCCTTGTAATGGCACGACGGAGTAACCTTGGAGAATCGGACCTCGCTACAACACGGAATGTAGGGTCAGAATGAGGCAGTGCCCAGATGAACAGGTGTCATGCGGTCCTTCCACCAGTTGTCAACCAGATAACCATGACAATAATCAGTGAGTGACCCCTTGCTTGGTATCCCGAGTGAGAATAGGACTTCAGTAACATGTACTAGTCGCATGAGGCGGCCGAATGGATCAGGGGGTCAGGATTGGTGAGTTTAGTCAGAACATTCCAAGAAGTCAAAAATGTTTGGTTAACGCTTAAAGATCGAGTTTAATGGCCAAGATCACCCAAAAGGTCATGATCTTTCGAGTTAAAACAGTAGTTTAGATATATTGAAAGTGGACAAGAGAAAACTGATACCTGTCTTCATTTGGATTCAGTCTCCAGTTGATCTAGTATCCTTCAATGAAGGCGAAAGAAAAGGCTGTAACAAAGTCACTACAACTGGGATATTTACTGCCTGGCGCATTTGTTTCGTCCCATTAGCTTCTGTATCGCCGCGTTTGTACTCATATATTTCATTAATTGTTTAATTCTAGGTATAGCTTTACAGGGACTTAATTCACCAAAACCGAGAATAGCTCGGTCTTTCAAAGGGCCTACAGAAAAAAACCAGTTGAACTTTCAAAAACATACTGCAGTTATGTTTTATTCATAGCTTTTTATCTGGCACCCGTAAGCTCCTAAATGCACAGACTATGAGCTGGGTGTGGTCTTGACTGGCATGCCTGTGTCCCCACACGTGGAAGCTTCCGCTACCTCAAGGTCAACCTTGTAGCACTTGGTCTTGGAGAACATGCACCTGGAAGACAGACAATGATTACTATTGGAGGACATTGGCAGCGGGTTTATCTATGAATCAGTAAGTAATAGGATTACAGTTGAGTCCAGTGGTATAAACCCGTATATAAATTGTTCCCGAAGTATAACATGCTCATGTATGTAATAGCAGAACACATAATGTTAAATGTGAATTTAAAGTTTCTCGATACACACTGTTGGTTTTCATAGAAAGCTTAAAAGGCTGTAATTTTATGGACCCTTACTGGCTGGTGTAAATCTTGCCGTCATTTCCACAGATGTCGGCTGTGACCGCAGTACCACAGGTGATCTGGTGGAGGTTATTACAGAACACATCCTTCATCACTGCAAACGCTGGGTCCACACCGGTAGGATGAACAGGTGCAACGGCAGCAGTGGTCAACACGTCACCAGTAGTCAACAAGTCACCAGTAGTCAACACGTCACTGGTAGTCAACGCGTCACCAGTAGCGGCCATCCCTGTAGGTCCAACTGTGGACAGGAGGCACTCTCCTTTATTCAGCATGGACAGTGTATGATTCGTGCATCTCGCGTGGGCAAAGACACAGCTGAAATGAATATGATCAAGTGATGTTCCATTTATGCTGTTATGGGATTTGTCCTCTGTAGAAAGAAAATTTATTGTTTCATCACAAAAAGATGTCATCAGGACTACATTGGCAACATGGTAAGGATCTCAATATACATTATGATCAGGCCGCATTGGCAACATGACAAGGACCTCAGTGTACATTCTGATCAGACTGCTTTGGCAACATGGTAAGGGATCCGTGAAGATCCGGGGTTGAATAGGTCTTCAGCAACCCATTCGTGTTTAAAAAAAGACTATGTCTGTCGTAAGAGGCGACAAACGGGATAGGGTGGTCAGGCTCGCTGACTTGGTTGATCGTAACGTATCCCACTTGCGTGGATCAATGCTCATGATGTCAATCACTGGATTTCGATTATTTACAGACCGCAGTCATATAGTTTGAATATTGCTGAGTGCGGCGTTAAACAACATACCAAACTAAATCAAACATGGTAAGGATCTCGACATCCGTTCTGATCAGACTACATTGGCAACAACATGGTAAGGATCTCAACATACATTCTGAACAGACTACATTGGCAACAACATGGTAAGGATCTCAACATACATTCTGAACAGACTACATTGGCAACAACATGGTAAGGATCTCAAAATACATTCTGATCAGATCACATTGGCAACAGCATGGTAAGGATCTCAACATACATTCTGATCAGACTACATTGGCAACAACATGGTAAGGATCCCAAAATACATTCTCATTAGACTACATTGGCAACAACATGGTAAGGATCTCAACATACATTCTGATCAGACTACATTGGCAACAACATGGTAAGGATCTCAACATACATTCTGATCAGACTACATTGGCAACAACATGGTAAGGACCTCAACATACATTCTGATCAGACTACACTGGCAACAACATGGTAAGGATCTCAACATACATTCTCATTAGACTACATTGGCAACAGCATGGTAAGGATCTCAAAATACATTCTGATCAGACTACATTGGCAACAACATGGTAAGGATCTCAAGATACATTCTGATCAGACTACATTGGCAACAACATGGTAAGGATCTCAAAATACATTCTCATTAGTCTACATTGGCAACAACATGGTAAGGATCTCAACATACATTCTGATCAGACTACACTGGCAACAACATGGTAAGGATCTCAACATACATTCTCATTAGACTACATTGGCAACAACATGGTAAGGATCTCAAAATACATTCTCATTAGTCTACATTGGCAACAACATGGTAAGGATCTCGACATCCGTTCTGATCAGACTACATGGGCAACAACATGGTAAGGACCTCAACATACATTCTGATCAGACCACATTGGCAACAACATGGTAAGGACCTCAACATACATTCTGATCAGACCACATTGGCAACAACATGGTAAGGACCTCAGCATGCATTCTGATCAGACCACATTGGCAACATGGTAAGGATCTCGGCATACATTCTGATCAGACTACATTGGCAACAACATGGTAAGGACCTCAGCATGCATTCTGATCAGACTACATTGGCAACAACATGGTAAGGACCTCAGCATGCATTCTGATCAGACCACATTGGCAACATGGTAAGGATCTCAACATACATTCTGATCAGACCACATTGGCAACAACATGGTAAGGACCTCAGCATGCATTCTGATCAGACCACATTGGCAACATGGTAAGGATCTCAACATACATTCTGATCAGACTACATTAGCAACAACGTGGTAAGGATCTCAACATACATTCTGATCAGACTACATTAGCAACAACGTGGTAAGGACCTCAACACCTCTTGGCTACCCCACCGCTCCCCCTGTGTATGAAACATTTCATCATCTGTACTTACAAGTTTTCGTACTGCACCATGTCTGTGCCACACAGTCTCTCCGAGTGTCCATGCACCACGTGTTGACTGCAGTCCACAGACAGGAGATGCTGACACAGCCGGTCGTCGTAGTGCTTCGTTATTTCGTGAAATTCATGGGCAAGAGGATCGTGGTTAGACACTGCATCTACAAGAATAGCCGCAACTAGGTTAAAGTGAGGTGAGGTGAAATTGGTGTTTAACGTCCCGTTCAAGATTATTGTACTTACACAGAGTTATATGGCAGTGTATTTTATTGTTTAACAATGATTGTAACTGTGTTACATTTTTTCTGTTGAGATTCGATAGACGCTCATTTCATTGTGTTTGGACAGTGATTAGTCGTCAGGAATGTAGTACTACTTCATGTAAGCTGCAGTCATCAGGAATTTACTATATTTAGATGCAAGTGTGGTGTGTAAACTTCCGGTCCGGTATACCGCGGAAACAGAAACATGTGGAATTTTCTAGTAACGCTAGACTGGTGAAGGCATTGTGTAGGAATTTCCAGTAGCTAGCTAAGATGTAGATATAGTTTGACAAGAACGTGTTTAGGCATCTTTCACACGTTTCATCATATCAAGACCAGCTTTCCTTTGTGGATCAATCATCACCCCTGAATCTCTGCCTAGGCCCGTCTCGGAAGCTTGGCCGCTGTCGCCGCTGAATGAATATATAATATTATCACTGACTTTTGCTATCACCACGGTAATGTAGTTGATAGTGACCACTGCCATCATATTTTTTATTGTCATTGACAATTGTACTACCACTCTATTGTATGTGCGCAGTATGGAACACAATGATATGTGCCAATTTTGAACAATCGATTACCATCTGTACTTTATATGATATATAAAATATACATCTAAAATCACTTTTCCGTTTCTTTTTTCTTGCAGAGTGTTGATACCAACATCTGCACAATGAGTACAAATCATATTGTATGTTTTGCCTTTTCTCGCAGTTTCAAATAACATCCCTCAAGTTAGAGCGTTCAGGTTTTTTTAAAGAACCCGCACCAAGACCAACGCACTTACCACTGACACTGAGGTCCGAGTACAACGATGAATATAATTTTCTGTTTTTATTTAAGGTTTAAATTCACTTACCTCCACACCCGTAGGTCCCTTTCTTACACACATGCACAAGAACTTCGAAAACAGTTCGCCCTCACCAAAGTAGTTTGTGAATACTTACACTGACAGAGAAGCAGAAAGACGACGGACGACAACATGATGGATGTTTGGTAGGGAAATGTAGTCCAGGCTTATGTTCTACATACCTTATCTAAGGTGTGACACGGCGAACACACCTGACGGGAGATTACGATCTAAAAAGTTGCCACGTATTTCATTCAACACAACACGGGTCCGTATCATTACGGTCATACCGAATATGGAGCTGACAAATCTCTTAATTCAAAGTTTGTTGTTTAACGCCGCACTCAGCAATATTCCAGCTATATGACGGCGGTCTGTAAATAATCGAGTCTGGACCAGACAATCCAGTGATTAATATCATGAGCATCGATCCACGCAATTGGGATCGATGACATGCATCAACCAAGTCAGCGAGCCTGACCACCCGATCCCGTTAGCCGCCTTTTACGACAAGCATAGTCACCTTTTTTACGGCAAGCATGGGTTGCTGAAGACCTATTCTACCACGAAATCTTCGCGGGTCTCTTAATTCAATGTATTTTGATTTAGGAATGTAAGTATTGTCGTAAAGAACTCGATAAATTCCCTGGCTACGTATGCCTTTGCTTTGTTAAACTACTGTGGTCATAGCCAACATTGTCAACACAGCTCTAGCTGTTTCAAAGCAGAGGGAATGTACTGAGTCCAGACCAGACACACTAGGGATGTGCAGCAAAGGCAACATATCACAGGGTTTGACAGCAAGTTTCATCCACGTTTTTTCCGTTCTTTCGACAGGCATGGGTTACCGGGGCCCTATTATGGGCTTAAGTCACCATGGGCTTTCGGGTGCTTTTCAAGTGAGACCCATGTGAAGGTAAGGTGAGGTGAAATTGGGTTTAACGTCGCGTCCAAGATTATTGCACTTATATAGCGACGTGCATGCACGTGTGTGTGTGTGTGTGGCTGCTTGTACTAGTCCGGACTGATGCCGATTTATAGTGCTAGCTCACTGAGATACCATGCCGCAGTTTAACATGAATACCCCACTCAGACACAGTATACTGACTCCGAGCCGACCAGTCCTTGTTTTAGCCCCTTAATGCCGAGCGCTAGACAGGGTAACAACAAGTACAATCTTTTAACGTCTTTTTGTATGACGCGGCCCGGGATCGAACCCTGGACCTTCCGCTCTCCGGGCGGACGCTCTACCACTAGACCACGGAAGCGGTCGACCCGTGTGAAGATACGGGTTAGAATAGGTCTTCAGCAGCCAATGCTTGTCGTTAAAGGCGACCAACAGAATCGGGTGGTCAGGCTCGCTGCTTTGGTTGATGCATGTCATCGTATCCCAATTGCATGGATTGATGTTCAAGATATCAGTCACTGAATTGTCTGGTTCAGACTCGATTATTTACAGACCGTCGGAATAGCTGGGATTTTGTTGAGTGAGGCGTTAAACAACAAACAAATATCATCAAGTGTGTCACACGATCGTTAAAACATCAGGGATACTGTCTCAGAAAAGTTCTTTAAATTGTTGGAATCGTGTTAGGAATATGACACATCACAACCAAATAGACCACGTGTTTCGAACCTATAGTTTGGTGCTTAATATTTCCTGATTTAGAGGTGAGGTGAAATTGGGTTTAACGTCGCGTCCAAGATTATTGCACTTATATAGCGACGTGCATGCACGTGTATGTGTGTGTGTGGCTGCTTGTACTAGTCCGGACTGATGCCGATTTATAGTGCTAGCTCACTGAGATACCATGCCGCAGTTTAACATGAATACCCCACTCAGACACAGTAAACTGACTCCGAGCCGACCAGTCCTTGTTTTAGCCCCTTAATGCCGAGCGCCAGACAGGGTAACAACAAGTACAATCTTTTAACGTCTTTTTGTATGACGCGGCCCGGGATCGAACCCTGGACCTTCCGCTCTCCGGGCGGACGCTCTACCACAAGACCACGGAGGCGGTCTCCTGATTTAGAGAATGCGTTTTATCATCAGTGTCGAATATGGAACCATAGTACAGTAAAAAGTTAGGCCTTGTAATGGCACGACGGAGTATCCTTGGAGATTATCTGAGAATCGGACCACGCTACAACACGGAATGTAGGGTCAGAATGAGGCAGTGCCCAGATGAACAGGTGTCATGCGGTCCTTCAACTAGTTGTCAACCAGATAACCATGACAATAATCAGTGAGTGACCCCTTGCATGGTATCCCGGGTGAGAATAGGACTTCAGTAACATGTATTAGTCGCAAGAGGCGGCCGAATGGATCAGGTTGTCGGGATCGGTGATAGGTTGATTGAAAGTCATTGTATCCCAATGGCGTGGATCGATGTTCGTGATGTCAATCATGCGTTTTCTGGTCCAGATTCGATTAATCACAGACCGCTCTCATAAAGCTGTAATATTGTCGATAGCGGCGTTAAACTCCGTACCCCGTACCCCGGAATAAATGTCTCAACTCCAAAAGCCATGCAACCTTACGGCAGCAGAGCCTAAGAGCGTGGCGGGGAGCGTTTTGATGGATACTCCCGTCCTGGAAGGCCTGTCACGTCAGCAACACCAGAAATGATCGAGATAATCCGTGATATGGTGATGACCGACCAGGGAATGACTAAGCGTCATATTGCGTCATATACATTGTACAAACTTTGCTTCAGTTATTGTCAGTCTTTGTTTGTTTCTAGTGTCAGCTGTACCAGGCAATATTCCAGTTACATGCAGGTGGCCTGTAAATATTGGAGTCTGGACCAGATAATCCAGTGATTATATCGTGAGCAACGATCCATGCCTTCAGGGTATGGTGACATGTTATCAGCTGTCACTGAGGCCTGACCTACTGATCTATTTAGTCGTCCCTTACAACCAGTATAGGTTACTGGAGACCTATATTTTTACCCGGATCCCCACGGATATATACCACCAGTCAAAACTGTGTGTGGCTACTTGTACAAGTCTGGCCTAATCCAAGTTTTACAGTGCTAGCCCACTGGGATGCCATGCTGCAGTTAAACATGGATACCCCACTCAGACTCAGTATACAGACTCCAAGCTGACCATTCCTTGCGCTATCTTTTAACATCTTTTGGAATGATGCAGCCAGGAAATGAAACTTCAGTGATTGGTTGGATCAGTTCCCATTAATATCAGCCAACTGTTGCTCTGTGCACACAGGTGGTAAACTTCGATGTGATTGGTTGCATCAGCCAAAGTACAAGAGTTATCTTTTAACATCTTTTGGAATGATGCAGCCAGGAAATCAAACCCGCGACCTTCTACTCTCCGGTGATGCTTCCTATAGAACAGGCAGGCAGTCTGTTAGAAAAAGTTTTTGAATAGACAACCAGTATCCATGAGTGAAAATGGTTTATTTACAGTGAAAAGCATACTATGACAGAACTACATCGGTGATCAGAAGCAACATAAGGCAGCTTCCATTAAAAAAACATGAACAAGAAATTTAGAATGGTAATCAGACATCAGAACATAACAAATGGACATGGATGTAAATATTTGTAATTTCACAATTCACAAAAGTTAGTCATTGTAGAAAAGTATCATAGATAGTTATTGAGTTTGTTCCCAAGTTTCAAAATAAAAACTTTTGCTGCCAATCCAAAATATCCTGCATTATTGTCCTCAGATGAAGCATTGTAATCACATTGAAGACAATGAAAGATAAAATAAACAATTCTAACAATACACTCACAACATATGAACTGCATGCAACTGACATATTACATCACTTCAGTATGACAAACACAATTGTTTCATATATATAAACAATAACATTAGTTTCTGTTCTAACATGAAAAGACTCAAAATTCTAAGATTCTGAATAGCAGCTTCCTGTTTATTTCCCATGGCCTTTATTTGTTTATAATGAAAAGGCTATTCAGCAGAACATCAAGAATTGATGCCAATTTCTATTATTATAAGTTGTAGACCGGTCAATCCTCAACTATTCTTTTAACATGGCCTGGAGTATTCAAAATACCACAACTCAAACAGGTCTGAAATTGAAAAGAAACATGTAGCCACCATGTTTATAAATATTTAAAATCAATGCCAGATGACTACTTGATTTGTTTGTTATTGTGATAAACATGATAATGTACACACAAATTGCAGAAAAGCATAACAAAAACTTAAGCAAACATCTTTCCTTTTCCTAGTATACATTGGTATGTACAGTAAATAGCATATTTACGACAAACTTCAAGTGACCTTAAAAATAAATTCTTTAAGCTGTACTACTGGTTTCTCGAAAAAATATTGTCTACCATTTCAAACCGAAAATGTACACAGATTATACACATGTGAATGCACGTCGCGATATAACTGCAATAATCTTGGATGCGACATTAAACCCTGAAAGATGTTGTCAGCACAACATTACTAGAAAGATGAAGTGAAAACCTATTTGACCTTAATTATCTTATCACTCACCCATTCATTACTTGTATCTAAGTCTGTCCAGTGTCAGAGGAATCTACCTCAGAACACAGTGGTCCACAACAAATCTTGGTCCCAACACAGAATAATCAACACGGTAATCGAATTTAAGGGGGTCCCGGGGTCACGGGGTCCATGAGGTTTGTTCCCATAGTATCTGAAACCCCTGAAGATAGGGTTAGAATTGTCTTCAGCAAACCAATGCTTGAGGTGACAAACAGAATCGGGCGGTCAGACTCGCTGACTTTGTTGATGCATGTCATCGTATCCCAATTGTGTAGATCGATGCTCATGATGTCAATCACTGGATTGCCTGGTCCAGACTCAATTATTATATAAACCGAGATCAAGTAGCTGGAATATAGGGAACTCCTCAATCTTAACTGTCAACATTTGAGTTGTGAACCCTTGACTTTTATGCTAATTTCGAAACTGCAACATATACTACTATAACGGCAGTTATTTCGCATCTCTCAAGTTTATGGGTTAGTAAAACACCAATGAAATATGACAACAACAAATAAGCAATCTACTATCTAGGTACAATACTCATATTCTCTCAACTTCACCATTCACAGTACTGGACTTACCGATCACATCTTCTGAACAACGCTGGCTGGGACAACCCACCAAAGTAGGACCAAAATAAATTAGATTTTCATCCCTGCCCACTCATTACCAAACACCCCAACTCACATCACATTATTGTCCCTTCCGATGATGAAAATCTACCCTTCTTTCATTTTACTTGATGGAAACACCTTAAACACAGACCAACCAAACATTTACACTTCATGTCAATCACATCCATCTACATTAAATACAAACAAAAAACCATAATATTTCAAATAACCAATCCGATTCAAAAAGTAATAAGTAACTTATTGTTGCCTTAACAACATACAAACTATCACTGCATGTGTCCATTTCTTCATCTACATACTGTAACTCTGGAAAGTTTTACACGAGGAAATTATTGCGAGTGTCAAACACTAGCCAATTTTTTGGGGACCCTTGTAAATGATATTACCAAAACTCAAAGCTACTTCTGAACGTGTTATTTTTCGTAAGTAAGACATGGCATGATGAAAGGGTAAAATAGAGAGTCAGTGTTGTTTATCAGTATAGACTGGCTGACGTGTGTCTGAACTACTCAGTGTTATGCTAGCTAACTGATAGGGCTGGGACGATGCACCAGCTGTGTGATCTGATACGTATCATGGTACCTTGTTCACGATCCAATACGTATCACGATACTTACCTGTGGTGCTTCAGCCATCTTTTCTACAGACATGATGGCCATATACCTGGCACACTAACGATTTACAGTTGGCAGTGGAAATATGGCGCATTGGATGAAAATATTTACATTTTCACTACAGTTTCACTAGTAATTAGTGTTTGGTGTAACATTTATTAAAGAATACACTTAAGGTAAAAAATCGATACTTTTTACTTAGAGTGCGATTGTGATCGATACTTGTATCGAGAAGTAAAAAATCGCCATCCACTGATACATCACTGTATCATCCCAGTACTACTAACTGACACGATGTAGCAGGTCAGTGACCTTTCCAGATCAGACGAATGACACTGAGTGACAAAGTGTAATTAAGGAGACAGAATGTGAGGGATTATTGATTTGATTATGCAACTTGATGGTTGACAATGCGAAGAAGTAAATAGAAGAAATATGCCTCATTACGTGTTTTTGTTGATCGACAAATATATATGTGTCATGAAACTATTACGAGTGCATGTCACTTTCAGTATTTGCAGTACTTTCCGCTCACAAAACTTTCCAGATTTACAGTATACATATACAGTCAAGTCTCGTTAATCCGACACTTGTTAATTCGACAATCGGCTTTATCCGACACTAATGATGGAACTGATTAAATCAATGCAATTTAAACATGTTAGACCTGATAAATTTGAGAGTCTCGCACTCCAACACCTAATTTGTAACGAATTACCGAAATGACTCATCAATCAGATTCGTTAATCCAACACAATGATCAGTGTACTCTGTGGTCATCTGCCCGCAAGTACACAGCCCCATGTTTTAATGTGAGACGAGTAGCTACATATTACGGGTGCAGAGATAAACTTGCTTAACAATAAACAATTAATGCTTTAAATAAACAAAACAGGAGTAATCACATGCGTAGATTACCTCAATATCATTAAAATCAGATACAAGTTCTTGCTACTGCTCAGGACAACCCATTGCAGGTAATGTCAGAAGAGTTTTCACGAACTTTGACTGACCAATGAAATGACTACATGAAGTCGACATTAGCCACTAAAATAGCAGCTTTCATGAGGTTTGCGGCACTAGTTTCAAACTGGCGACTTCCATTCCAGATTATGCTTTTTAAAATATTTGGAATCAACCATTCAGGCGTAACCGTAGTTTTGTGTTTAGCTTTTAGAGTTTGCATGATTAGAAAACATATTCCGCAAACAATGTAACATAGCAATATGAACATTTGTATCGTGTTTGTATCGTTATCTATTGTGAAGTTGACCGATTTTCGATCACGAATGCTGATAGAACTTAATTTCGTTTATCCAACATACTTGGTGATCCGATATAAACATATGCAACAATTTATGTCGGATTAACGGGACATGACTGTATACTAGTCCTTAAATTGAGCCTGTTAGTGGAAATAAACAAGGGAACACAACAGTGAACATCTAAAGAAAGTTACCACTAAGTTGCAATTAAAATGCATACCTAGTATTAGGCATTTAAATGTCCAACACCATATTCTCCTCTTATCTTCAAGGTAATATCCAACATAACAGTATACTGTTTAGGGCTGGGACGGGTTACTCGGGTCAGGTTGGTACTGAGTCGGACCCGGGTACCCACAGGACTACACAGTCCCATGGTTAGTCACGTGATGATATTGTTCAATGGCAAAAATTATTTAGAACTCTATGGTTACACTACAAGTCACTAATATTTGCACTCCTTTCTGAGTATGCACCCATTCTTTCTTACCAGATCGGTTTATATGTGTATCTTAATACATTTTGACAGCAGTATGGTCAAACGTTTCCCAATCGGACATTTTGTACCTATCTCTTGTGATCTACAGCCGGTACCTGGGTAGGGTTAGGTGAAATAGGGGGGGTTGGTTCCCAGGTAGTAAATTTGGACACGTCCCAGTCCTGATACCGTGCCCTTAACAATTGATCATTATATACAGACAGCTTTGATCACTGTTACATGACCGGCAGGTTATCGTCTCCGACTGAGACCAGGGGTGGTTTGAATTGAGGCATCGGCTGCAACTACTTTCTTTCTCCGTCTTGTTGTTGTTTTCTTTGTTGGTGTTTTCTTTGCACTGTGTGGGGATCTGGCACCTGTGAGGGACAAGTTGACAATGGGCATCATTGATGGCATAGAGAAAACTGGGAGATAAGATTTAATGTCTGTTTGGGAATTACTGTCAGGTAAATCAGTGAGTGAGTGAGTGAGTGAGTGAGTGAGTGAGTGAGTGAGTGAGTGAGTGAGTGAGTGAGTGAGTGAGTGAGTGAGTGAGTGAGTGAGTGAGTGAGTGAGTGAGTGAGTGAGGTTTTCTTTGCATTAGGATCATGCACCTGTGAGACAGGTATCATATAACATAAATAATTGTGACCTAAATTCATGTTTATTTAATGCCTGTTTGGGAATCATTTTGATTCATAAACTATAACTACAGACGGAGAGGCGAGGCGAGGCGAGGTGAGGTGAGGTGAGCTGGGTTTAACACTGCTTTGAGCATTGTTTCAGAACATTATTCAGCATAGTGTGCACTGTTTCATGGATATTAATACCACATTCTCCGAAACAACATGAATAGAAGACAAACATTAACAAACAGGGGTTAATAATCTTCGTCAACAGTAACAAACAAAAAACATATGTAAAAACCATTCACATCCTGATATAAAAGTTTCCATCTTCAAAACATGAATAAATATAATGTCAAAGAAACACCAATAGCAGTAATGCCCTTGCAAGGGGTTTATATAATTAACATCACAATACAGCTTATTTGACACTCTCGAAATGTTACCTGTTGACGTTGTATTGGCAATACACCTGATCGTGAATATTAATTAATTCTATTGCCATCATCTCCTACTATAGGTTATATACAATATACAAAACAGACTATATTCTAGTCTTTAGTAATAATGATGACATAAATTGACAGTGTTCTTTACTTCTTTCTGTCATGTGTTTTCTATGTCCACAAGCATATCTACTTTTACAAGATATAATGCCACAAAGATGAAACCTGTTTCCCTGTGTAAATAAGTCATTCAAATAGACATCTTTTGGTTCCTCTCATCTTTAAGATCTTGTGGCACCCTTTGTCCCAAAAGAGTGTAAAGCTGTTTTGTAACAAAAAAAGCAGAGGATCTAGGCCTGTGTGTGTGAGTGTGAGTGTGAGTCGTGAGTGTGAGTCGTGAGTGTGAGTCGTGAGTGTGTGTGAGTGTGAGTGTGAGTGTGTGTGAGTGTGAGTGTGAGTGTGAGTGTGTGTGTGTGTGTGTGTGTGGTGGTGTGGTGTGGCGTGGCGTGGCTTGGCGTGGCGTGGCGTGGCGTGGCGTGGCGTGGCGTGGTGTGGAATGCCATTACATGATGTGGTGTGGTGTAGTGTGGAATGCCATTACGTGATGTGGTGTGGAATGCCATTGCATGATGTGGTGTGGTGAGGTGTGGCGTGGCTTGGCGTGGCGTGCCATTGCATGATGTGGTGTGGTGTGTTGAGGTGTGGCGTGGCTGGCATGGTGTGGCGTGGCATGGCATAGCGTAGCGTGGTGTGTTGAGGTGTGGCGTGGCATGGCGTGATGAGGAGTGGCATGGCGTGGTGTATATGTATACATACAGGGTTATCAGCATCATTACAAAGAGGAGTCTATTTCTACCTGTGTATATAATTGAGCCTGTTTGAAAGTACAAACAACAATCACACTTTGTATGCACCTGACTTCAGGCACTTGGGGCCTAGTCTGCCCCAATATATAGGTGAGGCAGTTACAGGGAAGTCCCAGACAGAAAGCTTGATAAAGAAGTATTGATTGATGGTTTACTCGACACATAATCTCAAGGCATCCACATTTCAGCCAATGACATAAACCAAAACAACTCCACTATTGGTGAAGTTGATAATTCATAAAGGTTGGCATCTCTGATAACAGTAAACAAGTTTAAAATCAGAACTTTCCTGGACCCTGTTCCATTAACAATCTTTGCACTGAGGTGATCGTAACTCCCATACTTTAACATAGGCCTACGATCATCTTAGTGCTAAGACTGCTTTGAGGAATAGGGCCCTGAAATAACAATCCAGTTATCATCCTGTTATAAAGGTCATAGCTTTCAGGGGCTTCTCCAATCATATCTCATAACATTGCACATATTCCCAAACCTTGTGCCTTGGTTTTGACTTTAGGTTTAGGTTTAGGTGTCCCAGCCTTCTTGACAGCTGGAGATGCCAGGCGACGCCCATGAGCAGGGGAGGCAACTGCAGCAGCTGGTTCGGCTTTTCGCTGTGCACTTGCTTTTACTTTCTTCTTTGGTGTCACATCATTGCCAGGAATGTCTCCATTACTTTTCCTTTTTCTTCCCTGGAAAATAGATTCCTGATGAAGAATTATCGTTCAAACACAGTATGTAAGCTATCATTTAGGTTGTCTATTGCTCTGCAAGTGCAATTTCTGAGCTGACATCATATAGAGCAACATCATTTAATCACTGCCATCTCCTAAACTAATATTAGGGAAGAGAATTTATAGGTGTCAACTTCGCTCCTTATGTGTATCACTTCTAAATGCCCTTCAAAGACTAAACTAACATTGCTGACTACCACAACAACAAACAAACAACATTCATTTAACTTAATATTCTTTCACTTTTTTTCAGGTGGGGTAAAAAATTCATCATGACTTGGAATACAAAATGCACTTTATTTGGCCTCATATGTTTGTCAGTTGGTTTATGGGAATCCCAAAATGACATTAGAAAATGACAAAAGGAAATTTGGCCGACTGTTTTAGTTAGGTGAAATGAAAGAAAACCCCACAAGATTTTATCACCACTGTTCATAAGAAACGGTGCATAACATGCATAACATCTTTATTTGTACACCCCACAAAAAATCCGTTATCTTTGGTATTGTTTTGCAATCTTACTTCTGTGATGTGTGACCCTCAGTTAGTTTTCATTCAAAAGAAGCAGTACTAATCGAGAAGTAAAATATTTCATATAAATTGTTTTACCATTGAGTTTTAGGCCAACTAAAACTGATAAAAGGCCTTAAAATGACGAGTGAAGGAGAGAGTGAATGTTGTTTTAGGCAACAGTCAACAGTTTTGAAGTCATATCACTGTGACTTGTTATAATATTTCTGACCCAGAATAACTTCAGGGAGACAAGCAAGGAGTACTTGGAATATTCTGCCCTGGAATCCCTAAAGGGAGACAAGCATGAGGTACTTGTAATATTCTGCCCTGGAATCCCTAAAGGGAGACAAGCATGAGGTACTTGGAATATTCTGCCCTGGAATCCCTAAAGGGAGACAAGCATGAGGTACTTGTAATATTCTGCCCTGGAATCCCTAAAGGGAGACAAGCATGAGGTACTTGTAATATTCTGCCCTGGAATCCCTAAAGGGAGACAAGCATGAGGTACTTGGAATATTCTGCCCTGGAATCCCTAAAGGGAGACAAGCATGAGGTACTTGTAATATTCTGCCCTGGAATCCCTAAAGGGAGACAAGCATGAGGTACTTGGAATATTCTGCCCTGGAATCCCCACAGGGAGACAAACATGAGGTACTGGGAATATTCTGCCCTGGAATCCCCAAAGGTAAACAAGCATGAGGTACTTGGAATATTCTGCCCTGGAATCCCCACAGGTAGACAAGCACGGGGTACTGGGAATGTATTCTGCCCTGGTTCATCCTGACATCCAGGAGTACTGGTGTAGCATCAGCTGCACCATGTCATGTTTCTGTCCAGATCAGTGTACCTTGGCTGCTGTGGGTTTAGGAGTGGTAATGGCTACATCGGACAGCTCCAACGTCCACTCATCCTTCGTCCCTAGCTTGGCCAGTCCTCGTCGAAGCACCTGTCTCAGAGAGTTGTAGTCAGGTTCTTCCTCGTAGTCTAGCTTCACGACGCTGCTGAGGTAGCTGCTGACAGCATCTGCCAAAACATCAATTACTGAGAATACCATACCTCTTATTACATCATTGTTATAATCATGTATTTGGCAGTCATCACACCATAAAAATCTTGTAGATTTTCAAATGAAGTCCTCTTCACCGTGATCTGACTCGAATTAATCCATCATTGTTCTGTAATGTTGGGTATGTTAGGTTTACTTTACTGGAAGATCACGTACAGCATTTGCCAATGTAACCGCCCATACCAATGTTACAGCGTCTTCCGATGATACAACCCATGTTACAGCCCCTTCAGGATTGGTAAAGATTTGTCCTCAACAAATTCAAGGCTATTTCAGGGCTTTTTCAAGGCATTTATAGTCAAAATTCAAGGCAACATATTATCCCGGATTGCAATTGAAATCCTACCTGCAGCATCTCCATCCCCACAGCACGCCTTCATCAGGGACGGTATGTTACGCATGTACCTGCAGTCAAGGGTATTTATAATGTAGTCAATTTGGGTAGTGGATAAGCACAGATGGAACAAACTTATTTGCAGATAATTTTCTGAGCTATCTGTAGCCTCTAAACGCAGTTGTTGTTGTTGTTGTTTAACGCCGCACTCATGAGAAAGGTGTAATTCAAATGGAATAACAAAGCTGCTTTTTAGTTAAAATAAAACTGCGAGCACATGCCACTTCTTCAAGCAGTTTGGATTAACTAAATAATGAAATAAATTAGGTGGGCGCACAAGCAGCGTATGAAGTCTTACTTTATCTTAGAATCTCTGACGTAGTTTTTGTCTTGGAGTTTATCCTCCCAGGGTAACTTGCCACACAGCCACTGTAGCAGACAGTAGCCAAGGATTTCTACATCTCCACGCCGGGATGGGGCTACAGAAACAGAGAGACCATTAGACAATGCATGGCCGATTATACAGCAGTAGGACAAGGATGCAGAAAAATGAGGCTATGAAAATAAAATAAAATTAGTTCTCAGGCAATCTCATCTGAAAAACAGTCAACGATTGACATCCCAGTTTCTAGTTCAGTTGTTTTCGTAATGTTACCATGGTTACCTGGGGAGAAAAACAATTCCTCTAGTTTGTCTTAAGGATCGAGTTCTTGTCTTCCAAACAGTCATGTCAACATGGTCAATATATCATATGATATTTTGTGTGTTTGGGTCACTGAAAACCAATCTCATTAAAATCAGATCTTAGTTCTCGCTACCGCTAAACAAAATTCTGAGGACATCCCATTACAGGTCACGTCAGCACGACCTTTCATCCAACCAATCAGAGCGTCGCTTACCAGATCATGAAAGTGACAGTTGGAATGTGTTTTCTAGTCATGCCACCTCGAAATATTTAACAGAGGGTATTTCTAACGACAGATACGGGTTTTATGATTATATCCATACAATCTATGCCATCTATAAGCCATTTGAGAATGTTGTTTTGGTCAGTTTCAAAAATATGTTTCGAAGCGTAGTCGCCAGTTTGAAACTAGTGCCGTAAAGCTCGAGATAGCTGCCTTCTGATTGGCAAATGTCGTATTTCTTGTTAGCCATTTCATTGGTCGGTCAATGTTCGTGAAAGGTCGTTCTGACGTTACCGTAATGGGATGTCATCCGATCTTTGGTTTGCGGTAGCGAAAACTAAGATCTGATTTTAATGAGATTGACTGAAAACCGAATTCTTCACTGACCAACACCGTTGTGAGCATCCCTGCTTGTGAACTCCACGGTTCCGTCATGAGCTCTCTTCGGGTCCTCCTTGTACTCCTTGTGTTTGTTGTCCAACCAGTACTTGCTTGCCAGCCCGTAGTCCACAAGGTAAACCTACAACAGGGATAGGTGAGTGATGAAATGTCGTGAGACTCAGTTTACACTTTAATCACAATCACTACAGTCACTACAACATACTACAGCATGGAGCAGACAACCTAGGGATGACAATGTCAGCAACAATATAATTCACAGCACAGGGTTTCATTTTCTAGATCACTGACTGTTTATCCAACAGATTTTTATTTCTATGCTGATGGTTATGGTATAGAAGAATCAGAAACACTTCCAAAAGCATTTTTCAGGAGCAAATTCACTCCCATGCTACAGAACCCATGACCCAGGGCACAGCTGAAATCAAGTCTCTGTGTCATCTCTGCATTGAGCAACCCAGTTGTGGCTTGTGGGTTGTGGGCTGTGGGGTTTTGTGGGGGTTTAGTGGGGTTTAGTGGGGTTTAGTGGGGTGTATTTTTATTTAGTCATTTTCTAAAAAAAATATCAAAATGTTGACGGAGTGTGTTGCTATGTTTTACATAGTCGACCCTTTTCTCTTACCTCACTGTCTTCAGGTTTTCCGTTCTTGTATCCTTGCAAAATGTTGCCAGCTTTGATGTCTGCATGGACATAGTCGTGTTCATGCAGGTACTCCAGACAGTCAAGCTACAACATGAGACATTCCTGTAGCTACTACATCAACTACAACATAAGACACTCCTGTAGCTACTACATCAACTACAACATAAGACACTCCTGTAGCTACATCAACTACAACATAAGACACTCCTGTAGCTACATCAACTACAACACAAGACACTCCTGTAGCTACTACATCAACTACAACATAAGACACTCCTGTAGCTACTACATCAACTACAACACAAGACACTCCTGTAGCTACTACATCAACTACAACACAAGACACTCCTGTAGCTACATCAACTACAACACAAGACACTCCTGTAGCTACTACATCAACTACAACATAAGATGCTCCTGTAGGTACATCTTTCTCCATCAGTTCTGTTAATACTGTGATTCTTCCATAACTTTGGTGAATGCTTGAGTGTGCACTTTTTTAACCATCTTACAGAATGTACAAATCCAAATAATGTGTCTGATTGAAACAGCTGACTTGACAGCTGCATCACAGTTGATGACATTTATATTAGAAAGTACTTCTTCAAAAAATCCACCTTCAAGAAACTTGAAGCTGCTGAAGGCAAGCTGAAATGGGTTTAATGTTCATGGGTGTGCATGTCTTCCTTTTACGGGCAGACACTATCCACTAGACCACAGAGGTGGACTGAATCGTTGAAACCGTCAGTCAGATGTTACTATGAAAAACCATACTGACAGGTATTAAAGACAGCTCAATTGCAATGCTTACCATCCGTATACCCAGACAGAGCACTGTCTTCGGAGAAAATCTTCGTGATATCTGAAACAGTTTCTGTAGATCGGTGCTGAACCTCTTCATAACCATGAAGCGATAATCCTTGCCGTTATACGTATGCATGCCAGAACCAATGTACTTAGGTATACCCAGGTACTTCAGCTTGTGGCCCCCCAGCCAGGAGTCCACTGAGAAGATATGAAATGAAATTCTAAATATTTCAAATCTTTCACACACCATTTCAACCCAAAACAGGCACCATATAAAAAATTTGGATTAAATTTGGATTAAAATGATTAGGACTAACTACCATGACTACTGATGATATATAATCACCGCCGAAAGAAACATGAATACCATACATGTTGGTTAAAATGGTTAATATATGAAGACTTACTCATATTCAAGAGATAACAGATTGGTTCGATGCAAAAATGAACATACTGGTATGTTGTGCGAACCTATGCTCATGAACGCATCACATGTGAGGTCATAGAGTCATGACTCGAGATGCGCCATTTGTCTTGTGCAGGATTACCGTGTAAAGTTTAGAAATCATTTACAGCACATCGGGACAGTAATAAAGACACCCTGTGGTAACACTTGACTGTTAGTTTTGTCAGTAATTGGTACACATTGGAAACATCTCTTAATATACCGTACATGACCGCAGATAAGACGAGGAATTAACTTGACCCTTGAAATTTGAAAGGTTATGATATGACCCATAGATAAGCCGAACCGGGAAGTGAAGGCAATGACACACCACGAAGTCAGACCGCAAGACTTGCAGATATTCAATAATATAAGATGAAAAATGTAATTACATAGAAAAAGTCATTATAATTATTTATAAAGACTTAACAAACCAGTCCTCCACTCTCTTAATGCGGGAAGCTGTTTTTGTTTTAACCTCATAATGATTGTTATGTTGCCATCAACAAGAAGACGCCATTTTGTGAATCGGTGTGTACAGAATTATGAACCCGTGAGAAAATGTACCAGAAATAAAATCACAAGTCAAATGTTTAGATTCTAATCATTGGAGTTTTTGGTTATTTGTTTTCTGCACAAATAACAACTATATAAAAACACATATATATCATCATTTATTCATGAGTACATGTGCGTAGAATTTTACGCACACACATCATCACTGGTGAATCCATCTAATTCAGTGTCACTGTCTTCGTCGGCCAGAACTGATCTTCATCAGGTGCATCGTAATAGTAGTCCTCAAGATCGTCACAAGCCATGACATCTTCCACATCTCTAGAAACGAGGGCAGGGGGGACAAACTCCTCAAACAAAACTTAATCTTCTTAGCCGTCCATTGCATTTGAAATTCCACACTTTAGAAACGACTTTAGTACCATTGCTATGGCGATCTCATTCCATGACTCTACCACCCGCTTTGTGACTTCTGTGAGTGGAGCTCTTCTCATTGCGTTGGACTTGGTGAACACCAGTTAGTCCCAGTGGTGAGTATATTTCCAACTGATTCCTAACACCAGTTAGTCCCAGTGGTGAGTATATTTCCAACTGATTCCTAACACCAGTTGGTCCCAGTGGTGAGTATTTTTTCAACTGATTCCTAACACCAGTTAGTCCCAGTGGTGAGTATTTTTCCAACTGATTCCTAACGCCAGTTACTCCCAGTGGTGAGTATATTTCCAACTGATTCCTAACACCAGTTAGTCCCAGTGGTGAGTATATTTCCAACTGATTCCTAACACCAGTTAGTCCCAGTGGTGAGTATTTTTCCAACTGATTCCTAACACCAGTTAGTCCCAGTGGTGAGTATTTTTCCAACTGATTCCTAACACCAGTTAGTCCCAGTGGTGAGTATATTTCCAACTGATTCCTAACACCAGTTACTCCCAGTGGTGAGTATATTTCCAACTGATTCCTAACACCAGTTAGTCCCAGTGGTGAGTATATTTCCAACTGATTCCTAACACCAGTTAGTCCCAGTGGTGAGTATTTTTCCAACTGATTCCTAACACCAGTTAGTCCCAGTGGTGAGTATTTTTCCATCTGATTCCTAACACCAGTTAGTCCCAGTGTTCATAATCAGTGTCCAGAATAACTGCCTGCCTGACTATGGCTGGTAACTTTACTGTAAGGCTGCATGAAATTTTCTCCACCAATATTCAAAAGGTAACTTTGAACATTGGCAGGCAACATTTATTATGTTTATGGCTCACCTGCCCCACTGGGTTTTAAAATTATTTCCAACACTGATCATAAATAGCCGAGTCCTGGATTCCTTGAGGTTTGCTGCAATAGTATTTGAATGTAAGGACACCCTAAATCTTAAACTCAAAACATAAGGATTATTTCAAGAGCCCCCATGACTTCCATGGATGATATATGAGAACAGAGTACTGTTACATTTGCAACCTGTCTTCTAATAGAAATCGCTTTATATGTGAGGAAGGAAACCATTGATAGCAACTTACACAAATCTTTTTTACAAACCCTCTGGTAGAAGTGAAGCTCACAGAAGAGTGGGCCATTTTCCTTGGGTTCCTGGAACAAGCCAAGTATATACATGTATTCTTCAACACACTCTCAGACATCTATTCTTCCATGCTCTCTCAGACATTCAAGGGCAACCATTCTTCAACACACTCTCAAACAACTATTCTTCCACACTCTCTCAGACATTCAATGGCAACCATTCTTCCACACACTCTCAGACAACTATTCTTCCACACTCTCTCAGACATTCAAGGGCAACCATTATTCCACACACTCTCAGACAACTATTCTTCCACACTCTCTCAGACATTCAAGGGCAACCATTCTTCCACACACTCTCAGACAACTTTTCTTCCACACTCTCTCAGACATTCAAGGGCAACCATTATTCCACACACTCTCTAACAACTATTCTTCTACACTCTCTCAGACATTCAATGGCAACCATTCTTCCACACACTCTCAGACAACTATTCTTCCACACTCTCTCAGACATTCTAGGGCAACCATTCTTCCACACACTCTCAGACAACTATTCTTCCACACTCTCTCAGACATTCAAGGGCAACCATTCTTCCACACACTCTCAGACAACTATTCTTCCACACTCTCTCAGACAACTATTCTTCCACAATCTCTCAGACATTCAAGGGCAACCATTATTCCACACACTCTCAGACAAATATTCTTCCACAATCTCTCAGACATTCAAGGGCAACCATTCTTCAACACACTCTCAGACAACTATTCTTCCACACTCTCTCAGACATTCAAGGGCAACCATTCTTCAACACACTCTCAGACAAATATTTTTCCACACTCTCTCAGACATTCAAGGGCAACCATTCTTCCACACACTCTCAGACAACTATTCTTCCACACTCTCTCAGATATTCAAGGGCAACCATTCTTCCACACACTCTCAGACAACTATTCTTCCACACTCTCTCAGACATTCAAGGGCAACCATTCTTCAACACACTCTCAGACAACTATTCTTCCACACACTCTCAGACAACTATTCTTCCACACTCTCTCAGACATTCAAGGGCAACCATTCTTCAACACACTCTCAGACAACTATTCTTCCACACTCTCTCAGACATTCAAAGGCAACCATTCTTCAACACACTTTCAGACAACTATTCTTCCACACACTCTCAGACAACTATTTTTTTCACACTCTCTCAGACATTCAAGGGCAACCATTCTTCAACACACTTTCAGACATCTATTCTTCCACACACTCTCAGACAACTATTTTTTTCACACTCTCTCAGACATTCAAGGGCAACCATTCTTCAACACGCTTTCAGACATCTATTCTTCCACACACTCTCAGACAACTATTCTTCCACACTCTCTCAGACCTTTAAGGGCAACCATTCTTCTTCCACACACTCTCAGACAACTATTCTTCCACAATCTCTCAGACAGCTATTCTTCCACAATCTCTCAGACATTCAAGGGCAACCATTCTTCTTCCACACACTCTCAGACAACTATTCTTCCACAATCTCTCAGACATTCAAGGGCAACCATTCTTCAACACACTCTCAGACAACTATTCTTCCACACTCTCTCAGACATTCAAGGGCAACCATTCTTCAACACACTCTCAGACAACTATTCTTCCACACTCTCTCAGACATTCAAGGGCAACCATTCTTCTTCCACACACTCTCAGACAACTATTCTTCCACTCTCTCAGACAGCTATTCTTCCACAATCTCTCAGACATTCAAGGGCAACCATTCTTCTTCCACACTCTCTCAGACAACTATTCTTCCACAATCTCTCAGACATTCAAGGGCAACCATTATTCCACACACTCTCAGACAAATATTCTTCCACAATCTCTCAGACATTCAAGGGCAACCATTCTTCAACACACTCTCAGACAACTATTCTTCCACACTCTCTCAGACATTCAAGGGCAACCATTCTTCAACACACTCTCAGACAAATATTTTTCCACACTCTCTCAGACATTCAAGGGCAACCATTCTTCCACACACTCTCAGACAACTATTCTTCCACACTCTCTCAGACAGCTATTCTTCCACAATCTCTCAGACATTCAAGGGCAACCATTCTTCTTCCACACACTCTCAGACAACTATTCTTCCACTCTCTCAGACAGCTATTCTTCCACAATCTCTCAGACATTCAAGGGCAACCATTCTTCTTCCACACTCTCTCAGACAACTATTCTTCCACAATCTCTCAGACATTCAAGGGCAACCATTATTCCACACACTCTCAGACAAATATTCTTCCACAATCTCTCAGACATTCAAGGGCAACCATTCTTCAACACACTCTCAGACAACTATTCTTCCACACTCTCTCAGACATTCAAGGGCAACCATTCTTCAACACACTCTCAGACAAATATTTTTCCACACTCTCTCAGACATTCAAGGGCAACCATTCTTCCACACACTCTCAGACAACTATTCTTCCACACTCTCTCAGATATTCAAGGGCAACCATTCTTCCACACACTCTCAGACAACTATTCTTCCACACTCTCTCAGACATTCAAGGGCAACCATTCTTCAACACACTCTCAGACAACTATTCTTCCACACACTCTCAGACAACTATTCTTCCACACTCTCTCAGACATTCAAGGGCAACCATTCTTCAACACACTCTCAGACAACTATTCTTCCACACTCTCTCAGACATTCAAAGGCAACCATTCTTCAACACACTTTCAGACTACTATTCTTCCACACACTCTCAGACAACTATTTTTTTCACACTCTCTCAGACATTCAAGGGCAACCATTCTTCAACACACTTTCAGACATCTATTCTTCCACACACTCTCAGACAACTATTTTTTTCACACTCTCTCAGACATTCAAGGGCAACCATTCTTCAACACGCTTTCAGACATCTATTCTTCCACACACTCTCAGACAACTATTCTTCCACACTCTCTCAGACCTTTAAGGGCAACCATTCTTCTTCCACACACTCTCAGACAACTATTCTTCCACAATCTCTCAGACAGCTATTCTTCCACAATCTCTCAGACATTCAAGGGCAACCATTCTTCTTCCACACACTCTCAGACAACTATTCTTCCACAATCTCTCAGACATTCAAGGGCAACCATTCTTCAACACACTCTCAGACAACTATTCTTCCACACTCTCTCAGACATTCAAGGGCAACCATTCTTCAACACACTCTCAGACAACTATTCTTCCACACTCTCTCAGACATTCAAGGGCAACCATTCTTCTTCCACACACTCTCAGACAACTATTCTTCCACTCTCTCAGACAGCTATTCTTCCACAATCTCTCAGACATTCAAGGGCAACCATTCTTCTTCCACACACTCTCAGACAACTATTCTTCCACAATCTCTCAGACATTCAAGGGCAACCATTCTTCCACACACTCTCAGACAACTATTCTTCCACACTCTCTCAGACATTCAAGGGCAACCATTCTTCAACACACTCTCAGACAACTATTCTTCCACACTCTCTCAGACATTCAAGGGCAACCATTCTTCTTCCACACACTCTCAGACAACTATTCTTCCACACTCTCTCAGACAACTATTCTTCCACACTCTCTCAGACATTCAAGGGCAACCATTCTTCTTCCACACACTCTCAGACAACTATTCTTCCACACTCTCTCAGACAACTATTCTTCCACAATCTCTCAGACATTCAAGGGCAACCATTCTTCTTCCACACACTCTCAGACAACTATTCATCCACAATCACTCAGACATTCAAGGGCAACCATTCTTCTTCCACACTCTCTCAGACAACTATTCTTCCACAATCTCTCAGACATTCAAGGGCAACCATTCTTCTTCCACACACTCTCAGACAACTATTCTTCCACACTCTCTCAGACATTCAAGGGCAACCATTCTTCAACACACTCTCAGACAACTATTTTTCCACACTCTCTCAGACATTCAAGGGCAACCATTCTTCCACACACTCTCAAACAACTATTCTTCCACACTCTCTCAGACATTCAAGGGCAACCATTCTTCAACACACTCTCAGACAACTATTCTTCCACACTCTCTCAGACATTCAAGGGCAACCATTCTTCAACACACTCTCAGACAACTATTCTTCCACACTCTCTCAGACAACTATTCTTCCACAATCTCTCAGACATTCAAGGGCAACCATTCTTCCACACACTCTCAGACAACTATTCTTCTATTCTTCCACACCATCGACTATATCCTCTTCATTATATGCTAGGGGGTAGTAATTGAGAATACTAGACAATCCAGTGATTGACATCATAAACATCAATCTATGGTTGGGGATATGATGACATGCATTAACCAAGTCAGCAAGTATGACAGCTTGATCGTATTATGTTGTTGTTGTTTAACACCGCACTCAGCAATATTCAAGCTATATCATGGTGGTTTGTAAATAATCAAGTCTGGACCAGACAATCCAGTGATTGACATAATGAGCATCGATCCATGCAATTGGGATACAATAACCTGCATCAACCAAGTCAGCGAGTCTGACCACCCGACCCCGTTAGTCGCCTCTTACAACAAGATAATCACTTTTTACGACAAGCATGGGTTGCTGAAGACCTATTCTACCCCGGATCTTCACGGGTCTTGATCACATCAGTTGTCTCTTATAACAAGCATGGGTTTAGAATAAAGACCAATTCTAACCATGCTAACCCAGATCTTTATGGGAGCCTTTGATAATTAAGTGTGAGCATTGGCTTTGCTTCCTATACTTACAATTTTCACAACATACGGTGCAGTGCTCCCAACAGAGTCCTGAGCTTCAGCAGCTGAGGAAAGCAAGCATGAAATATTAAACATCTTGTTTGTGTAGGCCAGACAATTTGTCTCTTTTGTTTTACAAACTTCTCAATCAATACTCCAAGATGCAGCAAAAGAAAAGTGATTTGGGTAGAAAAAATTGTTTTGCCTATCAGAATTTCAATCATAAAACCCAAGGCATTTTAAGGCTCCCCAGTTTCTTACAATGATCAAGCAAAGACAAATTATAATTTTGCATATGAAGACAGGGTACACTTCAGGACCTTCACTTCAATTGTCACATCCTGTCGAGGCACAATATCCACTTTCAAGACCTTTCAAATGAAAAATCTAACTTTTAACACAGAGCTCACAATTCAAGGCTTCTTAAAAATGTGAGAATCCTGCAACAGGAATAAGTACTGTTTTTTGTTTTCTTACTATTTAAATATTTATAGTCTGGCAAATCGCCAGTTAATAAAAGACTGAATTATTGTTACAAAATCTTCTAATAAAAGAATCATTTCCTTGATTATCATCCAAATTTTACCTCGTTCATTTATCCAAAAATAGGTTATATTTGGATATATTATTTTATTTAATACTTCAGGGGGAAAGACTGAGTTTTCTGAATTTGAGAAAAGTGATATTTTCATTGCACAACACTTGATATTTAACTGCAGTGAACATACCACTTTGACGAAACTATTGTCATATACAAGAGCTACCTCCCCGCAAATTGTCTCACTTTATCGTAAGTGTCTGGCCCGTACACAAACTCACTTCCTTTTCACATTAGTTCCACATTGACATGGCAACAAAATGACAGATGATCATTTATGGAGTTAACATGGCTTCTTGACATTTGTTATTCTCTTGAAAATGTTTCATTATATTCTGTAAATTTCTCAATGAACTCGTCAGTTGAGAATGTTACTTGACCAGCATGTATTCCTTCGCTTCCAACAGCGGTCTTGCAGCTTTCAAGAATATTTTTTAAGTTGATTTTGTATATAATCATATCCAAATGTATGACAGAATTTTTGTGACCTCAAATATTTTTCATAACTTTATATTTTTTTTAAGATTTTGCAAACTTGGGAACTAATTTTTAAGTCACAATTATAAGGGCTGGTGAAACGTCCCTGCGTGTTAGGTAGGGGGGATTTACATTTCAAGGTTTTACATTTGTAATGAAAAAAAAATATTCCTGTAGACAACTAGCAAAAGGTATCTAATAAAGAGGATATTCCATGTGTTGAGTGAAATATCATATTTCTTTAATCCCGTCACTTGATGAGCATCTTCCTGAGGCAAGTGAGTTAACTGATTATAAAAGTCCAGTTTCCACCCTTGCCGAACTAGGCTGGTATTATGGAGTTAGATTTTGGCTGGACTAACGAGTCTATGCATAGTCCAATCAAAATCGTGCACCGAAATCGAAATCCGGTTCGTAAACTGTCATGCAGATTTCGTCGATTGCAGGATTTGCAAAGCATGTGCACTGCCAACTCGTTGTCAGCAGATATTTTCCAAATCTTTTCATGTTATTAATCAAGGTGCTCACGTAAATTGATGCATTTTGCGATGTAAGACCCGTTTTATCACAATATAGATCGTCCTGACTGGGCGCCACAAGTTTGTGTGAAGCAAACGCAAGTGATACGAGAGGTGGAATCTCATTGGTCCATAGTAGAGGCTTAGAGGGGACATAACTGGTAATAGCCACTGGTGGCGCTACGATCGAGCCCAGTAATTCCAGCCTAGTTCGGCAAGGGTGGAAACTGGACTTTTAAAGTCAGTTAACTCTCTTGCCTCGGGAAGATGCTTGATGAGAGAAACATGACATTTCATTCAACACATTCAAGGGATTTCTTACATGTTCAAGATCTTCAAAATAAACACTCTTCAAAGCATATTTCATTCTAAATCAAGGCTCTTTTCAAAATGTGCAAAACATTGCATCTGAAACATCTTTTATTATGAAAACCAGGATAAACATTCTAAAGGGCAAAATATTACACATTGGTAAAGGTCACCGGAAATATTACATTATAACTTCCTCAACATGTTCAATCTTACCTAAATAGATGAGTCCAAATCCACCTTGTCCAATAACTGGGCCAAGTTTCCACTGTTTTTTAAACACATCTTGTAAAATCTCTCCATTTGGGAAGGTTTCGGCTAACTTGTGGCCTTTAGGAGCTCTTGGACGTTTAGCTGCAGAAATTTACAATACAACTTACATAGCTACAAGAGTTGTCATAAATAAACCTGTACATTGTAAAAATGTGTTGACTTATTCAGTCAAATTGTTATAGGCAATACATTTCTTTACCTATGCCCTCACACATGAACTTTTAATAGTGAAGTTTCAAACTGTCATCATACCCAATGAGTGAGTGAGTGAATATGGTGTTACGCCGCTTTTAGCAATATTCCAGCAATATCATATCTTAACATGTGCATATCAAGTGATCACAGCCGAAGAAACTTGCATTAGTGCCACAGCCATTTTCAAGATATCTATAATGTGAAGGAAATCAGTTTTCCTACGTAGTCACGCTCTTTTCGTCCAGATTTTACTTTTACCTGTTTGAAGTAATGTTCCTTAGACAATATATCTATTTGTTTAACGCCAGACTAAATATTTCAGCTATATAATGGCTGCCTGTAAACGGTCAAGTCATGACAAAACAAACCAGTGATTAATATTATCAGCAACGTCCAATGCTCTTGTGTTACACAGGGATAGCAAATTCTGGCACCTTAGACGACTGGCCATCCATTTCCCACATGTATTGGGTGCTGTTCTGATCAAGAATCCTAACCCAATAACAGCAGATCCTGGCACGTACAAGAAATGCAACCCCCAGATCACACAGACATATCCCACATGTATTGGGTGCTGTTCTGATCAAGAATCCTAACCCAATAACAGCAGATCCTGGCACGTACAAGAAATGCAACTCCCAGATCACACAGACATATCCCATATGTATTGGGTGCTGTTCTGATCAAGAATCCTAACCCAATAACAGCAGATCCTGGCACGTACAAGAAATGCAACCCCCAGATCACACAGACATATCCCACATGTATTGGGTGCTGTTCCGATCAAGAATCCTAACCCAATAACAGCAGATCCTGGCACGTACAAGAAATGCAACTCCCAGATCATACAGACATATCTCCATACACAGTGTACAGTCACAGTTGATGCAAACAATGCACATATCTACATGATCAATCATTTGGATACTGACTCAAAACAAAGCACTTCTCACCAGCAGCTTTTGGTGCCCTGGGCATTTTTAGGGAGCAGCAGCAGCTTCTTAGTTCAACTGGTATATTCTGGAAAATATAAAATAATACTTGGGACAGACTTTTTAAAACTTGGCGTACGAATCAAAAGATAAGAAGTAAAAGCAGAGTCTTGATACATTCCACTGTCCAGAAACAAGTAATATGTTAAAAAGCACAAATCTCATTTACAGTTTCTATCAACATAAACAAATTATGAGAATTTTAACCTGTCGCAGAATGGTTGTAGCTATCGATATGTTATACTTGGCAATAATCCAGGTTCATCAAGTTTGGGCTAGGCAATTTTTTTAAACCAGTGGCCGATAGCATGAACAATGTCCAACAAAATATTATCACTTCTATACAAAATATATTTAGGTGCAGGTGAGCTACAATGTGTGAGTGAGTGAGTGAGTATGGTTTTAAGCCGCTTTTAGCAATATTCCAGCAATATCACGGCGGGGAACACCAGAAATGGGCTTCACACATTGTACCAATGTCAGGAATCGAACCCGGGTCTTTGGCGTGACGAGCGAACGCTTTAACAACTAGGCTACCTGACCGCCCCGCTACAATGTGGGGGACCAGTACTCAGACATTCTGAATATTTGCAATGAATACATCAATCGGTACCTGGATTAACAGAGGTCAACTGTATTGTACACAAAACTCTATTGGATGTGTATCATATCAAGTAAGCTCTTGAAGCATACACAACATTGTGTTTCAGCAAAAAAACAAGTACTGAAATAGTTCGAATTTCAAGTGAAAGAAATTTTGATACATACTGTAAACCGTGAAATTAATGCGTCGCCAAAAGAATGCGACCACTGGACCATAACCAAAAATGCGACTCAATATGAATGCGACACCCCCTCCTCTCAAGCATCAGTGGATTTCTATCAAAAGATGTCCTCAGTCAGGTTTAGAATCCCCACCTTAATCCAACCTTACATTAATCCAATCACACACCAAATAGCACCACTTATTAGAGCTGAGTAATGTACTTCCGCAAAAACAAAACATGCACGCTGGCTCGTGTCGGCCTATGACGCAGTCGCAAAGAACAAAGGGTGGTATCTATCTGGACATGCAGGTGTGATCAATGATGTCATCATGACATAAGTGAGTAGAACTCTTGTCTTGACACCAGCAGTGACAATTCACAGAATGTAATTAGTGTTTGAATGACATTGTTTATATACTTTATAGACAAGTGCTGCTCAATAAACAGTGGTGAGGAATACATCAGCTTATGTCTAAGTTGTTATTTTTTGCTATCCAAAATGTCTTATTGTTGATAGAAATGCGATGTTTAAATATGCGAGCAAAGACCACTCGCATTTTTCACATTTAATTCACGCTTGCGTTAATTTCAAGATTAACAGTACTCAAAATAAACAATAGTCAAAATAAATAACATTTTACAGAGCTCCAGATAAGCTGCGTATCTGCGTGAAATACGGATCAGAAATGCAGAAATACACAGTAAAATATCATCCAAGCGTATCAAATATGCAACAAATATTACAGATACGCTACAAAAATAAAACTTGTGCGTATCATAAAAATATTGTGAAGTAACCCTGCGTATTCGATTAGCAAATCAGCAACTTATTTTGAAATTATAAACGGGCATTCCATCAACCTTGCCAAACTCCACGATGGCGGTTACATCATGATCATTTGCCATCACACTTCTTGTGGAAGTATCGTGGTATTTTTGAGTCCTATAAAGCTCTCGAACCCACACGACACCAGTTTGCAGGGACTAGATGAATAGTGTTTTTAAATATTTAACTTAAATACCCACATGTGTAAAAACTAGTGGGTAACAGAATTTTAAATACGCAGATAGAATTACTGATACCCAATGATTTTAAAATGCATGGGTAAAATACCCACAACACCAATAGCTTATCTGGAGCTCTGTTTTAGAATCTCTCTTACATCATTTCCATTTATTGATTTCAAAAACTACTGTTACCATAGCAGGACGATAGCTTCATAAGTGTTTGTATGCATGTTTGAAATGTGTCAACACTTAACCGGAAGATGTAATCAACACAATGAAATCAAACCCTAATCTGGATGAACATGACTAACTTTTGTTCCTGTACAACAGATTTGTCATGCGAATCTCTCAAGTCAAGAAAAGAAATACTTCCTTATACCATATCATGCTGATGATACTGTTAATATCAGACTGGTGACAAGAGGGTTTGTACACTAATAAAATATCTATCACTAGTATCAGTCTAGTGCTTAATCATGTTTGTTTCAGAAATCAATCAAAAGACAAAGTAAACTCTCTGTTGGGAGTACTTGAACATTAATTTTGTTCAGGAGATTTCATAGAACACTCATATCATTAGGTCATTGACCTATACATAAATAACAAGCATACCGACTCCGAGCTGACCAGACATTGTTTTATGCCCTAGTGCCGAGCACCAGTCAGGGTAACAACCATCAGAGCTCCAGATAAGCTGCGTATCTGCGTGAAATACGCATCAGAAATGCAGAAATACACAGTAAAATATCATCCAAGCGTATCAAATACGCAACGAACATTACAGATACGCTACAAAAATAAAACTTGTGCGTATCATCAAAATATTGTGAAGTAACCCTGCGTATTCGATTAGCAAATCAGCAACTTATTTTGAAAATATAAACAGGCATTCCGTCAACCTTGCCAAACTCCACAATGACAGTTACATCATGATCATTTTCCATCACACTTTCTTGTGGAAGTATCGTGGTATTTTTGAGTCTTATAAAGCTCTCGAACCCGCACGACACCAGTTTGCAGGGACTAGATGAATAGTGTTTTAAATATTTGACTTAAATACCCACATGTGTAAAAACTAGTGGGTAACAGAAATTTGAATACGCAGATAGAATTACTGATACCAAATGATTTTAAAATGCATGGGTAAAATACCCACAACACCAAAAGCTTATCTGGAGCTCTGAACCATGGACACCAGTTTGCGTTATGGTGTTTTCTAGGGGTGAAACGATACAGCAAGGTCAAGATACATTGGTCACGATAAGATATGTATTGTGATACCCATATTTACCTCAAATCACATAATAAATATTTCAGAGCAGGTTCAAAAGGAAAAGCTAACTGACACATGTTCGTAGCGGCTATTTTCAATAGTAAACTTGAAATGCTAATTACAACACATTTTGCTATATCTGACTGACAAAAATGCCAGAGATCATTAAACAAGTAGAAAGTAATATATTTTCAGCAAGTGTATTGTCTTGTATTGATACAAAAGGAAAAAAAGTATCGTGTATCGTATCGTCACATGAAAACACACAATCCACCGGTGCATCGATGTATATCGTGTCACCCCTAGTGTTTTCTTCATGCAAGTTACTTACTATCTGTATTATACAGGCAAAGTCAACAGGAAGGAAAACTGTCATTTCAAGCAAGTGTGTCGTCGTTTGATGTGAATCTACTGACAGTCTAGACGGGATTGTTCCTTATATACCCTCATATATGCTTAACTAGGAACAGCAGATTTCCTATGGCACAGATAGTATTTGATGTAAGACATTAAAGTAAATGAGCAACGAAACTACCCTAATTCATTTTCCCTGTGTGGAAATTACCATTGACGTAATAGTTTAATGCCAATCTCATTAAAATCAGATCTTAGTTTTCGCTATTGCTAAACATGCTAAACAGAGATCTGAGGACATCCCATTATGGGTCACGTCAGAATGACCTTTCATCCGACCAATCAAAGCATCGCTTACCAGATCATGAGAGTGACAGTCGGAATGTGTTTTCTAATCATGCAACCTCGAAAACATTAACACGGGGTATTCCGAATGACAGTTACGACCCGTATGACTGATTCCGTCAAAATTATCGTCTATCTCTCGATTCAGTGGGATAAACATTTGAACCAAGGAGGCATTGCACAGTACATGGGAAGCACTGCCATACAATCGCAGCCATATATTAGACATTTCGGAATCTTCGTGTGTTCAATTTTTCAAAATTTTAATCAAGAACTGTGGCAACATATTTTTCAAGCGTTGTCTAAAATGGAAGTCGCCAGGTTGAAACGAGTGCCGTAAAGCTCGAGAAAGCTGCTTTCTAATTGGTTGATGTCGACTTCTTGTTAATCATTTCAGTGGTCGGTCAAATTCCTCGAAAGGTCGTTCTGACGTGACCCATAAAGGGATGACCTCAGATCTTTGTTTAGCGGCATCGAAAACTTAGATCTGATTTCAATGAGATTGAGTTTAATGCAGAATCTCTTTGATCTATAACAGTTTACTCTTCTCACGACTGTAGACATAACATATCACTCACCTATGGACATAAAGTATTTATCATGTTTATCTCATCTATGGACACAACATATTTATCTCAAAATAAGAAATAGGGGGCTCTTATTAGAATATTATGTTGGTGAAAAAAACAGAGTTGAAAGATAAATTTCGTGGTTTATAGTGACAGCCTGAAATGTTTATGTACGACAGATATATTTTTCCAGAATTTAATTGCCCATAATTAAGGGTGCATATAACACACTAGTGTGTATTATATGCGAATAAATAAGTCTTGTGTACATTGAAGAGGTGCTAATTGGGATTGTTCTCTAGACAATACATCAGCAAATATCGCCATGGGCGCTTATTAGAGCGGGGCGCTTATTACGTTGAATACGGTAAATGATGACAATCCAAGCAGAATTGGAAATACATTGGTGTCATTTGTTGAAGAATAAGTTATTTATATATGGATACATCAAAACTTGTGCAAAAAATCTTTCACCTTCACTTGTTCTAAACTGTGCAAATTAAAACACACTCCCTATTTTACAAACAAAACTACATCAGCACATCATGTCTGTTTCTAATTTACCATAAACTGGTATAGAGTATTTCCTTGCCTGTAAATTATGTATTTACTTTTGTCAAATGCCAACAATGGGCTAATTCATTACACAGATGGAAGGAAGGTTTGGCAGCTATATAATCACTGGACCCCGAAGCTGTTTAGATAGCACTGCATGTGGGAGAAGACACCTGCACTGTGGTAACCTAGTGGTCAATAGTGCATGAATACACAACCATTAGACCCTTACTTCTTGTCAAAGAGTGAAGGCATAATGTGATGTATAGGCCATGCATGCACTATTTCTAACAAAGTAATTGTAAACATGCAGAATAACTACCATTGACATTGTCTCTTTGATATTAGGGTATATCAACATATTGAACAGGAACATAAAACTAGTTAAATTATATAAAATTAGCAATAGGAAATAAGCTCATCAGTAATGAATGTAATAATTGGTGGACCAGTGCAAGTTTAGTATCTGCCATTGCCAGATGAGTGTACTGGTGATCCCCAAATCAAAGGTAAATACTATTTTCACATCTAATGCTGCCTTAGCCATGTTAGCAAAAAGATCAACCAGTCTCTCACAAATACAAGATTGAAAATGATGGCAAATATTGTTGAGAAATTACATGGTCTACCTTAATTCACAAAGAATGAGTCCTTTGGGAACAGATCGTTATTACAAATGAGGCATAGCATAGTTCAATAGGAGAGAGAGGCTATATATTATTGTTCTTTATTGCTCTTTACAGTTGTAACCATCCATTCTTTTCATGCTCTTTCAGCGATTCGTTTCCAATTGAAGAATGGGGTCGATAACCATAGTCTATTAACCGGCTGATAACAACCGCCCACAACGCAAACATTAGCAGCAAGATTATGCCAAGAATGATATATATATGGTCAGTACCTGGGTTATATCGTTGACTATATGAGTATTAATGTTAACCCGGTAGTGACGATATCTTGTCAAGTTTTGCTTTGCAAGCCCCTGTGCAACACCTACAACAAGATTAGTCTTCTGACAGAAAATGAGCTTCATACTCGTGTAATCGTTGTTCCTACATATTGCCTGACACCATGTCTGTTTGGTACACAAGTAAAATACTTCAACTCACGCAAATGTGTGCTGACTAGTGTCGGTATCGATACAGCCTCTTTTCCTTCAAAACAAGCGCCACTACGTGGAGATAAAACGCGCCTGCCGATTGGCCCAAAAAATACACATATCCAATCATAAGTCACATTGCATAGATGGACCGGAAGTGGCGTGACGCAAACCACAAAATGGAGTATTCACGAGAAAGAAGCAGATGAGTTTCTAAAAATGCTAATTTCCGTGTGACTGTCTTATTTGAAGTAATAGACGTAGAACGAAATATGTAGATATGACAATGACAGAACCCACTAGCCATTCCTCCGACACTAAAACTGAAAATGGTCAGCTGAAAGGATTTGTCAGTGCTGAGAAAGATGTCCCGACGTCGTCCCCAGGACAGGAAGTAAACAAAGTAGCTTACCAAAGTGGGGGAGGATCCCAGCCTTGCGAGGATGGGGGCCCCCTCATGCGAAATGACGATTCGGACTCGTCATCTGAAGAGAAAGCGTTCCAGGAAGCGGCAGCCAAGTTTGAAAAACGCGGAGTTAAGTTTCATGAAGGAATTGTCGCAGGATACAAGGACGCACCTGACCCTTGGAAGGATGGTAATATACATTCAAGAAATATTTTATATATATATATTATCAGTCTCTAGGTATATCCAAAGAGAGATGTCCCTATCAGCATCTGCCAAAATTGTCGATTGATGAAGTAGCCTATTTGTAACATAGGTCTACAAATGTTATCTAATCACATTTGTCTGTCAAGTGTCGTTGGTGATAAAGTATTGGTTTTTTTAAAGTAGTGATAGTTATTTTATCATTTTATATTTCATCATAATGTATTCCAACATGTCCCCATTGGTGATGTTATTGTTAAACCTGTATCTTTTCTTGAACATGATTCATAATGTATTCCAACATCTCCCCATTGGTGCTGTCATTGTTAAAATGTTGTCAGTTCATGAACACATGTTGCAATACTGGTGCAGCAAATCCCAAGATTCCTGTAGCATGTACAGTATTTACATCACAGTGCACAATCACGACTAGTGAATTACAATAATACACTCAACTGCACACCTTTACACTGTGCTATATCCTGACCTGACACTAGGGAATTTCTTTCTAGATATTCTAGATACCCTTCTGATACATTTGCTAGATTTATGCGTTGAAACAGTAAACTTTCCTAAGAACCTCTGTGAGCCAGTGAAGCACAGCTGAAGTATTGTAGTAGTACAATGTTTACTTTAATCAGCCAGACCAGTGAATTATTGCAAAGTCACATGGTCATATGACTGCCTAGAGATTAATCAGTGTCTGATATTTGGCCCCAAGTTAGCAGCAAATGTCAGTAAAAATTGATGAGGTGACTCATATTTCTGTGTGTGTTTGTGGTGTTAAAACACCTCTGAATTTTGGAAAATAACATGTAACAACATTCCAGTTTTCAAAAACAGAACATTGTTTCACAATTTGTCTGCCAAGGCAATTAGTTGGGAATCACAGATAAATCCCTGCTGTCAGTTTTTGCCTGATTTCTTTCATTCATAGCTTTGTGAAAGATGGGAGTACTGGGATTATGATCATAATAATGTGAATAGTTTTACTAGATATCCATAGCATATTTTACTAAAAAGTATTTAAAATATTTGCAAATTCTACAACATGATTGAACCTATGCAGCAGGATACAGTGACAGACTGCAACTTTAGCCACAAGCCAGAGCCTAGTAAAATTCTTTACGGACTAGTACAGTGTTCCCGTTTACCGATAACTACCAGCTTTTTACCGGTAAAATAAGACTTGGACCGGTAATTCATCTGACTGCCAGTCCCTGTGGACCGGCAAATAAATTAAGTATCTTATAAATCTTTGTTATTGAACAGAACATCGGCAATATTCATATAAGTAGTGTTTTCGAACGAAGTCAGCTTGTCTGTTGCCAACTGGGTTTCCGCTCGTCTATGTTCTTCTGTGCAAGGAAATAACGTTTCGCATTGCTCCAAGGTTAAATATATATTTGTAGCAATTTAGTCTCGAAATATTTTTAGAAAAGAGAGAACATTGTGTGAATGACGTAACTAAATTACTTCAGAGATGATGTCGTTTATTTGTTGAAAGCTGGGACTGACAAAAATTAAAGGGGACTGGTAATTTTAAGAGTTGCCAGTCCACAAGGACTGGCAGTTTCAAAAGCCAGTGGGAACGCTGTTGTATGATCAGCTAATATGACACCATATGATGACACTACAAGGCACTATTATAATATGATGCTAAAAGCCAATTTCAGGCAAGCAGACTCGAAATTTTTGGCACAGGCTGCAATGTTGTGTGTACCAGTACATATTCTTCCTGGGCTTTCATATCAAAGAAAATATCAAATATCATGAATATGTGCAACAATATTGACATGTGACATCCTTGCACAAAATGGCTGTTCATTGACTCAGGATGCTTAAAGAAGGATTTTCATTGATTAACGGTTTATATATATGCATGCATAAATGGATCATGCAAGTAACCGATATCAGTCTGACAATACGCATATTGTTTTGTTTTTATGTTTTTCATTGTAACAACAGATTGAACGGAAAGTGCAGATAAATACTCATTAAGACCAACATTTTTCAACCAGTGAAGATACGGGGTAGAATAGGTCTTCAGCATTCCATGCTTGCCGTAAAAGGCGACTATGCTTGTCGTAAGAGGCGACTGACGGGATCGGGTGGTCAGACTTGCTGACTTGGTTGATGCTTGTCATCGATCCCAATTGCGTGGATCGATGCTCATGATGTCAATCACGGAATTGTCTGGTCCAGACTTGATTACTTACAGACCACTGTCATAGCTGGAATATTGCTGAGTGGGCATTTAACAACCTAAAACTCCTCTCCTGGCCCCCAAAATATATAACCCAGGTCCCTCCCTGTTATAGTGTGCATGATGAGTCATTGAAATGTGATCGCACTTGTCATATTCAATAATACCATAAACAAGTATGTCAGCTTCCTACTGAATATACTGTTAAAAGCAGCGTTAAACACAACTCACTCACTCACTCCTACTGAATATGATTATATTTCTGTAGTAACCATGGTAACACATGATTAAAATACAGATATTTACTCAATTACTGGTAGAAACAAGAATAACACTAACAGAATAAAATTAAAACATGTTGACTGTTTCAATGTTTAATACCGTTGTTTACAGGATGTTACATGTTTTGAAAGCACAAGTAATTTAACATGTTTAACATGCTAGACAATACATGATTAACGTTTTTAGTCAAATGAGTGTTGATGGAAAGTGATGATGAGAACACAGGACCTGAGTACGTGCATCTCCTTCCTGTCAGAGCCTGAAATAGCATCATTGTAATCAGCATGGTGAGCAGAAGAGGGGATGCTGTAATTCTTATCAATAACTAAGTTACTATTATTATCTATAATGAAATGGATTGTCGGCAAATGAATGCGGTCATGAATGTGCCAAAAGCTATTGAGTCAACTCGCCAGAATTAGGCTCTTAACATCGTTTTTTTGTTGTGAACATATGGCATTTATCAGCTGATCTTTCTAGGTCGGAGAGACTTTTTACTGGCGAGCATTATACATGTTTTCTATTGCTACTATATGATATTTACAATACAGAGACACACATGTGTAATCTGGTAATAGTCTCTGTATCATATAAGTTCTCCTTGTTAAAATAATGATGTTTAAGGCGTTATTTCACTCAATGAAGAGTGTTGAAAAAGTGCACATGAATACAATGTTTTGAGTGAATCATCCTATTTATCATATAGTGCCAGCCATATACCATGATATACAAGGTAACATATGTCTACAGAAACATAGCAGCACATTGGGAGACCCCTATATCAGCATATTCAAAACATTATTCTATAGTTTGTTTTTTAGAAAGAAGGTATCGCATTGAAGTATGGAGCTTGAAAGCTGGATGGTGATACCAAGTCAATCAAATTGGTTTGTCTCATTGATAACACAAGCGTCATGATATGATAAACATAGTACGTATACTGCACATCTATCAATGCCTGTGTTTTAACAGAATTAGGGCCTACATTTTTTACTAGAAATCTAGAAAGCAAATGTACATGATGTATGCCAAATATTAAAAAAAACATTACGTATCAGAAAGAAAAAGTTTTGAACTAAAAAAATATCAGGATAATAATCACACAACAATCATCATATTGTGACACTTTTTGAACAAGTGTTATCGGAATATATTTTACACTGAACCTGGTTGTCACATGGCAAATCTTCACGTGAACTTCACATAAACATGATAAAGAGACGTTGGTAGCTATGCAGAGTGTGTGACAGATGGACCTTTGTATGTTTGTGTGTGGTGGTGCTGAGTCTTGTCAACAGATGTCCATGCTCCATGCTTATCCCACAACAGCTTACTCATCATACAATGTAAATTCTTCTGTTTGGGGACAACATGCTGTCATTATCATGTGATTATGCATCTTTGGATATGATATTTTTTATGGAGATTTTTCAGTTGATCCGGTGTTTGGTTGATAGCTTTTTTTGCAAGAAAATCAACATGATCAATCCAGCAGATAAAAAAATATTTTTGTTTGTGTGCAATGTGTATTTATACTCTATTTCAACTGTTTCAATCTTGTTATGAGATTAATATGTATTTGTCGTAGGGAAAAAGGTCTGTCCCGGTTATTATCCACCGCCTCAACAAAGTTGGTGCGTGCGTCCCGAAATCGTTTCCGGAGCATAACTCAGAAACCGTTAAATATTTCTCTACGAAACTCTGCATGTCTACCAGGCACATACTGAACTGGTGCCTTTTGCTATTTAGGAATGTTATAAATTTTTATTTATGGCAACAAGTTGGACTTAAAAAACAGTAAGGGTAGGGTTTGATTCAGGATGAAATTTTTCACATCTATGAGACACATGCTGAATTGTTGCCTTTGGCTATTTATGAATTTTAGAAATTTATATTACTGGACATTATTTCCCGAGCTTGTTAGATTTTGAGCTACACAGTTACGGCCCTTAATCCATGTTATTTTACAAAGTGCATAGTGTCTGCAATGAACATGATGAATTTTCTGATGACAAAGCGATCCGAGTGCCTGTCTCTATCATGTCAACACAAGGCTTTATAGGACTCTTATTTATAGTTTGTATTCCCTTCTACATGAACAAACAAATTTCTAATGTCCCCCATGGTAGGGGATAGTGATAACGCTGTTTCCTTGTTTAATATATAATCATATCTTTTTTGCAACTAGAAAAATATGTGATCAAATCAATTGCAATCTATCAGTTGATTGATGGTCTGGAATATTGTTCTAAAAAGGGTCATTTGAATGAAAAATTGAGGCAAGGGTTTTACAAAATTCTGTAAGTACAATGTTCTTATTCCCACCAACATGCCATATTAAAAGCAAAATGTGACAATGAGACCCCAACATCTGTATATTTAAATGATTCAGTGTCTCCCAGCATGTCCAGAGTTTCAGATGGCCATATGTCACTAGTCATAGACTGATAAAATTTCAATTCGAAAGATTGTTTAAGATGTTGGACTTTTGACCGATAGAAATGCTTAGCAAAGTGTCATACATTTTATAATTTCATAATTAAGAGGTAAGTAGGAAAGATTGATCCTGTTATAGTGTCAATTATGGTATCTTAAAACAATACACAGCCATCAAAACTCGTAATTGAAATTCTGGGTACCGCATGTCTTTGCTCAACTTTCTGTATCATAGAGAAAGGCTTTCGGGAGCTATAGTCACTTAGTCAAGCATTTTTCTTATCGCAACGTTTTATTGGCCAGATTGTGTAAATTCATCCAATCACGAATTGTATTGCGTTGATTTGTTGTTACGGTTCGTCTGTCATTTTTGTTGATTTGTCTTATTGACTTTTGCCATTGAGTTATTTTGGGGGGGGGGTCCGTCATTGACTTTATACAGCTTTTTGTGACAAAATCACTGATGCCTAGTATCACAAGATCCTAAAATTATCAAATACAACTTTGATGTTGTACAGCCTTCAACATTCATGTTAGTCTGCTAGCCCAAGACTACTAATTTGTTCCCGGACCAGTAAAACTCCAATGATGGTAGTCCTCATTGACCAGTCACATTTGAGGGCAATGATCCTGGGCCTCAATGCTTCGATTTCGCTACAAATTGGAACTGAATAAAACTGACAGAAAATGTAAACAAAAAACATTGTGTCGTGTTCAAACAGGACTAGCTACAAACTCTGAGGACAAATGTAATTAGTTTTACACTAGTCCTCTGGACTAGTATCAAGGAAACGAGATTTCTAAGGCTGTCAAACATGTCATATAAAATGACTCTATCTTCTTTATCTTCTTTGGGGGGACGGGTGGCCCAGTAGTCTTAGGTGCCATGATCATGATGATTCGCTGTGCAGAGTTGCGTCCCTTGGACACGCCAGAAACCTATGATTGTGGGTTCGAATCCCGGTTCACCCCAATTATGTTTCTAGGTTTGTCAGCACCATACCCGTGATCCTGTTTTTCAACGAAGTGGTAAACGTCTGAGACCTGAATCACTTGGGGCTTTCCTCTCACATTAAGCTGACACGCCGCGATATAACTGGAATATTGTTAAAAGCAACATTTAACCCAACTCGCTCACCCACTCACTATATCTTCTTTACCTGAGGACCAGACAAATGAGGTTAACACTAGTCCTCTGGACTTGTCTTTAAAAACACATTTCTAAGGCTGTTGTATGTGTCTTTCAGCCCGGGGGTGGACATGGCACGAAGTGATGATGGCATACAGACTGAGCTGTGAGAAACACAACACTAAGCCCCTCAACAGGATCATACAACAAGTACAGGTAACAACATACACCCTGGTCGCCTACATTTCCAAATGTTCCATGATTCTGGGGAAAATTCTTGTACAGTTGCATGCATATCTCCTGATGATTTGGACATCTTCCCAACAATTCAGGGATGTGGCATGAGCAGAAAGAGGTCATAGTCAAAGTTTAAAGGAACTCCCCTTTCAGAACAATTCTTTTTAATTTGCCAAAGCATTTCCAAATTCCACAAGCAAACCCTTTGACTAGTGAAATCCTAAAGAGGAAATCAAAGATTACGATTTATTACTTACCCGTGAAGAGATTACCCGTTTAATAAACATACAGCTGTATTACACATTGTGTAATACCAAAACGCCTGCTTATGTACTCTCGGAACACGTTTCATAAACAAATATTGAAAGCTCTCAACATCCCTTGGCTTATTCAACGACATTGTGTGTGGAGATGATAGATCACTGAGAGGAGCTTATGCAAACTCTTTGACCCCAGCAACCTTGTTGCTAGGCTGGCGTCACATGGCATTGTTTCACTGATGGATCTTGCAACAAAATTCCTCAAATTACGTCATCGGGTATTGTGAAGTGATTGTAAACTTTGTGGTGCAGGGCCCCGTTCCACAAGGCGATCGATCATACTGCATGTACTCACTACTGCAGAGCAACGACAGTCGTAAGTCTATGTTAAAGTATGTGAGTTACGATAACCTTAGTGCTACGATAACTTTGTGGAACGGATGCCTGAATTCTAAAGGTGGTCCATTGAATGGTATTAAATTCAAACATTTCAACATGGACCCTAAAAATATATATCGTATTAAGTGTCCATGGTTTCAATTTTTGATGTGATTGAAGTATTATTCTGTTAAACTCAATAGGATTATGCAGTGGATTGTGTATGTGTCAGCCTATTCACACTCAACAGTATAATTCTAAAAACATTATAAATGGCAAGTAATAAATAAAATACTTAACTCGCTCCCATGTAAAACCAATTTTATGAAATTTGTGAATGGTTGTTGTATCTGACGAGAGAAAACTATTCACTCTTTTCATAAAATTGGTATAAGACGGGAGCTCGTTTAGTATTCTAAATATAGACTACCGTTCATCTACAGTTGTGTAGAAAATCTTGTGTCATTTTTATGTGTATTGTTTATTGTTTTTTCTTCTTCATCCATTTTCCATTATTGTGATGATCATGACCGTGACTATATCATGTATATTTCATCCTGGCTACTCAGGCTTGTGTAAGCATTTGAACTGAACAATATTGTTTATATTTACCATTGTTGACTGTCACAAGAACTGATGTGTAATATTTATGAGCTGTAATGCAATAACTAAGCGCCTTTATTCAGCTGTCATAACATTGGTATGTATACGCAGTGCTGATGTGACAAACAACCATCTGTTCATCATGATATTTAAAAAAAGTCATCAAGCTCTCATTCTAGGTGGAGCTTATTCCACAAACGATAATTGTGGTTTTTTTTAGCATCACTGGGATTTTCTGAACGAACCTATCTGGTAGTTATGAGTCATTATGATGCCGGTGTCATGTGTAGAAAGAGAATTCCAGGTGACTTATTAAAATATATTTAGGTCATATGTTACTTTCGGTCTTCCAGCCTATGAGTATTGCTTGATGACTTCTGAACCTGTGAAGATTCCGGGGTAGAATAGGTCTTCAGCAACCCATGCTTGCCGTAAAAAGCGACTATGCTTGTCGTAAAAGGCGACTAACGGGATCGGGTGGTCAGGCTCGCTGACTTGGTTGATGCATGTCATCGATCCCAATTGCGTGGATCGATGCTCATGATATTAATCACTGGATTGTCTGGTCCAGACTCGATTATTTACAGACTGCCGTCATATAGCTGGAATATTGCTGAGTGCGGCGTAAAACAACAAACCAACCAACCTTTAACTGAACCTATTAATTGTTCAACTGTCAATCTTAGAGCATCTGTAGTGACAGCTACTTTATCTGATCAAGAACATTGATTCCAAGTTAACACAAGTTGCAGCAATGATATTGATTTATTTACAGCCAAGTCGTGTCATTTTGAATGTACAGCCTAAACAATGATGCAGTAGCCATGGTTACAATACAATCACAATACCTGTTTTTTTCAGGGTCTTGTTGACAATGGAAAGAGACAAGAATTATTCAGTTTAAAAGGCAAGTTTATGTCTTTCATTATTTTAAGTGCTCATATTTCGAAAGAAGATTCTCAGCTATTTTCCTATTTTCGAAACAATAAGAGGAATATTTTCAGTTAGCTTTTTATACTCATTGATGAAGGGATGTCCCAACTAAAGCTGTGTGATCTGTGCTGTTGTCAGGTGAAAAGTTGGACCACAAGCACTGTGAGAGTATTGAGGAAATCTTGCGGCGTATACAGTTCAGTGTTATTGATCTCGAGGGCTGCCACCTGGAGGACGAGGTACACATTCAACTATAATAAGTGGAAATAGGAGGGATCATCCTCAATAATCCAGGGAAATATATTTACCTCCTGCCTTCATATCAGTAATTTGCCGAGCTGTGTCTTAAAGCAACCAGCTAATCAACAGTGATCAATGACTGATGGTGAATGGAATAATATTCTGACCAATCAAATTACAGGTTTCGTATATTGTTTTTCTGTTCACATTTCCAAGTTTCCTGGCAACCAAATGGATCGGGTGGTGAGACTCGGTGACTTGGTTCATTGTGTGTCACTGTACTGTAACGGCATGGATCATTGCCCATTATATCAATCAATGGATTATCTGGTCCTAACTCTAGACAGGCCACCGTAGCTAGACTATTGCTGTGTGTAGGTTTAAACAAGGAGCAAGCAAAGACTAACTCATGCATGATTGGGGCATGTTATTTATTTGTTGTATATGCTAGTCTGCAACATTCCAGCTAAATCATGGAGGGCTGTAACATATTCATTGTGGTATGGAATAAACAGTTGTTGATATTATGATGAACAATGCTCAATGTTGTCAGTGTAGGAGGACATATAATCAACAAAGCCACCACGCCTGATTACCTGATCCATTTGGCCTCTTCTTAGTTTACAAGAGCAGCATAGGTTGCTGTGGACCTATTCTATATTGAGTTAGTGAGTGAATATTGTTTAAACCCAATAGGGGCGGTCGGGTAGCCTAGTGGTTAAAGCGTTCGCTCTTCACGCCGAAGACCCGGGTTCGATTCCCGACATGGGTACAATTTGTGAAGCCCATTTCTTGTGTCCCCCGCCATGATATTGCTGGAATATTGCTAAAAGCGGTGTAAAACCATACTCACTCATTTAAACCCACTAAGTCTGACGACCCGATGCAAATTAGTTCCCTCTTTCAACAAGCAATAAGTACTGGGGACTTGTTCTTACTCAGGTCTTCACCGGGTTTCAGGAATGTTAAATCTATGGATAGTTTGAACAACAAATGTTTTTTCTGTTTTCAGAGTGCTGTAGCTCTATTTGACATGATTGAATTCTACGACTCAACGTGTCAGTTGAACATATCCTTCAACAAGAACATAGGACTAAGAGGATGGCAGGCTTGCTCCAAGCTTATACGCAGGGTAGGATCATTGTCAGATATTGATCTTTCAGTTGCGTGGTCTCTCTCAGCATGCATAGTGCCATGTCACATTGTCAGGTGCTCGGTATGGAATCACAGCTTACAAGATCATACACTGTCATCCAGTAAGGCTCCATTAATCTCGACCCTGCTTCCCGATGATGAGGAAGGAAATTGAAAGGGACTTTCAGTTTCATGATCATTAACCAAGTTATATTTAATGAATCTGTAAATGTTACAACTAAAGCCTTCAAAATTCACGCTAGTCCGCTAGCTTGAGTCTACTAAATTGTGCTTAGTACAATTAAAAATCAAATAATGATGGTCCTGAATGGCTAGTAATTGTATCATAAAACCACAAGGGGCACAGCTTCTTTCTTAATTGTTCTCTGCGATTTATCGTGTAGCTATCTCATATCAGTTCTGAATGCTGGGATTTTAGTACAAGTAAGTCCAGGAGGATTTGCTGCAAACTCTTGGACAAGTGACATGAGTTTTACACTAGTCCACTGGACTTGTCTTAAAATTTGTTCATTCCACAGCTACATTTATTTCCTCCCTCAACCGAAGGGGGCATGAGTGGCCCAATGGTGTAAGGTGCCGCGAATCGCTGCTCAGAGTTGCGTCTCTTGGGCACGCCAGAAACTTATGATTGTGGGTTCAAATCCCGGTTCGCCCCGATTATGTTTCTAGGTTTGTTAGCACCATACCGGTGCTCCTGGGTTTCACCGAAGTGGTAAATGTCTGAGACCTGCATCACTTGGGGCTTTCCTCCCACTTTAGGCTGACACGCCGCTATATAACTGGAATACTGTTATAAGCAGCATTAAACCCAACTCACTCACTCAATCACTCAGTCAATCACTCCATCAGCCGGTCCAATTGAGGCAGTCACAACATGAAAAAGGCCTACTTTATTCTGCTGTCAATCAAACTGATAAGACCATGTTTCACCAGTCTGCCTACATGACTGTTGTGCAAACATTATTGATCTGTTTTCACCATTACACTGTAAACTGAAAGTGCAACACCAACATGACACTACATTTTGATTAATGTACTACAGCAATGTCTTGTTACATTAGTCAGGAAATTTGCTGTGCTTTTCAATAAAAAGGATTTGACTTCACATTTAAACATTTTGATTGAAGTAGCTTATTTGTAGATCTTTCAATATTGTCATGATCATTTCTACTTATATGTTAGGTATAAGAGGATATTGTTAGTTGTGAATATTTTCAAATAATCTCCAACCTGAAAGCATGGCTCATATTTTTCAAACAAATACGAATCATTCGGTGAACATACCATTAATACAAACATGATTATGTTTGAAATTAAGCATGAAAGTAAAGGGGACAGGTTATTGTTATAACTCTCATGTTGGAGAGTGTTGGAGCAAACCTCAAAGAGGTGAAAGGTTAGGTGAAATGGGGTTTAACAGCGCGTCCAAGATTATTGCTCTTTATAGCGACGTGCATGCACATGTGTGCGTGTCTGCTTGTACTAGTCAGGACTGATGCCGATTTAAAGTGCTAGCCCACTGAGATACCATGCCACAGTTTAACATGAATACCCCACTCAGACACTGTATACTGACGCCAAGCTGACCAGTCCTTGTTTTATCCCCTTAATGCCGAGCACCAGACAGGGTAACAACAAGTACCATCTTTTAACATCTCTTGGTATGATGCGTCGGAGGATCGAACCCCGGACCTTCCACTCTCCGGGCAGAAGCACTACCACTAGACCACAGAGGCGATCCAAACCTCAAGGACCCCTACTTATATGAATGCTGTATGTCTGACAGTGCCTTTTTGTTTCAGACCCCTCATCTCATTCATCTAGACATGAGGAACTGTGACCTGAATGAACGCTCCATCCCTATCATTGGCAGAGCTCTGAAGCTGGGCAGTACACTCACTGTGCTACACTTAGAGAACATCTCTCTGTCTGGCCGAGCCCTCATCATACTTGGTAGGTTGTCAGTGGGTGTCAAGCTACCACCACTAGATACAGGGCTGGCTTGATGTTGGAGTGAAGTGTTCCTTCATTGCAATGTCTTGAATCCAGAAAAGTGTTTTACACTACTCAAATGAAGTTAAAGAAAACCTGATTCTTACATTGACTTTAGTTAATCTGTCATGGCAAAAGAAGTTAAACAGGGCAAGATTTAAAGAACTTGATTAAACTTGCACAACATGCATATTGATACGAAAACCAAGTTGCACCAATAAGAACCAGGTCGCTCTCTGGTCCCATCAATCTAATACATAGGCTGGTCTGCTGCCAGTGTCACATGAATTAATGACTCATTGCTGTAAAATGTAATAGGAACATGTGTACATAATCATGGAAGTACCCCGACCCGTGAAGATCCAGGGTAGAATAGGTCTTCAGCAACCCATGCTTGCCGTAAAAGGCAACTATGCTTGTCCTCAGAGGCGACTAACATGATCGGGTAGTCAGGCTCGCTGACTTGGTTGATGCATGTCATCGATCCCAATTGCGTGGATCCATGCTCATGATATTAATCACTGGATTGTCTGGTCCAGACTCGACTATTTATATGGAATTGATGCTGGGATATTGCTGAGTGCAGAGTTAACCAACCCACAAACCCACAAACAAACCAACCAACCAACCATGGAAGTACTCACAGTTTGGTGACATGAAGCCTAAGTAAGCTTAACAAATAACACGTAACAGGGATTAGTGTTCTAGTATTGTAAATAAACTTCAGACATATTGAGTGTGTTCAAAGATTGATTTTGTGTGTACGGGTAAGGGTTAGTCGGACACACAGTTGAATATTTTTTACATGCACTTGGTGCTCATGGACATAAATATTAGATTGCATTTTTCAATAACAGGTTGCACTTGTGCATTATTTGTAGAGTTAATTCGAGCCCCGTTAAAAAACACCCTATTCTTTCATGCCATGACAGATTAACTATAGTCACATGAAAGAATCGGGTGTTCTTTAAATTTCTTTTTGAGTAGTTTATATTAGATGTAGTATATTGAAGTTAATCATTGCCATTTTTTTCTCCTGCTGATGTAAACTTTAGCCAAAGCTTGATCTTTAGCTTATAGGCTATGCAAATGTATGTGATGTCAAACAGCATCAGGAGTCTTCAGTGACAGTCTGATACCATCCCTGAAACCATCTCTGAAACCTTCAGACCAACTTCCTCACCTCTGCTTGAGGAGCTTTGCGGAATTTCACGCCCAATGCATCAGCCAGTTCCATGACTGAATTCAATAGCAAACCATTGAATAAACATGATGATTGTGCCCAGTGTATGCAATGGGCTCAGGCCAAGAATTATGCTGGCCAATCAATTTTGTTTATTTCTCATTCATGGTACTCATTGGCTATTAGCCGCCTCCGTGGTCTTGTGGTAGAGCGGAAGGTCCGGGGTTCGATCCCTGGCCGTGTCATACCAAAAGACGTTAAAAGATGGTACTTGTTGTTACCCTGTCTGGCGCTCGACATTAAGGGGCTAAAACAAGGACTTGTCGGCTCGGAGTCAGTTTACTGTGTCTGAGTGGGGTATTCATGTTAAACTGCGGCATGGTATCTCAGTGAGCTAGCACTATAAATCGGCATCAGTCCGGACTAGTACAAGCAGCCACAGACACACACGTGCATGCACGTTGCTATATAAGTGCAATAATCTTGGACGCGACGTTAAACCCAATTCCACCTCACCTCACCTCATTGGCTATTCTTGCACAGTTAGGTCTGCCATAGTACATTTGCACCTACTGCACTGGCAAAGGCTTTGAGATGGAGAATTTCATGTACCAAGCAAAATTTGTGTGAAAAGGTCTGCTGATCAATTCAAACTTATTAACAGACTCACGACTTGATCATTTTAACTATATCCAGATCTTTATCTTTCTGAATGCACCTAACATGGGGGTTTGGGATTTTTAAATTTTTTAGTGTGTGACGCATAAGTGACCAAAGTGATGTCTGATGCAATTCCCTATTTTGACTTGTATCATATGGTCCTGTGTTTTTTCAGATGATCAATTACCTTGCCTTTGCATGCGTTTCTGATGAGTGTCATTCGTGGAGCAGGATACGCTCACCTTGATAGTGATTCACAAACACAAGCTTTTGATATGATTAGAATCGTACAATGGACTCTTATGAGCTTCTTATGATCACGGAAATGGCTTTTATATGCAGATTATTTCCTTATGGTTTAAACACTACAATGCGTTCCCTGGGCACACTAAAAACTATGATCGTGGGTTCAAACCCTGGTTCGACTCAGTTATGTTTTTAGGTTCGTCAGCACCATACCATGGTATCACCAAAGTGATTAACGTCAGAGACCTCCATCAAGCTTTCCTTCCACATTCACTTCCAGCTAGCAAACCATGATATAATTGACATACAGTTCTAAGTGTTGGTAAATTCACTGACTGACTGTATATGGATAATGGCATACTTTTGATCTATTTCTTACAGAAGTTTGTCACTAAAACTTATCACCTTCATTGAGTTTGATTTTGTAATGTCTTAATCATCATGTTGTAGTTGCGGCACTGAAGATGAATGAGACGTTGATGGAGCTGTTTCTGGCCGACAACAAGCTGATGCCGAGTGACGGAGTCCAGCTGGGCAACCTTCTCAAGTACAATCACAAACTAGAGCTGCTCGATCTCCGCAACAACCACCTGCAGGTTGCTACATGTCCTATATCTAGCACCCAACTCCAACATCTATTAAATAGGGCTGGGACAAGTCCAACTTTACTACCTGTATACTCACACCTCCGGGCCCCCCCAACACCCCCCACCCCACCACCCCTTTTACCCGACCCTACCCGGCTACCTGCTCTAGGTCTCAAAGAGATAGGTACAAAATGTCCGATTGGGAATACTTCGACCATAGACCTGGAGAAAATGTATTTAGATACACGTATAAAACTATCAGGTCATGCATACACTGAAGTTGACTGAAGTTTTATCTTTATCCAAACATATAAAAGTCAGAATGAAAAGGTGCATAGTCAGAAAGAAATGCGAACATTAGTGACTAGTAGTATAACTATATAGTTCTAGATACTTTTTGTCATTAAACAATATATCAATTGACTAACCACAGGTCCAGGTAGTCCTGTGGGTAACTGGGTCCTTCTCAGTACCCACCCCTTCCAAGTACCCGAGTTACCCATCCCAGCCCTACTATTGTGTTTCTGACCTTGGTATAGTGTGTGGTGAAGGTTGGCAGATTAAGATTTGTCTTAGTCAGTTCATGAATCTTCTCTCTGCTGCAGGATGTAGGGACCAGCCATCTGTGTGATGGTCTGTATGAACAGAACCTGGACACTGGGCTGAAGACGCTAGTGCTGTGGAACAACCAGATCACTTACCAGGCTATGGCATCTGTTGCTAAGACATTGGTATGTAAAATGTTTCTCACTATTCTGTTAATAATGAAACCATTCCAATATGTACAATATGCACAACATGGACAAATTGTGGATTCCTGAGTATAATTGGTCCACAGTAACTAATGTACAACATGGACCCAGTGGGACAAGGCATGGCATGGCTGAGCATGTGTCATCATGCTCAATGGCTTGGATCACTGCTCATGCTATCAAGCACCTGTTTCCCTGGACTTGATTATTTGCATGATATGAACCAACTAAGGTTGGTCTTAGCAGGCATCCAAATGATTCAGGCAGTCATACCTGGTGACCTGAGTTGATCAAAGTGTGTCATCACTACACAATGATGTGTTGATGTTCACAATATCAATCACTGGATTGTTTGGTATGGACTCAATTATTTACAGGCTGACATTATACAGCTAGAATATTTCTGAGTGCAGCATTAAACTGTAAACAAGCATGAAACTAAAATTTTGCTGACTCATTCTTATCTATCTCATTCTGTTTGGAAAGTTTTCTGATATTTGTAAACAATTCTGACAGAAATCAGCAGAGTGTTTGGAAACACTGAACTTGGGGCACAACAACATCACCAATGAAGGCATGCACATTGTCAAGGATGGGTTGCTGAAGAGCAAAGCTCTGCTGAGACTAGGCCTGCAGGGAACCAAGGTCTCTTGTGAAGGTCAGTGCAGTTGGCGATAGATCAGAATGTGGAATGGTTCATAAGATCAAAAGTGAAATCTTAAGGCCCATTCTTGCTGTTACAGGTGACTATGCTGGTCGTAAGAGGCGACTAACGGGATTGGGTGGTCAGGCTCACTGACTTGGTTGATGCATGTCATTGTATTCCAATTGCAAAGATCGATGCACATGATGTCAATCACTGAATTGTCTGGTCCAGGCTTGATTACTTTCAGACCGCCGTCATATAGCTGAAACATTGCTGGGTGCGCCATTAAACAACAAACAAACAAACAAACATCACAAAGAATTGATCATGTTGATATGTCGATATTTTACATATTTTGTGATCTTAAATGCTATGACATGTTATTTTCGTTCAGCTAGCTTGTTGAACAGTTACATCTGTACACTACTGAAAAACTGTTTTGAAGATAAATCTTTTTTCATTGCTTTCAAGATCAAGACACAGATGTTTTTGTGTAACATATTTTCTTGTGTGTCTGTTTATCTATATCCATCATCTGCTACTATTGATGCATCTTATTGACACTGTTTTGTGAAATATTGTGATGTTAAAGTTAACACATCTGTCTTTTGATTGTGACATCATCCTTTTTGTGTACAGGAGCTGTAGCTTTGGCTGAGTTTGTGGCAGACAGCCCTCGACTTGTTCGTCTGGACCTGCGTGAAAATGACATTAAGACGGCTGGATTGATGGCCCTGTCTCTGGCCATGAGAGTGAATGACACGGTTATCAGACTAGACTTGGATAGAGACACAAAGAAAGAATCTGTACGTCCTTGTTATTTATAATTTATTTGAAATTGGGAAGCATTTCTTGCCTTGTGAAATAATTTTAAAAAAACGTTGGGCATTTGGAAAACTCTGTTTTCAAAGAAACATTAAATTACCATTACATTTGTCATTTCTAATGAGTTGAGAAGAAAATCTGTGGTGAAACAGTAACTGATAGAATTTATGGAAAGGACGTAATTACTTGTCTTTTTCGTACAGGGGATGAAAGACTACGCAGAGCAACAGCGCCGCCTACACCAGGAGATTTTGGTGTACTGCGAGCGTAATCAGCAACAAACAGTGGAGAGGGAAGAGCGTCAGAAACAGGAGAAGGTAGAAAATGCTCGGCAGGAAGCTGCACGTCAGGAGGTAGTGAATGTAGTGAGAGCAGCACAAGAGGCTCTTCAGTCAAACATGGATTACATTCCCTCAGCAGAAAAAATCCAGAGACCAAAACTTCTCTTCTCTAACATTCTGGCCCCTCAGCGGTCTCTGGAATCGCCAGGTGACTTCCATGAAGACAACATTCCAGTCACCTCCCCACCTGCGTCGTCCCAGAACCTTTCTCTGTGTCTCCCTCCCACGACTACGCAACAACAGCTACTGTCCACCCCACCAGCAGACATGCTGCTAAGTCCTCAGTACATACCCAAACTTACAGCCAAGAAGATTTTCTCTGTGAACAGAGTGACAGAGAGCCTGCCTTCTCCAACCCTGGTTGCTGGTCAACCGAGTGAAGCCAGTTCCTCTCTCAACCTCCTCACTGCTAGTCAGGTTCCCGGGGCAGGGCTCCCCGCTGCCATCAGTCCCACCACACTCTGTCAGGATCTCGCCACAGAAACTGTCAAGGAATATATAGAACAGATAGTATCCGAGGCTGCGGTGAACGGTGCGAGACCTGTGCCAGAAGACAAGAAAAGCATAGACTCCGAACAGACTGATAAGATTTCCTCAGATGGACAAAAGGAAGAGAGTAAGGCTGTAGATAAGGACAGTGTTTGTGAACAAAATGTTGGAGGTAGTGGTGACAGTGCTACAGAGGACATGCAAACAAATGAAGCTGCCTCAGCAGAAGGCGGGGCTGTATGTAAACTGGAACCAAGTCAGTGTGATAAATTAAAGGAGGAAATTAAGCCAGAAAATGTGAACGAAGGGCGTAGTGTTCCGACACAAGTGAACAGTCAGAACGCTAAAGAAAATTGTGTGAAACCTGATCCTTCCAACCCATCTGAAACTGAGCAGTGGCAAACAGTGGACACAACTGACTTGCAACAGTCTGGACAGTCTACTACAACCACGGGGGAGACGGAGAAGCCAGATTTCCACACCAACCTCTCCTTAAATGGACTTGCTCGGGAGCTGGCCAGTGCCTTGGACACTGTTGACGAACAGACAGATAAGGAATCTGCCACCAGTAAGTAACTCATTGTTTACCAGCATGCCAATACTTAGTATAGAACCAACACGATAACAACGTACATGCTGCTAGAATGTGTAGTGTTGTAGTCCCCTATCCTGCACTAAAGTGTTCAAGTACTCACCTGTGTGTAGAACTTTCTATTACACGACCCAGCATGACACTGACAATATCCATGGCATCAATGGTATATGATTGGAATTATGATCTGATAATAATTTTTAGTGGTACAAGTTATGAAAGGGCTCGTGTCATAATCCTGATGACATTGATGTAATATTTTGGATGTTCTTTGGCATGTGAACATATAAGCATGGTAAGATCTATGAACATGATGAATACTACATCGAAAACCTTCAATGACCATTTCAAACCCAGCTAATACATGAACTACAGACATTTCAGAATGATAATCACCAAGTTATACAATGTTCTACAATATGTACAGTGATTCATAAATAGTTCATAAAGAATGTCTATGACGCAGTTATTATTACTTTTGTTTCATTTTCAATTTTGAGACATCTTTATTTTGTACTTTCATTTATTGTCATCTAGTTTTATGTTTAAGGTGAATATTGATTTTTAAGTGTAACTTGAACTTGTTGAAACTGGCCATCACAGGATAACTGTCACACTTGATGCTTTTGCAGCGTTAGAAATTGGCACTAGTCCTGTAGTCCTTACCAAACTGCCCAATAGTAAAGTTATCCTAAGGACTACAGTCCGTTTGACTCCAAATGAGAACGATGAATTGCAAAATAACTTGAAATCCAGAAAAGTGTATGAAACATCAATACGGTACTTGACCATGAACGTGATGAATACCCTGTACCCAACAAAATCTGAATTTTGTTAAATATAAGACCCATGACGGATGAAGTTCTTTAAGAAACTATCATGTAATTTTGTATAGAAATGTGTACATGACAAGTAGGGGGACAAACCGTGTAAGGAACAGCGCAGGCATGGTTTGCACGTGCTACACAGTGACCGTGTTCATTCAATGACAAGATGCGCTACTCAGCAGATGTTAAACAGTTGATGTTGAATGTGTATGATTTCTTTAGAAGTGAAGCAGAAAGAGCAAAGCCTTTTTATGCAATTAATAAATTCTTGAAACGAGCTTCAAAAGCTCTTTGTATGTCCCCTCAGAAACTTAAAAATGTTGTTAGTCGACGAGATACAAATAGTCAGGCCAAGGAGGTAGGGAACATGTCAAAACCACGCAAGGTTAATAAATTAGACAGTTTTCAGAGGGATCAAGTCAGACGTGCAATTGTTAAACTGCACTCAGAAAATAAGTACCTGTCCCTAAGTATAAATTAGTCCCTGCTTTGCCTACCAAGTCTCTCACTGTCATGGACAATGCACCGTATCATAGTGTGCAGGATCCAGAAAGCAAGACTCCAACCTCTAATAACCGTAAAGGAGACATGGTTACTTGGCTGCAACGGAGGAACATTACCTTTCCTTCTCGAGCGACGAAACCACAGCTCTATGAAATCATCAAAACTATGAAACCTGACCCCGTGTATAAAGTTGACAGTTACATCAAGGGTCAGGGTCACGCTGTCTTATGACTGCTACCTTATCACCTGAATCCAATCGAGTTGGTATGGGGCATCGTTAAGGGTGATGTTGGACGATCGAACACAACGTTCAAATTACGAGACGTTTAACAACTCGTAAAGGAATCCCTTGGTCGGGTAACAGTAGAAACATGGAGGCGCTGTGTGGCCACAGTCGTTGACGAGACAGAGCCACGTTATTGGTCACGAGATGGACTACGGCCAGCAACAGTCCAACCTATAATAGTGGCAGTCGGTTCAGGCACCAGCAGTTCCGACGACGAGATCTATGTCAGTCAGATTGCGACTGGAATTATCATGAGTCGGCCCCTCTAACGCTCTGTCATTTCCCCTACCAAAGAACGTGCAGTGCATGCGAGCTTGCGCTGTGCCTTCCACGGTTTGTCCCCCCTACGTGTCATGTACACATTTCTATACAAAATTACATGATAGTTTCTTAAAGAACTTCATCCGTCATGGGTCTTAAAATAAACACAATTCAGATTTTGTTGGGTACAGGGTATTCATGGTCAAGTACCGTACTGATGTTTCATACACTTTTCGGGATTTCGAGTTATTTTGCAATTCATCGTTCTCATTTGGAGTCAAACGGACTGTAGTAGAAAGTGGCCCATTTTAAGGGTTTTGTTATATGTTATCATCATAAGGACTAGTGGACAAAAACTGTTAGTTTCTTAGTCTAACCCTGCTTTTGACGTGATTTTCATATCAAACGGTAGCTGTCCATCATGTCCATTGTACAGAATTTCACCTTAATGTATGCACTTTTCACATGTTTCGTGTCTTCACACAATGCACTAGTAGATTAAGCTATAGTTTTTTGTTTTAATTTCATCAGATGAGTTTAGTACGACTGATGACTTTGAAAAAGAATTAGACGCCATGTTGGCAAGTGTTGGTCTAAATTTACCCTCACAATTCCGTAAGTATTGCACACGAGCCTTCCTAGGGATTGACTATTGACTGCTTGCTGCATGCTGCTGTTGCTGCTGTTGCTGCTGTTGCTGCTTCTTGATCCTCCTCAGCCTTTTTAACAGCTTCCTGTACAGACACTGTTCGACTGACATTGAGTTATTATTAGATCTTTATTCAAAGAGTTATCACGCTGGAATAAAAGATCTGATTTTGATCAGATTAAACTGACATTGAGAGCATGGTTGGTCTAGGATGTGTAGGGGTGATGGTAATTCTTTCCTATAAACATGATAGATACTGGTCATTTCACTCGTCACATCTCTCTCTCCAGCTTTTGATTTGGATGAAGTTGATGGTCAACACTTCTATAGTCTGTTTGTTGCAATATCGTACCGATGAAATGCAAAATAGATATAAATCCAAAAGCAACAATTCGTCTTACCTGGCTTTAAAGTTGTTTATTTGTCCATACCAACTTCATGACCAGATATTGTCATGAATTAGAGAAAAAGTTAACAAACTCTCATGTAATTGTTGGTGTATTTAATGCCTGTTGTTACAATGGTAGACTAACATTTAGTCTATGAAATCTTATATTACACAATATCCTTCTTGACTCTAAAAATAATAAAAAATTCCCTATGCTGATTTCAGAGTGTGGAATAGAGCTAGCTTGAGCTGGCTAGACTTGCTTTTGTATGCATTTCTAGATTATTATTTTTTCATATAGTAAATATATTCCACGGTCATGGTGCAGGACTATTACAAGGGGATCTGCACTGAAAACTGAACAGCCCTACATTTGCACGTGAAATTCACACATGTTGGGCCAACCCACTACCCTCTTTTCTCTAATAAAATCACCTCACGTGAAAAATCTAAATCAGAAGCGTATCTTTTTGTAGTAGTTATTAAATGGAATATACAATGAGAATCTGTAAAATATTCTCAAAGCAATGTTAGTGATGTTCTTGGTATTGCTGTTCAACTAATTTCAAATGCAAAAAATAAAACAAAAGGAGTGAGCTCATATATCATTACAATACAGTAGATGAATGAAATTCACTGACGATGTTGAGACGGGAATTAAAGCTTTGTATAATAAAAGAGAGGGATTATCAGATTATAGAAGTTTTGAGACTACCCCTGTGTTTCGAGAAGCCCTTCAGCTGTTATGTTTATTGCACAGACCTCCTTGTAATAACAGGCATTGAACATGTTGAAACAACAACTAGTACATGATGGCTTGTTAAACAATATTTTCTCTACTCCATGACAATGTCTGACATTATTGTGACGAGTTGGTATGGACGAATAAACAACTTTCATGCCATTTAAGATGAATTGTTGTTTTCGGATTGATATCTATATTGCATTTCATCGGTACGATATTGCAACAAACGGACTAAATTATCCTATCTGTATCATTGTTGATTGTAGTGTTATCAGATTAGTGTGCTAGTGTGATTTTACAGTGTTGAGCAATGTTTAAGAGGAACTGTTCTCTATAAACATGTTTATAGTTATACCATGATCAATTTTGCTATCCCCCCAACATGTTCAATGTCAGTGTTACTGTTGAGTGTCAACACATGTTTGATGAAAAATAAGTGGAGTTTGAGAACAATATAAAATACTCAACATTTTCTCTTGACATGTTACCATGGTAACAGTTGATGTATGGCCAATGATGACAGTATATTAGGTAAATTCACAATCATCTTGATACTTGGTAATTTTGTATCAGTGTGGAAACATTGCAAGCAGTATGTAATTTTCTGGATGGAAATTTATATTTCACACTTGCAAACAATCTGGAAAATCTCCTGGTCATGATCTGATCTTGTTAATTAGAAAATTGACTTTAAAAAATGCATATCAACGTTTACTGATGTCAATGTAATTTTAGCATTATATTGACTGGCAGAAACTGTTCTTGAACATGCATGAGATCAATTCCTTTACATCAGTTTCAAAGTTCCTTACCATGCTGAACCATATCAAATTGTTGACTTAAACAGCTAATGATGGTTGTTTGTTTGGCTCTTTGCACATGAATGTGATGAAAGTGAGCTGACATCATAATCATCAGTGCTTCTTGTCCGTTTCTTGTTGGTGTGTTCTATGTTCTTCATTATGGTGTTCTACTCACATGGTAAGCATGTGTCCTTCCTACACATTTGTCTTACACCAGACCCGTGAAGATTCCGGGGTAGAAGAGGTCTTAACAACCCATGCTTGCCGTAAAAGGCGACTATGCTTGTCGTAAGAGGCGACTAACGGGATCGGGTGGTCAGGCTCGCTGACTTGGTTGATGCATGTCATCGATCTCAATTGCGTGGATCTATGCTCATAATGTCAATCACTGGATTGTCTGGCCCAGACTCAATTATTTTACAAACCACCGTCATATAGCTGGAATATTGCTGAGTTTCGGCCTTAAACAACAAACAAAACAAATCATGCTACCAGTACACATGAAAGATCTACCATTATGGGGTGGGTATATTTTTTTCTTTATAATTAATTTAGTAGGATTTGTATGTGTTTATCCTAGGATCCAAAATGTTCTTCAGATTCTTGATTTTGTTTTCACTTCATTTGCATGCTCAAAATTTATGACATTTTTAGCAAACTGTTCTGGGGATCTTTCTTCACTTCCTGCATTTTCATAGGTACAATACATTGCCATGGTAACACCATACAGGGGCATGTGGTGAAAAGGTGTACTGCAATGAGATATTGAACCCACAAATGGCTGTCTGCTAATCAGGCCATGTACAAGGAATGTCTTGCATGCTGAATTAATTTCTGTCAATTTTTCATAAAGGAAGGATTATTTCTTTATTATTTTTTTTTTTTTGATTGGTCATGTTAATTTCAGGTATTTCCCAATTGGTTGTCACTATTAACAAAAATTCAGAATACATGTTTAACACTTATTAGTTTTGACTATGAATCACAGGTGTGATTATCAATTGCTTTGTTGTAAATGAAATGGGGAAGTTCTGGTACCAGAAACACATGTAATGTTTTGTTTGGCCAAAGATTTACTATTCAATGTATTAATATGTTGGCTTTGTCAATGGAGCAAATAATTTAATTGCATGTTTCATAATCCCCATCTAACATATGTTCAGGTAATAAGCACATATTCATCATGGTTGTTTTTGTTTTTTTCAGAATTAACAAGTGAGGAGGTTGCCACACCGACGGACAACAATTCAAGTTGATGGAATGTACCTCGTACCTCCATCCCCCACAGCCAACACAACCAAGTCACCTGCAATACTTGGAACTTGTCGGAAGCTTTGCCCACTTAACTGCTTGGTTGGCCATGCCTCCATCCTCCAGTCCATGTGCACAAGCTGTCTTGCTCAATACTGCAGCATCCAAGCTACAGATACAATACATGATACGCTACATGATACGCTACACAAATATCTTGTCCATTGTTTGTTGCTTTCGCTTTGGATGTAATTTGATACTTTTAGTTAATATGATAAACTGCATGTCTTCAAATCTTTGGTATTGTAGTGACAACTTGCGACTGTTTCAAACTACAAGCGAAGACGGTAACATCAACATTGTATTCCAGAATAGAAAGTTTATGTATCCAAAGTTGGTATATTTTAGATATGAATGATTATCATCTTGATTCGAAGAAAAGTTTGACAATTATTTTGTCACTTGAAGTTTGACAATATTGTACATGATCTGTTATATATGTTGGGTATTTTCATAGACTCAAATGTGACTTTTTGATACTGATCCTAAAACAGAATCTGAAAGACTGGAATATCTCCATATTTATTGATTATTACAAAGAATGTGATCCAATATCATTAGTATTGCCATGGCATTGTGACTCGGGAGCATGCAGTTTACACCCCTGTCTTACTCTATAGGGGGGCACGGGTGGCCCAGTCGTCTAAGGCGCCGCCATTCGCTTTGCAGAGTTGGGTCCCTTGGGCATGTCAGAAATCTATGATTGTGGGCTCGAATCCCTTTTCACCCCAATTATGTTTCTAGGTTTGTCAGCACCATACCCGTGCTCGTGGGTTTCACCGAAGTGGTAAACGTCTGAGACCTGCATCACTTGGGGCTTTCCTCCCACATTAAGCTGACGCGCCGTGATATAACTGTATTACTGTTTAACTGCTTTAAACCTAACTCACTCACTCACTCTTACTCTATAGAGACAGAGAAAACTGTGTTAGGGTCCCATATGACCCTATGAGTCAAGTCAACAAAGCAAGTGTTACATTCTCACTGGAATGCATGTAAGATGAAATATGCATGAAGCTGTCATGTTTACTTGAGGTAAATAGTTGGTTACGAGGGGAACTTACCACTGACAACTAGATGAGACAAAGTGTCAGGAAAATAAATCATCTTTTTCATCCAAGTGAATATATCACACATACATGTATTAAGCATGTCAACAAAGGTTCAGGGTATGTTGTTCTTGTTCTCCGTCAAAGCATGATTATAAACATAGAACACAAGTCCTTACAGTGATTACCAGTTACCACTGAATAAAAGGTACAAGCCAATTCTGTAATGTGCATGATACTAAGGGTGACATGTACACTGTATAGGTATGCCAGTCTTCCAATAGTAAGTCATATGTTAAAGACTGTTGAAACCGTCTATTTGGCCTACACGTAACCACGATCGTCCTGTATGTCAATATGTTCTGAACATTCTATTGTACTGTAATTGGAACTTTCTATTGTACTGTAATTGGAACATTCTATTCTATTGTAATTGGAACATTCTATTCTACTGTAATTGGAACATTCTATTGTACTGTAATTGGAACATTCTATTGTAATGGAATTGATATTATGATATGATATGATATCCAACTATTTGGACAACAACACTTCCGGGGTAAACTTGATGCTACTGAATGAAGCAAGCTGCCCATGTGCTGTGTAGTTTTGGTACTATGTCGAATGAACAAGGGTCTTGAAAATAGGTTCAAGACTTGCTATCCCTAACCATCTCATAACCACAAGATTATTATGATTAAAACCAATATATGATACAGCTAGTTAACCGTAAACTTTCTCAAAGATGAATGTGTCAAAATGATTGTTAAACATTTTTATTAGGGGAGTTTTGGCAAGTAACTGCGCATGTATTGATGTTAGATTAATGTTTGATCATTTACTTCAGTCTGTGAATGCTGTACAATTGTTTTGTTCAAAAATGTCTTCTGACTTTTCCATAACTTACTCCAAGGGAGTGTGGTAGATTTTGCTCCATATGCCAAATATATTTTCACCTCATGGTGAGGTGGGGTGGGGTGAAATGGGGTTTAACATCGCAGTCGTGATTATTTCACTTATATGACAAAGTGCATGCATACGGGTGTATGGCTGTTTGTACTAGTCCGACTTATGCCGGTTTTATAATGCTGGCCTTCTGAGATACCATGCCATAGTTTAACATGAATGCCCCACTCAGACACAGAAAACTAACTCCGAGCCAACCAGTCCTTGTTTCGTCCCCTTAATGCCGAGCGTCAGGCAGGGTAACAGGAAGTACCATCCTTTAATGTCTTTTGGTTTTACACAACTGGGGTATCGAACCATCAACCTTCTGCTTTTCGGGCAAACACGGTATCCACTAGACCACAGAGGCAGTCTAACCTCTTGGGTGCCCATTTTATTTTGTTGGGAGTCCCCTGCAGAGTTGTTGACCAATATTGTTAAAAAAACAGACAAGATTCACTCACTCACTTGTCAAAAGTTTGGACGAATATATCTAGCAATATCTGTTTGTCCATATGACCGTGTACTGGTACTCATGAGTGAAGTACTCTTGGCCAACTCATCTTACATGTGTCTTAGGTGCTGCAGTTTGCTCAGCAGAGTTCCAAAGCAGCAGTAGAAACTAACATTTTTAGTCCACCAGTCCTTATAATGATAACATATAGCTAAACCCTTAAAAATGGCTAATTTCTACTAGTCCTTATGATACCTTAACTATTAGGCAGTTTGGCAAGGACTACAGGACTAGTGCCAATTTCTAACACTGCAAAGACAAATTAAGTGGTGTGCTGGAAACCTGGTGTGTGGGGTTTGGCACCCTCATTTATTCCTATTTGGCGAAGTCGATTGTTTGTGTCACCTGGAGTAATACTGGTGTGGTCTACTGCATTGGGCGCTACATCGATATGCTTTAACCCTTTGATTCAGGTCATGGATTGGACTAAGATTGTTTCCGATTTGTTCTTCTGGGGATTGGAAACATTGTTGTATCAACTCTATATTATGGCTAACTTTGTTTTCTTAGTTCATTTAACTGTAAGATGAGTGCTGTCAACAACAGGACAATGACATATCATTTGAAGTGTACCCCGTTTCTTTTTAAATTGATTTTTAGACCTTTTAATCATTGAAGATCTGTGTGTTTGCTTTGCTGTTATAGACAGGGCATTCAGTTTCAGTCTCAAGACTGCATATGGTTGTGTTGTACAAGTAAACATTTTATTTTCCAGGATATCCGTCATGTGGTTTGAAATAGAATGTTGTGGTTTTGATACAAGCTACCCAAGTTTTTGTTGCCAAACCCTTATGTTTTTTCCATTTGGTTTTCTTAAATATACAAGAAAAAGTTAACCAAAATGTACATTTTACAGGAATATGAATCCTATCAAACTGAAAATGTCTCCTTGACAACTGACTAATTATTGATAGAGAAAATAACCAGCATGTCTTTTTATATGCAATATATCAACACAAGTGGATAATAGCTTCAAACTCCAAGGCTTGCCAAGCAGGTTGAAACTTTTATCAACGAGTGTTGCTATATTTGAGATGAAAAGACTTACGGGTAAGATTCTATTTATCATCCAAAATCATTCTTTTAACTTTTTCATGTTGTTTACGGTAATAAGCAGTGTCTTGAGTGTAAACTGTACAGCTATCCAGAGAGATTAGTAATGTCATTTCAATGGTTTGCAAAGCATTGTGAAGCAATTTCATGACAGTATATCACTTGATCTCTCCCAAGTGATACCTTCTGTGGAAGCCAGTTTTGGATGATAAAGGGGGCAGTTGGGTAGCCTAGTGGTTTATGCATTCGCTCGTCACACCGAAGACCCGGGTTCGGTTCCCGACATTGGTACAAAGTGAAATGCCCATTTCTGGTGTACCCCGCCATGATATTGCTGGAATATTGCTAAAAACGTGGCGTAAAATCATACTCACTCATTGGATGGTAAAGTCATGTAGTCGGAACCACAACGATATATCAATTTACATATATATATATGAGACCTCACTTCAGCTTCAACAAAGTGGAATTGTGTCATGTTATAGTTTAGCACCATTGTATGATAGGAAGACCCAACAGAATTAATGTCGTCCATGGGGTCATATATTAGCCAAGTTTCTCATGACAATATCTACTGATGCATTGTATGAGCTTGTTCCCTTTCAATTTATGTAAATATTGCCATGCCATACAAGATATGCACCTCATTCAAGAGCAGTGCTGTGATGACAATAGTGTTCTTGTCATTGTCACCTTTCTGTTGTGTAGAACCCTTGACTCTGTTCACAGATTATAGGATTAAATCATTACTTACTTCAATCAGAACTGCACAGGTGTCTATAGCCCTGTACCATGACTGGAATAAATTTATTTTATGAAAAAAACACAATCTAGAAGCGTATACAAAAGCAAGTCTAGCCAGCTCTAGCTCTATTCCACATTTCTATGAAATCAGCATCGGGAATTTTTTATTTTTTTTAGAGTCAAGAAGGATATTGTGTAATATAAGATTTCATAGACTAAATGTTAGTCTAAGGTTTCAACTTCTACTTAAATACATAATTTTGGGGTGCGTATTGAAAAAAACACGTTATTTTACCTTGCTAATAACTGCTAATATGCAGGAGGTGGGATTTTTTGCATCAGAGTAGGTCTTCAGCAACCCATGCTTGCCTTTAAAGGCAACTATGCTTGTTGTAAGAGGCAGCTAACAGGATCGGATGGTCAGGCTGGCTGACTTGGTTGATGCATGTCATCGTATCCCAATTGCGTGGATCGATGCACATGATGTCAATCACTGGATTGTCTGGTCCAGACTTGATTATTTACAGACTGCCGTCATATAGCTGGAATATTGCTGAGTGCGGCATTAAACAACAAACAAACAAACAAACAAGTCCAAGTACAATGATAGAAACAGCTGGGTACTCATCCAGTATACTCCATAAAAAATACAGCAAAATCTCTACCCCATTTTGTCTATCTTTCTTAACATAACAGGTCGATCTCTTCAATTGGATATATGTAAACACACATACGGTAATGTATCTCTACTGAAACAAACATACTTTTATCAAACAGAATAGTAATAGCATTTTCTCTGTATTGAACAAAACAAAAGATGTTATGGGTAAAATCATGAAATAAATAGACACAATTTAGGAGGGTCATTTATGGACCAAGGAGTGACATTTTAACATGAATATTATGGTGTTCTTGTTTTCATTTCCTGTCTGAGGTTCTAAATTCAAACATGCACCACAATATTCCCCTATTTTGTTTGCAGAGGGGCACGATGACCTGTTACTATGGTTATCATTGCACTGTTGCCATCCTATGTGATATACATATGACTACGGTGCATACTGCACCAGTAGCCAGGATATAAACTTATTATATGTATATATTGTTGATATAAATACTTATGCTATGTGTAAGATTGTTTTCATTTGACAATTGATTTTGGAGATAATCTCTAGATTGAAAGTCC